GTAGCGGCGGAGTAGGCACAATTGCAGCACTGAACCTCGAAGTTGGTGGTCACGCAGAAGTCACGGCTGTCTTGCGCTCAAACTACAAGGCTGTCAAGGAGAGAGGCTTCGAAATTGCATCTTGTGATCATGGCACACTGAAAGGATGGCGGCCGACCGAGGGTTAGTCTCGATATCCCCGACCAAAGGTCAACATAACACTAAAGTCTCCAGTGGTTGATCACGTCCCCAAGGCTTCGGAGAAGCAGTTTGACTACATCGTCTGCACAACAAAGAACCAACCAGATTGTCCACCTGCTCTGACTGAACTCATTGCTCCTGCTGTCCAGCCTGGACGTACGGTGATCGTTCTTATCCAAAATGGGCTTAACATCGAGAAGCCGATTTTCGAGGCATTTCCCAACAACATTGTACTGTCAGGCGTGAGTATGATCGGATCACACGAGACTGAGCCTGGTGTGATTGAGCACGACGACAACGACCGAGTACTGATCGGACCATTCCATAACACCAATCTATCCGCGAAGGACGAGGAAGCTGCGGCAAGAGACTTTGTCCGCATCTACTCTGCTGGTGGAAAGACCGACTGCGAGCTGCAATTGGACGTCAACTTTGCGAGATGGCGAAAGTTGGTCTACAATGCTTGCTTGAACTCGATCTGTGCTCTTACAGGGCTGGACACCGGTCGTATCAGACTTGCAGATGGCGCAATCGATGGACTGGTCAAACCTGCCATGGAAGAGATCAGAGCCGCGGCGAAAGCAGTCGGCGTGAATCTTCCTCCGGATGTCTGCGATTTCATGATCAATATTGACNCCGTAAGTACTCGAGGCTGATGCGTGGCCATGGACCTGAGACCAAAGCGATGCCTTCTCTACCTGTGCTAACTAGGGGCTAGTCTGACCATGTATCTTCCTCCTAGCATGTTGGGAGACATCAGAAAGGTGGGCTTGCCTTCGCATAATTCTTGAGCAGTAGCTGACTGGACCTAGGGCAACTTTACCGAGTTCGAGAACATCGTAGGAGAGCCTCTCAGGGTTGGCACTGATCTAGGTGTGCCAATGCCGACATTGCGAGTTCTCTACCATCTCCTCCAGGCGATCCAATGGCGCACCAAGGAAGCTAGAGGCAAGGTCACGATTCCACCAAAGGGTACATTCGTCGCGGAATAGATGACCACGCGTCGAGTTGATAAATGAGATACAACCAGTACCCACACGGGATGAATCGAAGAACTCTCTCTCTCTCTCCTAATCCGGGAGAACGTGCCGTGGCTGATCTCTATTGCAGAGGTTACTTGGTATGGCCGGGGATAACAGACCCTGAGCCCCGCGGGAAGCAGAGCGCTCGCTTTGCCGGCCCGAAGACTGCATTCGACGTGGTCCAAAGCTGTTATCGGCTATGTTGGCTGTACGTAAGTAGACAGCCGAAAGTGGGTGAATATCACGTTATGCACGATGGCCACAGTCTACGGGCACATCTCGGTGTCGTTACGAGAGCTGAACTTGAACCATGAGAGAGATGAGCAGAGATGTCACCTGCAAATGCCAAGTTAAGCGAAAGCGCGCAGAAGGTTCCGTTGCCTAAAGTAAAGCGATTAAGTGGGGCTGACGAGCCAGTCGGCAGCCTTCCAGATCAGCATCAGCTCTGCTAGTATGACGAGCCAATCACAGCAAGGTCATAGTCATCAACCGTGATCTCGTAGTTTCGCTTTCCTGTTGCTCCCTCGGCCGCGCAGGCAAACCAGACACGCGCGATTCTCCTCGTACTGAAGGTAGTACACGACAGCCGCCACCCCTCTCGAGACACGAGTCGTTGGAAGAATCCGCCGACCCGTACACCTGGTGTTGATCATCACGTCGCCAAGAACGAGCATATTCCCCCAGCTTGTCGGACGACGATAGATAGCCAGGCTGCAGCAACTTGCGCGCGCGTCCTAAGCACCTTCGGCTTGGCGTGACCCTTTCGCTCATACCACTTGCTTCGACGGAGAGGTCGTGTTGCGCATTCGCCGACGACAAGAACAACCATCGAGTCTATCCTTACCATGTCCAACCCAGCATCGACACTTGCGCCGTCCCCTGTCGCCGCTCCACACCTGTCCAACGAACGCTCCAGGGAAGAACTCGAACTCGCCGAACGCTTGATCGAACACTCACAAGGCATTCAACATGGTCCTCCGATAGCCGATCGTCGCACCACTCCATCAACAGCAGACGGCGGAAGCAGAAGTGGTGGAGATGTCGAACGGTCATCCGACGATGGCGGCAGCGAGACGAGCCTCTCGGCGCAACAACAACAGCTCACTCCACAACACTCGCACAACCAGCAACAACAAAATCTACAACTACCATCCATACACGAACTCACATGGGTCAAACAGAGGAAGCCCTTCAACACAGGCATGGGCGGAGCAGGCCAAGTGTGCAGGTATATCGTATTCATACATCATCCGAGCTTCATATGCTGACCTAGTTCCAGTAATTGCGGTACAACGAGGACACCACTATGGAGACGCTCTCCAGCTGGCGACACGATATGCAACGCCTGCGGACTATACCTAAAGGCTCGTAATCAGATGCGCCCTGTCAACCTCAAACGCGGAGCCCAAGCATCCCCGGCAGGACAGCCACAGCAGCAAGAGCAGCAGACGACAGCCACAGGCAACAGGAAGAGTTCATCGCCGTCAGCATCAGCAAAGCAGCTTGGAGGCGCAACATATGTCACCGACACGACATCGAACGGCACATGCCCTGGCGGAGGTCGCTGCAACGGCACTGGAGGTCACGATGGATGCAATGGGTGTCCGGCATACAACAACCGAGTCAGCAAGACGGCGCAGATTGCTCTGGCGCAAGCAAACGACAGTCGGGCAGCAGGTCAACATGGCGCCAGTCAGAGCCCGTACCCGCACGCGCAAAACAGCCCGGGGCCAAGCCAAGCGCCGGCAGCCAATGTCACGGTGGCCTGTCAGAATTGTGGTACGACAATTACGCCATTGTGGAGACGAGACGACAACGGACACACAATCTGCAATGCCTGCGGTATGTTTGCGACGATTCCTTATCTTATCTCGATCAGTTCTGATTCAATCTCTCAGNGTCTCTACTACAAGCTCCACGGCGTGCACCGCCCTTCAGGCATGAAGAAGTCAGAGATCAAGCGTCGCCGCAGAGTCATGCCCGCCACCAGCGACCAGCACCTTGCTCCCTTCTCCGTCAACAATACCCAACCCATCTCGCCCCCTCCCGAGCCCGCAGCGCTGAGATCCGTACCTCCCTTCTACCCTCAGCAGCAACAACCACAACATCAGCACCCCGAACACTCGCACCCTCACCACCTCCCTCCACCTGCTTCCTTCGAGCCCACTCGCCTTCCCCGCGCGCCCATCGCTGTCGACTTTACACATTTCGGCAAGCCGTCGCGCCCGACATCGGCCGAACAGCCCGAATACGCCCAGTCTTCGAATCCACCAGCTTCGCGCAAACGCTCCTTTTCGATTAGCAATGCTTCAGACCAAGCGCGACAACCTCCGTCGCCCGCATATCCTCATAGCGATCGTAGTCAACGAAGCGAAGCCGAAAACATAGACCCTTCACTCTCTTCAGCACTTCCCGGTCCTGGATCTAGCACTTCGATTCAAGACTACAAAGCCCCGCTGGCTGTCATGGGCGTTGGAGAAGTTTTGCAATCCGGGCACACATCGCGGCAGGAGAAGAAAGCGCGATTGGAACAAGAGATGGCAATGATGAGGGAAGCGCTTTTGGCCAAAGAAAGAGAAATGGCCGAACTGGGCGAGTGATCCGATCATGAACTTTACGATTTCCTTTCATTCTTGTCCTGCATGGACCGGGTTTCCGGGTGGCTTTATAATATCTGTACTTCTAGCGTAGCAAGAGCACGACTGGGGGTAAGGACGACTCATTCGCTTTCAACTCAGATTCCGAGGACGCTGGTGGACAAGATCGCATTTGCATGTGCATACAGGGCCGGTGGCTACAGTACAGATTAGCATAGCAGCATGTTAGAGTATGCAGCGATGAACGGTACCTGCATACAAGCAGATCAGCCTGTCTTGACGATCAATCTACACATGAATCACTATCCCATGATGTACGCTACTGTTAGAGATAAGATCCCGTTCCCTGGTTCTGTTCCTATCCATGTTATCAAGCATGCTGTGGCTAAATGCTGAGAGAGAGACAATTATCGCACACTGGGATCTACTCGACAGGCGCGACACTCTCCATGTCCGTATGCTCACAGTGACTGACAAGGCAATCATCCTATCTTTGATGAGTGAATTAGAGGTCAAAACTTGTCAGAGCATCAAGCTTCTTTGACGGCTGCTTAACGACGCTTGGCCGATGCCGCCCGTCGTGCTTCGTATTCGAACCTTCAAGCCGACCTCCGCCCTCTACCTTCCTCTTTCGCTATCGCTCTTATTACGAGATATGTCGCGTGCCTGCGTGCCTCTTCTTTTAAATGATATACTTTGTCCCTCCATCTCCTAGCTGCTGCTCTAGGTCTATCTAACCGAAGTTGTGGCTACGAGCTTGTATACGAATGTGCGGCCGTAAAGCTCTTCCGACGCGACTTGACGTCTGAATACGGCAGGTGAAAGATGGTGAACATGTGCTAATCTTCCTCTAGAAGCCCCTGGATCCAAGCCTCGTATCTATACTCCACCACTTTGCATGGCGATTAGAGGCCTAAGCATAGAGTCTAAGCATTTCCCGTGCCACCACCCCTCTTATGCCCCCATGATCGCTATCCAAGTTCTTGCAGTAGACTGGACGCGATCTGCAGCTATCGTGTTCTGCAATTTCCCAAATGTACTCCACTATCTCGTGAAGCGGCGTTCGTAGAGCACAGGTGCTACTGGGTAGTCAATGAAGCCCGCAGCTACCCGCGAGGGGCATAGACATGTATAAACATGCAGGACCCTTCGATTGTTCCAAGTCTCTTCATCCAGTCGTGCTTGCTTTGTGCTGATCAACATGTTGTCAACTTCCCTTCTTTCCATTGCGGCTTTGACCGTGCCGACTGTCCTGGCAGCCTCTCTTCGTGACCAACTTCCAGGAGTCCCAGCAGGATGGTCTGTCTCAGGTACACCTGATGCCTCCCAGTCAATCACTTTGAAGCTTGCAGTTAAACAACAGAACATCGACCAGCTCGAGGGTCTCCTGAGGTCGGTCTCTGACCCATCGAGCCCCAACTATGGAAAATACTACACTGCCGATCAGGTCAATGCTCTCTTTGCACCGTCTACCGGCTCTGTTGATGCCGTGACTACGTGGGCCAAGTCATCTGGACTGGAGAATAGCCTCGATCGTGGTCTGCATGTCACTATCAAGACAACTATCGGCGACGCCAACAAGGTCTTTGGAGCAAACTTCACAACCTTCAAGGACGAGTCCACAGGTGTTGAGAAGTTGAGAACCCTCCAATACAGTGTTCCTGACGAGATCTCGAACCACATCGACTTTGTCTCACCCACTACTTTCTTCGGACGTACCGATGCACAGAGTGCTCTCAGACTTCCAGAGAATGTTGGTATCGAAAGACGTGCACCAGTATCTGAGCCGCTGTCAGACCTGGCCAAGCGTGTGACTACTTGCATCTCACACTCAGCTCGTGGAACCGCTTACCTAGGTCCTGATTGCTGGAAGCAAGTCCTGAACATTACCTATGTCCCCGATGCTTCTAGTGGCAGCCGCATTGGCTTCGGCAGTTTCCTGAACGAATCGGCCATCGAAGCCGACCTCTTCCTCTACGAGCAGAAGTACGGTATCCCTAAGCAGAGTTTCAATGTCACCCTGATCAATGGTGGTGTCAACCACCAGGAGCCCGAGTACACCAGTATCGGCGAGGCCAACCTCGATGCACAAAACATCTTTGGCCTGGCACATCCCCTTCCAGTAACCGAGTTCATCACAGGAGGCTCGCCTCCTTTCATTCCTAATCTGGACGAGCCTACTGAGGCCGACAATTCTAACGAGCCCTACTTGGACTACTACGCATACCTCCTGTCTCAGCCCAACGAGGCCCTTCCTCAGGTCATCTCCAACTCATACGGAGATGACGAACAGACCGTCCCCATTGACTATGCCACATATGTCTGCAATCAAATCGGTATGATGGGTCTTCGTGGTATCACCATCCTTGAATCTTCAGGAGATACAGGAGTGGGAGCACCTTGTCAGTCAAACGATGGCAAAAAGACTCCTCAATTCACCCCCGCCTTCCCAGGTACCTGCCCCTACGTGTCGGCAATTGGAGGAACCCAGGGGATCGATCCAGAAATTGCTTGGGATGGATCAACCGGTGGTTTCAGTAACTACTTCCCTCGTGCCTGGTACCAGGAAGCGGCGATTGAGACCTACCTCGGATCGTATGTCAGCAAAAGTGTCCAGGAGTACTACACTCCCTACACGAACTTCAGCGGACGTGGATTCCCTGATTTCTCAGCCCATAGTTCCAACCCATACTGGCCTGTTTTTGCCAATGTAAGTTCTATGTCCTTCACCAGCGATGATCTAATATAGGCTAACATACATATAGNNGGTGTCCTTGCTCTCTATTCTGGAACCTCTGCTGCAGCTCCCGCTTGGGCCGCTATGATTGGTATGCTCAACGATGCTCGCTTCAAGGCCGGTCAGCCTGCTCTCGGTTTCGTCAACCCCCTGTTCTACTCCCTGAAGTCTGGCTTCCTAGACGTCACTAAGGGAGCCGCCACCGGCTGCAATGGTGTCAACGCTCAGACTGGTGCTAAGATTCCTGGCGCTTCGATCATTCCTTGGGCTACTTGGAACGCANACAGTCGGCTGGGACGCAGTTACAGGTTTGGGTTTGCCAAACTTCGGTGTGTTGCTTGATACCCTTGGCCTCAGTGCTTACAACAAGACCGCAACTCCATCATGCCCATCTTGGAACACCTTGGAATACACTCCCTCGACCGGAAGCACCTACAAGATCGAGTGTGGCACTGACCACGCTGGTGGTGTTTTCTCGCAGGTCTACGTCAACGGCACCGACAGACTCAACAACTGCATTATGGCCTGTGAAGGTACTGCTGGTTGTATTGATGTCCAGCTCTCTGGCACTACCTGCTACCTTAAAGGTGCCGTCGGAACCGCTGTCTCCAAGCCTGGTGCTGTCGGCGCTCGTCTTATCTCTCAACCCGTTGGTCTTCACGCTCAGCTCACTACCACGGTTTCCTGCCCTAGCTGGAACAACACCATCTACAACTCCACCTCTGGCTCTCAGTACTTTGTCGAATGTGGTGTTGACCACCAAGGTGGTGACCTCAAATTGGTCTACGTGAATGGCGGCATCAAGAGCTGTGTTGCTGCTTGCGAGCAGACACCCGGCTGTATTGATGCTTCGCTGTCTGGCTCATCCTGTTACCTTAAGAGCAAGGTTGGCAAGGCTGTGCCGAACTCAAATGTCTTCGGTACCCTATTGATCTCCCACAAGGGCAACTCGACTGCATAGATGTCTATGTAGTTACAAAAATTTACGAAACTAGTTGCTTTTTCTTGAGAACACATCTATATCATTGCTGCTGCATTAGTGTCACAATAGCACATCATATGCTTGTAGGTATGCACAACATACCTTCATCGTGCATTTTGGCAGTTGATCTGTGACAGTCATTCGCAGGCGAGAGAATCGAAGATGTATTTGAGCATATTGACCTTGCCTCCCCCAGAAACCTCACGGATTAGGTCCGCAAGTCTTTTCATACCATTTCCAGAGACCTTTGACAAGGCCAAAAGTCAGCAAATATCTCTCCACTCTTCATTCGGACACCATCTCACCTATAATGCCAACACTGTCTCTTTCCCACTGGCAAGTATAAAGTAGACACGGCTCGAGATAATCCCGCACCCACACGTTGAAATTTCATTTGCGCTGTTCGCCTTTGCAGAGTGTTGTAAAGGTCAAGTGTTCGATTGGGTATATCCAGCTGGTTTCACGCATGCAGCTTTGCTGTGGAACTGTTTGTTAATTCATTGCTATCGATCATGAAATCATGATTACTTGCCTCGCAAGCGGGAAAAACGTCGATTGTGATTTTTGCTTCTGGTGGTTTGGTTGGTGCTGCAGTGGCTAGAGCTGCAGTTGCCGCGAGGAGGAACCAGTTTCTGGAGTGCATCTTTGAGATTCTTGGAGAAGTGTATTGGAGAATGACGGATGATCGACTGGATTACCAAAGTATATATATATCTAAGTCGAAGAGGGTATCGATGATTCTTGACGATCGTGGTTGACTCACGCAAAAGAAACGCCCTGCTCATGGATGTCGTATGACCGCTATCTAACTCACTGTAACTAACATCAGAAAATTTTCACGTTTACGCCGAGGAAGACTTGATTCGGACGAATAGAGATCTGATAAAGAGAGAGGGTTTGAGATCGTAAGCCTAATGGTGCCTGTAACTTGCTTTGGTACTTTCAATCTTTGACTAGATGTCCTCCCTCGAATGACTTGTTCCCGTGAAATCGACATACATACTTAGGGCGTGGATTAGTCTGCTTGTCTAAAAGGGCAGTAGCCTCTAGCTCTTCCTCTTTCCGCGACGGAAAACAGTAGTATATAAGCTATCAAGATGCACGATTGTATTCAAGGCAAGGACAATCAAAGAAAGCAAAAGGAATTAAATTCCTTACTGGAACAGCAAAAGCTGTGTATAAATGTTCAGTTATATGTTTTCTCGGCTCGAGAACGATGGGTGGCCCTGAACATGGGTGCCTTGAGCCTTTCCTTCCGTGTCCCATCCGAAAGCCCCATGCTGATGGTAATGGTCAAATAAGTTTGCTATACGCAGATAAGTCTAGGTGTATCGGGTAAGCTCGGTATCGCGAACACGATTAGAGAGGTGACCGCGTGAAGATGGTCTTGTTGCTCAAAGAAGGTCCAGCTGGCTACCAAACTTGATGGACATATCTGATCCTATGGGATTGTTGTAAAGATCCTTGGCCTAGCGGACACGAGAGTCCTTCTTTCCCATACACTCAGCTGTGAGCGATGGAAGAAGACACTGTATAACAGATAAGTGAGACAAGTCAAGGCTTGCTTAACCACGTTAAAAGAAGTTCTGTAGACGATTTTTGCCTGGTATGGTATGGTATGGGGGCAAGAAAAACAAGGCGAAAAACGACAAGCAGGAAAGAAAAAAGAAACACATGCCCACCCTATAGTAGGTCTTTGTTAGGTCAACGCCATGTTTGCGCCTTTCCCAAAAAGAAAAAGCAGAGAAAGCAGAAAGAGAATCCACGCGAGAGCAGTCAGAGGATCAAGCAGCATGCGTCAGAGAGATGGCTGAAGCAGATGTCCACCTCTTTAACAACAATTCTTCCCCATGGCACCCGCAACACCACCTCCTTGGCCCACATCAACCTGACTAGCACCCTGCTGGGCACCTCCTTGAGCACCACCGCCACTGCTATCAATGATGCGTTTCTTGATATCCGAGGCGAGCGAGAAGAAGGCTTTTTCTACGTTGATGTTGGACTTTGCGGAGACTTCGATGAAGGGAATCTTGAGCTCGTCGGCCAGGGCTTGGCCTTGGGCGGTGCTGACGGCGCGCTTCTCTTCCCAGTCGCACTTGTTGCCGATGAGGATTTTGTTGACGCCTTCGGAGGCGTGTTGTTCGACGTTTGAGAACCAGGTGCGGATGTCTNNGTTGGTGAGCATGATTAGTATGAGAGACAAGAGGAAGCAGGGGGGTGTAGATAGCAACGCACTATTGAAGCTCTTCTCGTCCGTGACGTCGTAGACCAGTAGGATACCCATGGCGCCGCGGTAGTAGGCGGTGGTGATGGTGCGGAAGCGCTCCTGGCCGGCGGTATCCCAGATTTGTAGCTTGACGCGCTTGTTGTCGAGCTCGATGGTGCGGATCTTGAAGTCAATGCCGATGGTGGTGATGAATGACGGGGTGAAGCTGTCCTCGCTGAATCGCAAGAGACAGCATGACTTGCCAACACCCGAGTCGCCGATTAGAAGGAGCTTGATCNNTGTAGTGCATGTGTTAGAGAGAGGACGGCCGAGGCAGAAGTGGGGTCGTACGAGAAAGTCATAGTTGCGGTTTTGGCCTGCCATGGCGACGGCAGAATGTGGGGGAGAGTGGCAGCGGCTGGCAGTGAGAGGTACAAAGGCGACAGTCGTATATCGGCAGGCAGCGAGTGTACGGGACGGTCGTGGGTGATGAGCAGCGTAGATGCAAGGCGGTGTGTGTTGGGCGTGGTTGCAGGGCCGGGAGTCGCAGGATGGAGAGTCTCAGACAACAAAGAGAAGGAGACGACGTCGGCGGCTTTTGCTTGTTCGCAGGAGTGAGGTGCAGAGGAGTATCGACGGACAGAGACAGACAGCAAGGTGATGTCAAGGCAGCAGATGCCAAAAGTTACCCTTGACGTTCTGGAGACTGGAGTGTCCCGCCTTGAGCGCCAGCCTGCGCCTGCCAAGTGGCCCGAAACACGACCCCCGACTTCTCCATTCGGCTCAAACTGTTGCAAACGTCCATATTGATCAGCCTCTACTCGAGCAGCTCTCAGCCATCTCTATTCTTTGATAGCTGTGATATCTAAAAGTATCGCTTGTACGCCCAGCGGATCCTGTTGACCACCTTCCTCTGCTTCTTGACTCCGGTCCGAACATCGACCAACTCCTCCACATCCTCGACAAAGTCCCTGAATATCTGCGCAGGCATCACTCTATGCGCCGCCTCACGCAGAACATGCACCTCGCACAACAACAATCCGTGATCCTTGTAGTACAATTCTCCAAATTCCGTCGGTGTCGAGTTGGTGAGCACTCGATCAATGTTGCGCAATTGTCGCATCATGTGTCCCTGCTTGCGGCTTGCGTCTGCTCCTCGTCGTGAAGTCAGTGTAGACGATAGCCAGCGTGAAATCCCGATAGTCACGAGAATGCCGGGAGTAAGACCCACGAACCCAAACACCAGTTCTTGACTCTTGAGCAATGCGTCAATGCCGCCCATGGCCACTTCAACGTCGACCTTGGTCTTTTGTACTTGAATCAACAATGCACGGATCAGGTTTCCACGGATGGTGCCCATCAAAGGACTCGACAGATCCTTCTCGTATGCCTTGAGCACTGGTGTCAAGTCACCCTCGCGGACCTTGGCTCTGATGCTTGCAATCTCGACGTCTGTGAGCGGACTGCCGGTATCTGTCGCATTGCCTGGGTTGTCCACTGCAAAGTCCACAACCATGCGTTCCAAGCTGGACCTGTCACCCTCTAGAGACCTTTTCGACATTATCGACACCTCGCTGTCCTTGTCGTGGCGGATCGTCTGAATCACCTTGCGAGTTGGCTCCACACACCAGTTGATCCAAAAGTCGCGAATAGTATGGCCAAACTCTTGAATCCAGGTAAGGATCTCCGCTTTTCGGTTGACAAGGTAGCGAAGGATGGTGCTTGACGAGAGAATTCCTACAGTAATGGGGAGCCAGTATCGGACAATGCGTGATGGCTTGCCATGTTTCTGTACCATGACCTTTGACTGCTGTGTGTATTCGGGGACCCGAGCGTTTAGCATCTTGATCAGTCTGTCGGCGATGGTCGCAGGGTGTACCCCTGACCCAGACGTCTCCCCATTATCCTGAGTGTAGACCTCAACATCGTAGAGTGGATCGTCGTCGGTGGCTGCTGCAATGGCTGCGTCGAACTTATCGACCGCGAGCTCTTCCTCGTTGACTTTGGCAAGCACGGCGTCCATGAGAGCAACATTACGTGCCACACTGGCCTTCCACTTGTCGCGGCCCTGAGTACCACTCGGCGTCGCGAAACCCTCGCCGTGCATATTCTCGTTCATCAGGCCCTCTCCCAGCAAGACACCTAGCGCGTTGGCTCCACGCAACCTGCATCGTTTGAGCTCATTCTGCTTCTGGCGAACAGAGCCACGAACTCTGGCGACAGGGCTCACAACGCGATTGCGCATCTCCTTGACACTCTTCTCCCTAACCACCTCCTTGACCAGTCCATAGAACTCGGACCATCGAGCAGTCAAGCCCTGCTGAGCCTCGGCGCCAGCACCACGAATACTAAAGTCGGCACTTCTCCTGCGGACATCGGCCCAGACGTAGTTGCTCCACTCGGCCAGACGCAAAGGAGCGGTCTGTATGCTGTACAACGCGGTTGCTTGTTGGCTGGCCAGCACCTGATCCCAGTACCAAACGTCGTCTGCAAGGGCGACAGTCTCATCCAGCAGACGCGACAGTATCAAGCCATAGACCTGGACAGTCGCCTTTGCTACCAGCAGCCACGCCAACTCTTGCTCGTATTCTCCATCATGTTTTTGTGCTGACAGATCCTCTCCTTCGTTCGGTAGCGAGATTTGGGCGCGGGTGAGATAGTGGTGGATCTGAGAGGCTGAGAGTAGAGGGTTGCGTGAGGAAGGGGTTATGGATAGTGATTTGACCAGTGATTGCAGGTGCTCGGCTCGGTCTGAGGGAAAGTGTTGGTCGTCGCCGGTGACGTTTATGGGACCGACTGGTGGTGGCGCATTAAGCTGTAGACGGTCTATCTGCGAGTCTACTCGTCGCACCTGGCTGTAAGTTTCTTGTCGTCAGCCCTTTGTACTGTGTTGATTGTATGCGCGAGACTCTATGGGCTAGAGACGGCCGCGTGGGGTTGGTATGATCTTACTCTACGACGAAAGACATGGTCGCGACCTGTATGGTTTTAGGACAAGATGCTCAGGTTCTCGGTGGTCAGAACTATCTTGTCATGTTTCTACAAGAATCTGGCCAGGTCGTGCGACGTGGACCAACAACGTGCGAAGCCAGCCTTGTGATCATGACGAAAGCCTTGCTTGACAAACCGGGGATTTCTTGTGTCAGAGCATGACTTTGTGTCTCCCACCATCAATCCCACAAGGCAGGTTGCATGTTTAAGATGATGCTTCTCTGGATTATGTGTGACCACTCGACATCCAAGTAAAGCTTCTGGCGCTATTTCTTTGTCGATACAGTCCTGTGCATCCAAAAGTCGGTTACATCATACCATCTAGCATTATCGACCCCACAGAAAGATCACCTTCATGTTCTCTTGGGCTAAAGTTTGTCACGCACGAGTCTTACCATATGCAGGATGCGTTATGAGACCCATGAAGGGCATCTCAATCCACAAAGGCTTATCAGGTCCATGTAGTTCGTATCTTCCAAGCGATGATATCTCGAAACTTGTCTGAGTAAGGAGCGATTGTGACAAACTTTAGCACCTACCTCCCTTATCACGTAAACACAACCCGACTTCGGCCCGGCCGGCGGAGTCACTGACCGCAACGATAGCGAGTCATCCCTTGGCAGTTGCATGAAACACAGGTCCAACTCCAGATTTCTTTTCGATACATTCAACGTCAATCGCCGCTTCTGCTCGTCTGCTGCCTGTGCTACTCTTACAAGGTATCAAATGGTTCATTTGGTTGCACGAGGTCAATGCTAAAAACAGATAGAAACCATCGCTACTCCTGAAGCTTCCCATCACAAAACTTTTGATAAGATATATCTGCAATCATGAGCTCCGAAGGTAGAGGCCGTCTCGCTGGCAAGAACGCCGTCATCACTGGTGCTGCTGNNGGTAAGTGCTCTCTGTCTCTTTCTCAATCGTCTGCTGTATCAGTTCATATCAAAGAAAGAGCTCATATTGCCACCACTATACTCACCGACCACTATCAAAGTATGTTGCACCAAGAGAGCTTCCACTGACAACAAGACAGTGGCATTGGTCTCGAGACCTCCATCCTCTTTGCCCGCGAGGGTGCATCGGTCCTGATGTGCGATATCTCGGCACCTGCTCTCGAGAAGGCTCTTGCCAAGGTCAAGGAGATTGTCCCCAACGCTGCTGGTAAANTTGAGACTACCATCTGCGATGTCAGCAAGGAGGCCGATGTTGCCGCGACCGTTGAGAAGGTAGACCCTTGGGGTGGTCTTGATGTCATGTTCAACAACGCTGGCATCATGCACGCCGACGACGCAGGTGAGTGTCGAATCAAGGTTCTTATCAGATCGCATCAGGCTTACAAGATTGCAGATGCTATCGACACACCAGAGAAGATCTGGGACTTGACTCACAACATCAACGTCAAGGGTGTCTGGTTTGGCTCAAAGCACGCAGTGCAAGCACTGCGCAAGCACAACAAGACCAAGGGCTCCATCATCAACACTGCTTCCGTGGTCGCTCTGGTCGGAGCAGCAACACCTCAGCTCGCATACACAGCCAGCAAAGGTGCTGTTCTCGCAATGACTCGTGAACTTGCCATTGTGCACGCACGCGAGGGCTTCAGATTCAACGCTCTGTGCCCTGCTCCTCTTAACACTCCTCTTCTTCAGGACTGGTTGGGTGACGACAAGGCCAAGCGTCAGCGCCGCGAGATTCACTTCCCTACTGGACGTTTTGGTGAGGCTATCGAGCAGGCACATGCTGTTGTCTTTTTGGCCAGTGATGAGAGCAGCTTTGTCAACGGAACCGACTTTGTCGTTGACGGTGGCATGACCAAGGTATGTTGCAATCGATGTCCAGAGAATGTGTTGGTGCAATGGCTAATTTTCGACAGGNCATATGTCACTCCTGAAGGACCTCCGGCTCCTGCTCCTACCAACCTCGCAAAGTAGAAGGAGGGATCGTTATTTTCATGAGTGGTTGGCGCATGGCTAGTATTGCATGGAGCAAATATACGACTTTGACGAATTTCTCCTAAGCAGCAAGATTATACAGTTTTATGAGATTTCGCATTAGACCAAGACTATCATCTATCTTGCTGTTGCCGCTTCGGTCCAGCGGACCAAATGTGTGAGGGGTAATGTGTAGCCAGATTTGTGGCATATCATCTGTTTTGTGTCGCAACAGATGTGAATCATATAGTAGTCAGGCGAGAGGCTAGAGAAGGGTTATGCAGAGTCGGCAGAGGGTATTCAAACCTTCTTGGCGTTCTCAATGGCACCCTGAGGGTCCTTGGCGATAGCCTCAAGCTCTCTGCCCTCCTGCTTGCCAGCCTTCTTGAGTTCCTCGGGGATAGAATCGCCCTTTTGGGCTTGTTGCCAGAGGAGAATACGTGAGACCTGTGTTGCGCCGACGCAGAAGAGGAGGAAGTTGACGGAAGCGAGGNNCTGCATCGATGCAATCAGCACTTTTGACCACAAGAAAGTCAGGCTTCAAGCGGCTTGCACATACAAAAGGTTTTTGGGCTTAATGACAAAGCACCAGCGGGTCCAGATCAAACCAGTAGCCATGAGGGCACCGTTCTGCGACAGCGAAAGCGATTCGACGGGACGAGCAAAGTCGGCGGCTCCGGCAAGGACGAGACCCCACTTCATGATGGGGGCCCAGAAGTGGACGGTCTTGGGGCCGACGGGCGACGACCAGAGCTGTTGGAGACGGGACTGGTTTGGCGGAGGGTCGACATTGGTCTCGGCTGCGGACTGATAGGTGCGTCTCTGAGCGACGGGCTTGCCGGTGCGGATGGCCTGGCTGCGGAAAGCATTGAAGAAACGGAGGCCGGCTCTGAACGACATGGTTGCTGTGTTTGCGGTATGTGAGTGAGTGGAGATGTCCAAGAGAAAACGGAAAGAAGAGAGTCGCAGCTGCTTTCCGGCGATATGCTCGAGGACCCGATGCCGCAATGCGGAGCAAGAGCAAGAGCGGAGTTTGTGTCAGCGCCTGCCGTTTCCGCCAGAGAGACGTGTTTGCCCTGTTTGTTTCGTTGCCCGCTGGTCAGCAACAGCGACTCTCGAACTGGCGCGAAAGTGCGGATTGGTCAATTGCCCATACACACACGCCACCATGTCGCTCAAACAATCATTCTCCAAGGCGCTCAAGGAGCTGCGCTTCCACCACTGCCAGACCTCGGAACACAGCGCCGCCGTCCGGTAACTTGCCATCCTCCTGCGACTTTCGACTACACGCGCAACCAGCATCCTGACAACCCGACAACAGCNNTCGTTCCTCACCCAGCAATATCCTGCCATGAAGAAGGCCAACCCTCACACCCCCATCTTGATCCGCGAAGCCCTGGAAGTCGAGCCGAGAGTCTGGGCAAGATACGGTTAGCATACCTACACCACAACCCACCTATGGAACAACCACTGATCATGCTGTCAATTAGACTTTGGCAAGGAGAAGAGCGCAAGTCTGAAGGGTATGTTGATCCGAAACTGCTTTGTCATGGACAAGCACTGACACCATGCACACANNGGTCTCGACAACAAGGCTATTGAGAGCAAGATTGCTGAGCTGGTCCAACAAGCTCAATAGATACCCCCGTTCGAAACAAATCATCTTCCTTTTTGCTGTATACAATTGCGACCGTCTTTCCCTTCACTCTGCCGGAAATCCCTTCGATCATCAACATCCAAAAACCACATGTGCACCACATATCTTGTTGCAAACGACCGACTTGATACCGAGACTCTATATCTGACAAACTACAACCTGCACATATCAAGCTGCAACGTCGCCGACGTTTCCAAATCTGAACTGCGCCCAAGACATGCTACCCTGGGGCAGAGTCCATAGCTGCTTTCCATTATCACTTCCAGCAGCTCCAGCACCAACGTGGATCGGCAATAAATGTTCAAATGATGGGTGCGCTCTCCTGGCATCACTTCTGCGCAGCAACTCTGCCATTGCCTTTTGTCTATTTTCTGGCNNTGCATCGGTTATCAGCTTGTAGTCTCTTTGGTTGCGTTTTAAATGCAAACATACCTTTTGCTCTACAGCTTCCTTCAAGGCAGCGTCAAAACTGACACTGTACGGCATAGGAGAAGGTTGCTGCATCGCTTTCCACATATCTCTCAGATTGTGTACCGCCATGCCACTCACAATTACCAAAATGCCCTCCTCTCTTAGACCTTGCATTGCCTCTCCAAGTCTGTAATGCTGATCCGCATCATCGCTGTCAAATAGCGAAACCTGCACTAGTGGCACACTCAGAGGATTGCTTTTCGGATCAAAAGCCACAGTAAACGGTGCAAAAACACCATGATCCAGGCCCCTGCTCACACCCTTTGCATTTATCCCTGCTGTCTTCAATGCAGCCAAGACCCGTGTAGAAACATCTTTGCTGCCAACATTGGGATACTTTATCTTATAGTAGTGGTCTGGGAAACCGTAGTAATCGTAGATGAGGTCTGTGAGTTCGGCGGTGTTGACCTCGATGGCCGTTGGAGAGGCTTGCCAGTGTGCAGAAAAANNGACGACTACGGCTTTTGGTTTGACGACTTGTGTTATCTCTTTGCCGATTTCTTGGAGTTTGGTGTAGGCTGGGTGGGAGAAGTCTTCCATGATGTTCGGGCCGCCGTGGGAGAGAAAATAGACCGGTGTGCGAGACATGGTGGATGTCGAGTTGAGATGTGGCTGCGTTTTCTTTGCTGTGGAGATGGAGGAAGTGTTGTTTGACGGGAATGCAGAAGTGTTTCTTGTGATAGTCCTGACCCAGCGAAGCAGAGGCGTGGACAGAGGAAATAGAGCTATAGCCAGAGTGAGACAGATGATTGATGTCAGTAGACCAATGCGAGGATATTGCATTAGCGAGATGGAAGTGCTTGTCGTTGATATGGCTCTTATATGTCGAGTGAGGTGCTTATGATGAAGATCATTCTGGAAACTTATATCTCTCCTTGTACTGTATACGGCACTAATTCCGCTGTGCTTACAGAGGGTTCGGCATGCAGTCTTCCGAGGTTTGCGTGCTTGGTAAGGTCTTGATATAGAACACTGCAAGGGTCTGACGTTCGGAAAGATCTCTCTGCTCCTGCGCATCACCGGCTGGAATCTGCACTTGAAGCAACAACATCTGAACTACACAACCGAAGATTAACTTGACTGCTAGCTATTGCAAATATGGCTGCAATCGTTCTTCCTGCTGCCAGAAGGCATACCTCTACAGTCATTGTCATGCATGGCTTGGGCGACAGGTAGGTCCAAAAGCTATCGATTCTGAAGGCCTGTTTTGTTAACTCTATATCAGTGGCCATGGATGGTGAGCACGACGACCCAATCTCGTCACGTTCAGTCTTGCTTACTCTTATGGAGGTCGTTCCTCGCCGACATGTGGAAGGGCAAGTTTGAAGAGACCTCTTTCATCTTTCCCAATGCACCTGAGATCCCCATCTCCGTGGTATGTGCAAGAACCATAGACCTTTCAAGGCATTTGACTAACAAAAACAGAACATGGGAATGAGAATGCCTGGGTGAGATAGCTTGATCAACGTTCCTGGTCGGCCATCCAGCACTTGCTGACTTTGCACGGTCTGCAGTTGGTATGATATTGTAAGGCCTCGCAACTCAGCAAATGTTTGCATAATCTCTCCTCGATATCCAAATCTCCTCACGACACAGAAACTTGGCTAGAGATCCAGCACTGACTAATTCTGCCGGACAGATGTCTTTCGACGACATTCAGCAGCACGAAGATGAGGCTGGTATCACCCGCTCGCAGAACTACATCCACTCTTTGATCGCCAAGGAGATTGAGAAGGGCATTCCTTCCGAGCGCATCGTCCTCGGTGGTTTCTCTCAGGGCGGTGCTATGAGTCTCATGTCGGGTGTCACTGCTCCCACACGCCTGGGCGGTATCTTCGGACTCAGCTGCTACCTACTACTCCGTGGCAAGCTCAGAGACATGATCCCAAGCGAGAACCCAAACAAGGTACGCTACCCTCGGCCCAGACTCGAGATTTGACATCTTGCTCTTCACCTGCAATCATGCTTATTTGAAACAGCAAACGCCTATCTTCATGGGCCATGGTGACGCCGATCCGGTTGTTCGTTACGAATGGGGCCAGGCCACTGCTAAGACTCTTCAAGAATGGGGTTGGAATGTCGATTTCAAGACGTACAAGGGTCTTCCTCACTCCGCTGCCCCACAAGAGATCAACGATCTGGAGCGCTACATCAAGGAGAGAGTCCCAGATCTCGGCGACAAGCCTCTGCCTTCCAAGGCCTGACTGCAGCAACATGCTCACGAAGTCGGAAGGATCTGGTTAATCATTTCAGTTGTTGTCTGTCTGCTACTCATCCTTTGGAGAAGCAGCGGCAAACGCAGAAATGAGGAAAAGACCAGATAGACAAGCTACATGAATTTTGTGCCTCCGTTAGAGTATACCACTCCTCCGCACCCGAATCTCAAATTTCGTCTATAAGGAAAAACACTCAGAACACACCCGCTCTCGTCCGTCGCCGTGATTGTGAAGGAGTGAGCACTCTACTTGCAACGTCCAGACGTGCATGCTGTTACCTGCAGAAAGTCCTGTTTGTGTGCCCTTCGTGAAGACTGTAGCTAGCTGAGTTTTCCAAAACATTCTGCGTTTCATTCGATCGGCGAGATCCTTGCCCTATGGAGAAGCATCACAACAATGGCGATCGTGGATCCTCGTCCCGAAAAACTCGTGATTATGTGGGCAGTTCGAAGTATGGACTTGACGTGCCTGCCTCCAGTTGATTATCATGCAAGATCAATTGTCTGGGAATTTTGACAGCTCTGTGACAGGTGTAGATGGTTGTTTCATTGCGGCATCTCGCAGACTTGACACTTTCTTCTTTGCCCTCATCTGCCTCTGCACGGCCCGTTCTCCCCACCTCTCTCGTCCGCCTGTACCGACGTTTCAAACAAAGCAGGTTTTCGCACGCAGGCATCTTGCGAAAGGAGTCAAGATTCCTGGAATCATGCGCGAGGAAATGCGCCATCGTTGCGCGTTTCCTACTGGAGCTGCAACGCGATTTCGTTTTTGCTGGTGAGCGGTCCGCCGGGTACACCGAGAACCTGGTGCGCGTGTCCTGTCATTCGTTTAGGGGATGTGCCCTGTGGGTAGTGATGCTGTCTATTTGGAGACAAGCCACAACCGTACTGCGCAGTGATTACGCTTGTCCCTGCCCTTGTGTTGGTTGATGCATGTAGGTTCCTTGTTCCCCGGTGTGTGGTAATGATCTCGGTGGATGCCCGCCTGGCGGCACAAAATCATTTGGGGGATGGTGTGGGCGAGCTGGGTGTAATATTGCGTGGTCCGCCTCGTGCTTCACGAGCCCGTGGTATTTTTTTTGAGCTCTTTGTCTTTTCTTGGACATCTTTTACACTTCTTGTTCTTGTATCTCACCTGGAATTGTTCGTCCTGGAGCTGCTGGCAGCACACATCGCCGCATAGGTATAGAGTATCTTGCACGGTACAAGCTGCAAGGCTAGCCCACGATATGGAGATTCACGGGATGGACAAGGCGGATTTCGCTGCCATCATGCAAGAGCCGGTCTCCAGTCCTGAGAGGACATCAAAACGACAGGCAATCAAGGCATTTGCATCCAAGCTGAAAAGAAGCACTAGCAAGATAGGATCTCCAGTGCGACAGCGTCCCTTCTCAACTCTTTATTGGATTTCGCTGACTAGCTATTCAGNNAGCGAGCGATCCCATACTCGGCGCAAAAGCAAACCTTTGGACGTTCACTCTGTGGTTGTCGAATCTCAGCCCAATATCCTCGCCGAATGGGGCAGCAAACGATCTTCCGACTTGCCGCGTCCATCGAGAGACTCGGTCGTTGGACAGTACTATGTCGGCAACATTGTGAAGCCGTCGCACAAGTCACCCAGATCGAGCCCAAAGCAATTGAGCCATGAGGAGCTCGTCAATTACTTTGCTGGAGCACCCGAGTTCGTAATCAGGTCACTGAGACCTAGAGTCAGTTATCGCTGGAAACTGGACGAGGAGAGTGGAGAACCACAAGACTTTGTCGATGTCGGTCACAGTACCTTCAATGCTGCAACTCTGAGGCGAAGAGAGAGGACCAGACAACTTCGAGACTTGGTTGCAGAAGATGCAGAGAATCAGATCCCTATGATGGAGGTGCCGAATATGCTCAGCTTGAATGGAAATGAATCTGGAACCATCGGACTGGAATACTTCTTACAGATACCACTGGCAGACAGCAAGCGTTCCGCCGAAGACGAAGATGAAGCCTTTAGGTCCAAAAGGCAAATGTTGGCCACGTCGCCCGAGATTCTGGAGCTCAGGCCGCTCAACCTGGAATACTTGGTCCATAGACTGGGGCAAATCGGCGATAGTCGACATTCTAGAACCAGCGACGAGTGTCGCGAGCGAAAACACGATGGACAGACAGCTGATGAACTTCACACGGAACTGTTTTCCAACCTACTCACAGAACCCGAAAGAGAAGAAGATGATCCGCCCTTCACAAATCTCGAAGGTCAGGTAGTAGCGCTTGCGAGAGTTCTGGTGACCACCAAACTCTGGTACGACTTCAGCTTGGTGGAACATAGAATTCGCCTGGGCCAGATCTTGTGGCCATCTACAGACTATGACGATGAATCAGCGGTCGATGTCGAAGCATCAATGACACCCAGTGAACGCGATCTTTTGCTTCTACAAATCGCTCTAGCTTGCGAGTTGTTGATCCGTGTCGAGCTCTCTGGCTTTCCCACTTCTGGCTTCTCGCGCAAACTACGGTGGGATATCGTTCTCGCACAACGCTTCCTGGACAGTATCCGCATTGCACCAAAGACATCAGTAGAACCAGAGAGTCCGTGCCGCAACAGCGTCATGTCGATCGCTACTTTTGTGACTGCAAGGGAAATTCTGGATGAACAGCGCATAGAACCAATTATGTTCCCTAGACATGAGAAGAGACAAGTGGATGGCTTGCTAAACTTTGCTCAAGCCCTTGCATGGCCACACACAGAAGAGATACGAGAACGCTTTGCAGAGAGAGTCAGGAGGCACTCGCGCGATGCAGGCAGATTTGGTATCTACGGTGCACCTCTGGGTACGCCGAGTCAGTCGCCTAGTCAGAGCAACTACTTTGCGCAACAGAAGAGACCACAGGTCGGTCGTGCATGTACAGCACAATCATTGCAGCTTCTACCTGCTTCAGCATATGGAGCCGACAACTTTGACCTTGGAGGTTGGCTCTCCAGATCTTGGCTGACCGGCTTCATACTGCCTGGCGAATCCATCTCACATCTGCTCATCTCGACGTTACTGGAAAACTCGCCGGCCGCAGTAACTGCACTGGGCGACGCGGCTAACCTGTATCAAGGCTTTGTCTACAAGTCACGCAGCTACTGGAGTAAGAGCTGTGTAGTGGGACGAGTTATTGCAGCCGCGAATGGAGCAACTGACTGCATGGGCTGGATATCCTGCAGCAGCGCCCCCGTGGACCAACGAGACGGATGGGTAAACCTTGAAGTCAAAGATTTGCCCAGTTCCACCACGCCACGTATCTCTGATGGTAACAGTCTATCCACAGACTCGGCATTCGTGCCCGGCGACACAACCACAGTCACCGATACCGAGTTTACATGGCCAGTAGATGGCTTCACAGTCCTAGGAAACGAAGCACGCTACCATGGCTTCAGCCTACTTCCCACAGGCACCAGTTTCGAACTCAGTCCAGCTGTACCCTCAACCTCACCTTCTGACGACGCAGAAGCTCATCTCGCTCCCATCCCAACAGCAATCGCCTCTTTGGAATTCAGTGCCAAACGCAGCAACTCACGGCCAACAGCAAAAGTGACACTCCCACTCCTCTACGACGTCCAATTCATCTCCTCCACCCCCTGTTTCCCCAACATCTCACGCCCATCCACACCTTCCGCTATCACGAAATCTCGCTCACGATCGGGTACTGGAACATTATCTGTCAAAGAACTACCACCGCCACCAACGCATCCTTTACATTGCTCTTATGCCATTTCCATCATCCCTGCTGCCTCCATCCTCGCAGACGACTTTACGGATACAGTGCATTTGGGAGATGAGACTGTGGTTTTGGATTGTAGAGGTACGGGCGAGCTGCAATTGTTGGCCAGGGCTTGGTGTGCCAAGGTTGGTGAGAATGCTGTGGTAGGGAGGGTTGGAAAGACTTGTTTGGGATGTTGTGTTAGAGAGGCTAGGNGGTTGGGTGTCAAAGTCGTTATTAGGATTTGATGGAGGCTTTTTTTTCTTGGGTTGATCTGTTAGGCTTTCCTTTTTGTTCTTGGAGTTTTCTTGAATCGGGGGATGCATTTTGGTACTTGGTCTTGCTTGAAATGGGTTCTTGGTGTATTAACATCTCTTCTGTAACAACTTTCCTATATGAACATTTCTTCTCCTTCTCTCCCAAGCCTTTATCGACGAGCAAAGTGGAAGGGATTCAGCGAACAGAGGAGGTCACATAGACAGCAGATGCGCGCTGAAGGTGAAGAGCGTTGGTGTTGCTAGAAAGTCGGTGGAACATAGTGGGAGTAAACAGATGTCCACAAAGGTGTCAGAACGTTCTTGTCTCCTCTGGTCCTTTCAGATTTGCTTGTACCTTTATCGGTTTACGCTGTAACATTCTTATTGCGTACCAGCGGTATCTCCATCTTCATCCATAATCTCAACGACAGGAACATCAACCCTAACAACCCCATCCTCCTCTCTCCCTCCAACACGTCTAAACTCCTCAAAAGCCTCTTCATCCCAACTACTCGCCCTCATCCTATCGCCAGCAAACCTCAACACATCCTTCAACCACCTCCCCTTTGTATTGCCAGCTTTTTCTACCCTCTCTACCCAATGCCACAAACTCGGGTCTCTGAAATTGACATCGGGGGCTGCATCCCCTGACGCTCGAGAGATTATGTGAGCACGCAATGCAGCAGCAATCAGATAGAACACGACACTGGGGTTGCAGTTGTGGTCCATAACTGCTATTTTTATTGTTGTGGTGTCGGGGATGACGTTTATGGAGGGGCAGCAGAGTAATGCGACGGCGGTGTGAGAGTGGGAGGATATTGCTGTCAAGAGGCCTGCGGTGGCGGTTTCGCCGCGAGAGGAAGATGCCCAATCGATGCTGCAGCCTGACCAGATGAGGTATTTGAGAAAGTCGAGTTTTGGTGTTGTCCAAGGTTCGTGGAGGAGGGATTGGGGAAGCTGGACCGAGGAGGAGAGGGTGAGGTAGGGGAGGCGAGGTTGATTCTGTGGGTGAGAGAAGTTGGGCACTGGGATTGGGGGTTGTTGTCGTTCTTCCTCTTCGTCGTTCTCGCTGTCGTCTGTATCTGAGTCGGAGGGTGATGAGTCGCGTGATGGTGGTGATCTTCTTCTGTGTATTTCTTGTACGGTGTCCTTGAACAGATCCCAGGTCATCCACTTGCATTGTAACATGCGAGAGACCGTGGCGTCATCTGCAACCTTGTCTTCACTGTTACCATCGTGCTCAAGGGTGTCGATGGCAAATCGAAGATAAGTGTGACGATATGACAGGTCGCGAGCAAAGACATACGACGACAGAGGCAAACTTATGTTTTTGCAGTCTTGGAAGATCACTTGGACAAGCTCAGTAGGCAGTTGCTCAAACTTTGATAAAGTTGGATCTCGTTTTGTTTTCTTTTTGCTNATTGAAGAAAGAGATGTTATTTACTGCATGAAATCTGACTGACAGAATTTCATGGTGATGGAAAGAAACTATTATCAAAGCACTGATACTTACTTCTTCAGGGGTTGAGAGCTGACTTGGTTGGTGCGTGCAGTCTTCCATGGTCTGTCACGGTTCTTAAGGGGTACGTCTTTATTTTCACACAGGCGACCTCGCTTGCGACGACCACGGATCCTGATGGGGGTGAGGTCCATGTTGGATGGAGTACTCTTGTGTGAGCCAACCAAAGATGGAAGGGTAGATGTCTATACTATCAACTCAGAGTTAGCAAAGGTTTGAAAAGACAGATGCTGTTGTTGAGTGTGATGTGTGTAAAGGTTCTCAGTGATCTTGGTGTAAAATCGATCAGCGCCGAAGCTCAATTACTATCTAGTGCTAGATTTTTAATCTTTGAACGAGGAATGGATGTGCTGTGATGTGATGGAAGTGTTCCTACCTGTTATGATGTCGGTCGACGTGTTGCTGAATGCTTGGTAATGCAAAGGCAAGTCTATTCTGAGCTCAGAGTCAGTGAATGGTTCGAGCAATGTGTTGATTAACAAGGTTGAGGTTGGTGTTGGGTGTCAGAATATGTAAGAATTGAATCTCATAGCGCATGCGCCGTTAAGAGAAACAGGCGTGTAACTCCGGTCGCACACGTCAATCGCAAATTATATCATCTTTCGGAAGAGTGCTGGGAATGGTGTGCAGAAGAGAAAATGCGTGAATAGACATACCTTCACATGTTGTTGGTGATGAGAGAAGGAAAGCAGAGAAAATCTCAAAGTCCCGCGCGAGCTAAAAAGCAGACAGCGGAAGCCGGGGAAGTAGCATTTTCTTAGTAAGCCAATGCCAAGCCCGAGACACACACCTTGTCGAAATCATTTCGCACTGGAGAATCGCGAGCATCCCGATATCACCGACCCATCCCTCCTTTTACTGTACGTCCGACCCGAAGAGCATTGCAGTCGCTGCCGCACACATCAACCTCCGGAACTCTTCATCTGACCCTACTCGCCAGAACAAACAGTCAAAATGGGTGACGCAGACATCAAGGCCAGCCAGTGGAGACTCGTCGAGGTCGGCCGTGTCGTCCTCTTCAGCACCGGCATCCACGCTCAGAAGCTCGCCGCTGTTGTCGAGATCATCGACCACAAGCGCGTACGTGAACTCCTCCGACCGATATCCTGAGAACCGATCGACATCGAAATACACACATTCGCACAAAACACACCTCCGAACATCCTTTACGAGCCTCTACACACGTCGCAACATGCGCACACCACGAAAAGACAGTCAGCAAGAGCGTCAGGCTGACAGAACATGAAATAGGTCCTCGTCGAGGGTCCTTCCTCCGACCCCAAGGCTGCCGTCTTCCGCCACTCCGCCTCCCTCTCGGACCTCTCTTTGACTCCCATCGTCATTGAGAAGCTTCCCCGCGCCGCCGGTCACACTGCCCTCAAGGCTCTCTGGGAGAAGGTTGGTGTCGACAGCAAGTGGAACAACAGCGCCTGGGCCAAGAACCGCGAGCGCTCCGTCAAGCGCAAGCAGCTCACCGACTTCGAGCGCTTCAAGGTTATGCGCCTGAGAAAGCAGGTGCGTGGATGAAAACAATCGCATGACACAGTCGAGCAGACCCGACTGACAGTATATCACANNCAGGCCCGTTTCGAGGTCCGCAAGCAGTTCGCCGCTGCCCGTGCCCAGTCCGCCAAGGCGTAGGTGGATGACTACATATCAAAAGGGGACGGATACATGGGTTCAATGGGAGTAGTGGGCTATGGCTTTTGCAGAAATGAAAGCGGGGATTCTTCTTTTCACACTGCTACGCTGCTGCACATCCGATGCTGCCCTCGCGCGTCTCCAGCAGAAGGTACATGACAGCTTCTGGGAGGCTGGCGGAGGGCCGTAAAAAGTCCTAGCATCGACAAAGTCTATCCAGCTTCTTTTCCAAACGCTGTGGGAAAACAAGGAAAATGCTTCAAACACCAAAATCTTCAGCAACAACGCTTTTTACGTTCATGAATTGTACATGCTTGACTTGTAACCTGTGATGGCCAACAAACGTGCATGTAAACAGTGAATTCACCTTGATACTGAGCGCGTGGAGACGAGTGCTGGCCAGTGACGCAGCTGGATTCCACCGAGGGCAGCCAGAGTGGGCACAGGCAGAAATTCACCGTGCGTCGCAGCTTCGGCAATTCCAAGCACACGGCGAGCCACAACCTCATCCCAAGGCCACATCACTCAGTAACTGCATAACAGAATCGTCCAATCCGGTGAGTCCAGGCGAAGCCATGCGCGAATTTTGCATCTCGTAATTCTTGGATTTGATTGAAAGAGACACCATGTGTTTCCCAACGTCCAAGGAGGAGCTCTCGCGTGCCGTGGCAGCAACAGTCGACTGACGCGCAAATTCGGCCACAGATCCTATAACCAGCCAAAATGTCGAACCCCCGTGTTGAAGAGATCGTCGACGACAAGCCCGAGCAGCAGGTCGAGGTTGATGACAGCAGCTCCGACTCTGAGGGCGAGGAGGGTGGTATCCCCGCCGGCTCGTCCGTCACCGTCCACTCTCGCAACGAGAAGAAGGCCCGCAAGGCCATTGCCAAGCTCGGCCTGAAGAAGATTGAGGGCATCACTCGCGTCACTCTCCGCAGACCCAAGAACGTAAGTTATACAAAGCTCAATTGCAGACGAGAAGCTAACTCGGGTCCAGNNATCCTCTTCGTCATCAGCCAGCCCGACGTCTACAAGTCCCCCAACTCCAACACCTACATGTAAGCATCTTCTATATGTCTATCCTCACAACATTAACTGACACGCGACGCAGCANTCTTCGGTGAGGCCAAGATCGAGGACCTGAACTCGCAAGCCCAGGCCGCCGCTGCCCAGCAGCTCTCCCAGCAGGAGGGTGCCGCCGAGCACACCCACGACCACTCCGACAAGGGCAAGGCCCCCGAGGTTGAGGCCAAGAAGGAGGAGGAAGAGGAGGACGACGGTGAGGAGGTTGACGAGACCGGTCTCGAGGCCAAGGACATTGAGCTTGTCATGGCCCAGGCTTCGGTCAGCAGAAAGAAGGCCGTCAAGGCCCTCAAGGAGAACGACAACGACATTGTCAACTCCATCATGGCCCTGAGCATATAGATGCAGTCATCTGTCTTGAAAAGGCATGATTGAAGCTCGGGTTAATCCTCCCAACACTTTATATATAAAAGTTTCACACAACGAATGAATGTCCTCGTTGTATTCTGATTCCTCTTTTCTGTCTACTTCCATGTGATTCAGTCTTGTTGCTGTCATATGTCTGAGGTCTCATGTTCAACCACATCTTGAACCTCTCACTACCTGTGATGCTAATGTGCCTTCACATGCCAGAGTCACCGTTCCTTCCTTCTAGGAGTCCTGCTCCATCAGCACCCTTCCGTATCCTCTCTATATAAAGCGCTTCCTTCTATCCCACCTCTCTCCCTCTCTCTATTCTTGATTTCATTCCCGTCTCCAATACCAACTGCAGCTTGAACTTTACACTACCCTTGAGTCCTATGACAACCTTCAGCAACACCTCTAGGTTGAACATTATTATAACAGCTCTCAGCGACACCTTTAGGTCGAACATTATCATGACAACCTGAAGGCATGCCGATATCAAAGTCGTAAAGAGTCGGAATCGAGGAAGGCGCACGGACAGTTTTGCCAAGAACGGAAAGAGCGACTCCATCGCAGCAACCTCAGTCGATGTTCGCGAAGGCCAACGGATCCCGCCTGCACCGCCGTCTCTCTCCCCTCTACCTTCCGTCAATCCAACCCATCGTCACAATGGCCGTCGGAGTGAGTCATGTCGCCCTGTTTTCATCACCGCATCGCCCTCCCACTTGCGCCGTCGCACCCGGTCCTCGTCCTGTCGCCGACATGAGCTAACAGCCTTCCTCAGCGCAACGCAGCCCTCAAGCTCGACTGGGCCAAGCTCTCCCAGCAGCTCTCCCTCAAGGGTCAGACCGCCAACTCCCTTGTCGCCTTCAAGAAGCGCAACGACGACGCCCGCCGCAAGCTCGCCCAGCTCCAAGAGCAGCAGCAGACCATCGACTTTGCCCACTACCGCGGTATCCTCAAGAACTCGGCCGTCGTCGACGACATCGAGAAGCAGTTCAGCGCCTTCCAGCCCAAGAAGTACGACGTCAACCGCCAGATCAAGGCCATTGAGGCTTTCGAGGCCCAGGCCGTCAAGGCTGCCGAGCAGACCAAGTCCAACGTCGACGTTGAGCTCAAGGACCTGCAGAAGACATTGAAGAACATTGAGGACGCCAGACCATTCGAGGACTTGACCGTCGTGCGTACACCCGCTTTTGCAGTTCCAAAAATCAGCCCCTGTCTAATAAATTCGTCTAGGNACGAGGTTGCTGCCGCCCAGCCCGAGATCGATCAGCGCACCGAGCAGCTCGTCAAGAAGGGCCGCTGGATGGTGCCCGGATACAAGGAGAAGTTTGGCGATCTTTCCATCCTTTAGAGTGGATATATCGACATTATCTCTCTACTTCCTTGTATCTTCCTCCTTTTTGCTCTCTCGCCACAAATATCCGCCACACCTCTTCAAATACGCTCACCAACACCTGTATCTTTTGCCGGTCGAAATGGGCTACAACCAAGGCAAATTTACTTTGTAGCATAGACAAAATCGCATTTGCCCTTTGATCGAAAACCAGCCATTTTGTCTACGAGAAGCAAGATTCTTGTTTGCCTTTTGGGCACTGTCCACGAGAAGTTTGAGTAAAGCTGGGAGAATGACTAGAAGTACGAAAGCATGTCGAGGTGAGTTTTCTCCGTCACTCAGTGTAGCAATTTTATTTCGTGATGAATGAAGGTAAGTCATGTCCACGAGAAAGAACGCTCATACCTTCCTTTCTTTTCTTGCTTCAAACGTTCATTTACGCCAATCGTACCTTCCATTTCTGCCCAAACCCTCTTCCCTCTGGGTTCGGTTGCTCCTTCTCTTTATGATAGTTTGTGCTTTGATCGTTCTTTCCTTCGACATACACATCTTTGAAATACTTTTCCCGCTTCCCCGGTCTACAAAGTCTCAGTCATAATTCTGAACATTTGGGAGGGGTGACCGAAGCTAGTGATGCAAACTCACCACGTTTTGATTTGGGTACTGTTTTTTTCTTTCGAGCAGTGCCATTCCCCCGTTGTCAGAAGCTCTTTTGGACTCTTTTGCCTGTTGTATGATATTTTGACTCCTGTCTATCAACAATAAGTCTGTGTTTGTACGCTATACATTTGGAATATGTGAGTAGCGTATATGCATGGACAAACAACAGAAGGATGCTGTCTGTGACCTTTCTTTTTTGGTTGCGAAAGATAGAATTCGTAGGGGCGGGGGCGACCCTGACTTCCAACCTTGATTGTTATTCCTGCACGCCGTAGTTTTCTCTTTTGTTTATATTTTGACTGGATATAAGAGATGTGATCGGAGTCCTTTCTTCTCCTTGTGTAATCGTGATAGCACGAGGTCGGATCCAACACGAATACCAATCTTCAGTTCCCCGTCAAACACCTAGAGCCAAACGCAAAAGACACAAACAATCAAGAAACCAAGTCAAGCTGCTTCAAAGCCAAGGAGTAGAGACACATCTTCTCGGAATCAAGAAGAAACACATCCAAGAAGATAAAGAAAAGAAAAGTCAGCCTCTTGACCACAGTTGAAAGCTTTTTGTGCTACAAACATCCTTGCCTTTTTGCTTGATATCACACAAAACATACTACTCCTCTACCAAGCCCACTTTCTTCCTTTTCGGAACAAGAACTTACTGCACAAGAAACACATGTAACAATCATCAATCTTGGACCTCTCCATGTCAAGCGCCTTTGAGCCCAAAGATGCCAGTATATTCAGCGAAACCTTTAAAGAACAAATAATCATAGACCTCTCGCCCAAGAGACACACAGCGATGACGGTACGAGCGAGAAAACGGGACAGATCAAGAGAACAGTGCGAATCTACGAGCATCGAGGAATGGAAATGGAGAAACGGCGCAAAACAGGTGGAAAGAGCGACCAAGGTAGATCCATGGAGCGACTCGAGGGCAGCAATACATTCAAAGGCAGGAACGATCACAGATACGAGTATTCACTCGTGACAAGAAAGAAGCATAATCGAACGGAAAAGACATGAATTGGAAAGACTGTCTGGCTAGACTAGACTAAAACTCAAAGTGTTCAAATGTCACTTTCCCCTGTTCCTTCCCTTGTATGGTCCATTCGCATTTCTCGTGTAGAGAACATTCTTCATCCATGTCTCTTCTTCAGTCCATCTTCTTCAAATGAGTGTGAGTGCGTTGCATTGCTCATAGTTATACTTGCAACAAGCCGTCGTATCCGTCGTGGCACTTGCCAGAAAAAGTAGGGAAGAACAGAGACAGTAAAAAGCCCCAAAAAGGGACCAAGAGACAACAAGAGAACGAACGACCACTGTGTCCAAATTCGTCAAGAGTCGAGTAGCAAGAGTGCAGGCTTAACCAACCAAAGCATCTTCACGCTGCTCAAGGCCAGGAAGAGCAAGAACCTGACCACCCTCATAGGCAGTGTTGTCCTGCTCAGCACCGGCAACAGCACTCTGCTGACGATCACCCTGGTGGATATCGCCAAAAGTGAGAGCATGATTAGCAGGCAGAACACGACTGAGAGCCTCATACAGAGCATGCCACTCAGCCTCAGCAGCCTCCTTGAGCGAATGCATCTCACTCTTTCTCTTGACCTTGTACTTGACGCCAAAGTAACCAAAGGTAGACTCGTCGCCCTTGTCGTCATCTATGTAATCAAGGCAGGAGTCAGGGTCAGTGCTGGCGGTGCGGACAAAAGCGCCCTCGGGGTTTGTGGCCGAGCACAGAAGAGCGATGATGTAGGCTAGCAGCGAGTCCGAAGACTTGGGGTTCTTGGATAGAGCCTCAAAGGCCCACCAGCTGCCGGTCATCTGGTCGACGGGGGTGAAAGGAATCATGCCGAGGAGAGTGCCGTAGCCTTCGTTATGGGCGCAGGTGACCATGTAAGTCTTCTGCTGGACGCTGAAGCCGGGATTACCAAGACAAGCGGTGAGGTATTCCTGGAGCAAACCGCGGTGCAGGAACTGAGGGTGAGTGTTGCGAGTGACGGCGTTCATGAGAACGCGCAGCTGGACCATAGCACACGAGAAGATGAAAGTACGCTCGCGGAGAGTGATGTGCTCGGTGGCATGCCATGGATACTTGTGCATGATGGAAATCATGGTCTCATAAGTGCGGTTGACACAGCGCTGAGCAAAGGGCGAGCGCTGAGGAGTCTCGGCGTGCTTGGTGATCATGACCATCTCCTCACTGGTGACGAAGCCCTGGAAGCCCGAGTTGTAAGCCTCGGTACTGGCGTAGATGACGGGAACATGGCCGTCCCATTTGACGCACTTGGCGCGAGGAAACAACTCCTTCATGAGAGCCTCCTGGCTGCTCAGCTCGATCTCAACGTGGCGATCACCGATGCGAGGGTGACGGTTGTTCATGCAGCGCTGCTGGAAGTTGGAAATGGCGGCCTTGGCCTCTTCAGCAGTGTCCAACTCCACATAGACATCCATGGTCTTGCCAGTCGAACGTTCCATGATGATGTGAATGGCCACATAAGGAGTGCCCTTAGGCTGGGAGGCAATGCGAGTGCTGCGACCCAAAGCAGCGATGACTTCGTTCTTGGTGGTGCCATAGGGGATGTTGCCAATCTTGATCACACCGTTGGTGCTGGGGCGTGACTCGGCGGCGGTGTCAACAAAGGGCATGTGTTCATACACCTCATCGAGGTTAGGGAGAGCACGGGCCTCGGGATCGACCCAGCCAGGATCAGGGCGCACTTCAGGAGCCATGACGGCCTGGCTGCGAACGACAGGCTGCTGGACGACAAGCTCGTTACCAGCTCTCTCAGCACCAGGAGAGGCATATCCGCGACCATGAGGTGGCGATCTGCTGTCGTACTGATGAAGGGTGCCAGATCTGATGGCCTCGGCCATGCGAGCAGCGTTTGTCTGAGGCTGCTGGATAGGGTTGGCCTGAGGCTGATGGGCAACCTTGACCGTGTTGTTGGTCTGCTGACCAGCCTGACCCCAAGTGTAGGCAGGACCGGCGTTGCTGATAGGGTTACCCATAGGAGCGGCAAGGGCAGACTGAGGGGCGGTGGCAAAGGGCTGGTGGTTGTTCGGGTCAGCCATGAAAGGACCATTGCCGTACACAGGAGGTTGATGGTCAACGAACGGGTCAGCCTGAGCAGGCACACCATGGTTGATGTTGGCTGACATGCTGGTGTACATCTGGTGAGGGTTCATCTGTTGACCGGCAGACATGGAAGGACGGCCCATTTGAGGGTGGTACGTCTGAGTGTTCTGCATGTAAGAAGGGGTCATCTGAGGACCCATCTGAGGAGCCATCATGTGAGAACGGTTCATGAAAGGAGCGTTCATGTTGGAACCGTTCATGTGGAGGCCATTCATGCGAGGGTCATATGGGTGAGGGGCGTTCATGTTGAAGCCGTTCACCTGAGCACCGTTGGTGGGGTGGCCACTACCAGTGAAGGTGGTGGGCATGTTGTTGAAGCTGGGAGGCATGGGGCCACGGATGGGAGGAGCGGCTTCATGTCCTCGCGGACCGGCGTTGAGGCTCATGTTGCGCATCATAGCAGCAGGCATGGTGGGCACAAGCGAAGGACGATTCATGCTGACAGGCGACACCAGACCTCTGNNGAACTAGGGTCCATGTTGGCAGGATCGGGGCGCTGAATAGGATCCGGAGCCTGCTGTATGTTGACAGGAGGCTGGACAGGGCCGAAACTCTGCTGCATCTGACCAACATGCTGCNTGCACGCCGGTAAACTGCTGCTGGACTGGAGCAGTCTCGGGGTTGCTGGTCTTAGGGGTTGGGGTGGCAAGCTCGCGGAATGCGTGCGATGGCTTGAAGACGCTGGGCTGTGGAGCATACATGAGCGACTCAGCATGTCCATTGCCAGATGGGCGCTGCAGACTCTGGTCGCCGGAAGGCTGCTTCTGCTCGTGGGCGTTCTGGCCGTGACCAGCAGCGACGTACTCGGGGAAGTTGGCAACTGCGGGTCTGCCAGGATTGAAAGAGGGGAAGCGAGTGTGCTTCGACGGCTGAGACTGAACGTTCTGAGCCTCGGCGTCCTGGACGTGACCGGACGGAGCCTGCGAGTGAGTGCTCAAGGTGTGGTTGTGAGTGGGGTTGATCACTCCACGGTTAGTGACTCCAAGCTGGGCCTCGTTTCCAGCGAGAGGAGGAGGGGAGGCGCGCTGAGCATCAGAGCGACGCATGTTCGCGATGCTTGCGTCGAGGGATCTGGAGGACGACTGGGCCGACGATGGACTGCCCCAGATGCTATTGGCGGTGCTGGTGGGAGACAGTCTTAGACCTTGGGTCCAAGCGGCCAGATCGTCGATGGTGGGATAGGCGATCTCGGAGGAATCCTCAATCTCGAGTGTAGTGGTGACAGGCTACCATCGTGTAAGCCAAGTGTGTATGTGAAGGACAAAGGGGGTGTGCAAGGGAGGTAGGAAGAGGGTGCGCAACTGAGACAGGGTAGGGTGCATGGTTGGGAGAAGAAAAGTGCGCAGTAGGGCGAGGCAGAGAGCGCGCGTACAACTTGGAGAAGCAAAGAGTGCGCAACAGACAAAGGCAGATAGATTGCTTGAGGGTGAGATGGTAGAGGATGGTGCTTACTTTGAGACACAGTGCGCAGCTGACAGGAAGGTCCTCAGGGTGCTGTAAGAAGTGATCGTAGCAGACGGTGTGTTTGCAAGGAACCAAGATGTGACTGGGATTGGTGTCACACGCAATGCACTGTGTGCCACCGATGCGGCGGCCCCTGGTCGACCACGAACTCTCGGCGACGACGGGGTCGCCAGCGCGGCGAGGTAGGGGGAACATGAAGGAGGACTTTTGACGCTGATGACGGACCCAAGTGGCCTTTACCAGCTTCTCAATGTACGTAGAGGTGTGGCTGCGCTGGTGAAGAGCGCGTGGTCGATCCTCCAATGTTGTTGACATTGAGTGGTGTTTAGACGCCGAGCAAGTGACGACGACATGGCTACTCTGATATGCCGCTGCCAGTCTGGCAGATTCCATATCTTTCCAGCCACCAAAGTGAACCGTCGCCGTCTCTTCATCGATGACGCACAAATAAGAAAGATACCTTGTTCCAATAACGAAGTAGTCTAGATCCATGAGCGTTTCCAGGCCAGCAGAGTACATCACGAACAGAGCAAGAACAGAGAATCACGATATGAAGGAGAGTAAAGATATGGTGATGCAGAGGAAGATGAAGGTATACTACCGTTCGATGATACAAGTGCCTACGGAGGTGTTGGTAGCAGAAGGGCCGTGCACATGAGTTGAATGAAAGCATGCTGACACCAAGCAAACCGGCCTCTCGCAGGGATGGCAGTCTCAGATGAGACATGAGACAGTAATGGTCGTCCTTTCTGAGCGATAGGGGGTTCAGATCCGTCCAAGAGAAAGGCGTGGTCATAATCGTTTCGGGTCGGATTGGTATCTTTGGGAATCTTCTATGTAATGCGTCGCCAAGACCAGATACAAAGACCTTGGAGTAGCACAAAGCGAGGTGCAGCTGGATCAATCGAACTAGAATGGGTGAGTACGAAGTAGCATACAAGAATGAGCAGNGGTCTTACAGGAGTCAAGAAGGATTCGGCGACGAATCTTGCTCTGGCGTTCAACNNTGGAATATGTAAGTCAAGATCAGGCAGCACAGGGTAGGAAGGACGGCGTACGAAAAGCTTCATTTCGGAAATCTCCTTGTCAACCTCTTCCATGAACTGGATGATAAAGTCGACAAGCTTGTGCTTGAGCATCTCCTCGGTGTGGAAGTTTGTGATGAGGAAGGAGATGTCGTATCCCNNTATTGGTGTGTGAGGTTAGTACGAGTAGTTGTCTGAAGCACATGGCCAACGGACCTTGACGGGCTTTCTTCTGAGAATGAAGAAGGATTCGGCACGCTGTGTCAAGAAGCGAGTGAACTTGTGGACCAGAATGTGTTCGATCTCGTCTGCCTGCTTGATCCTGATGCTGACACGGATGCTGTTGACGCTGGGCTCGATGAAGACACGCTCGTTCTCGTTGCGCGAGACTGTCAGGGGGTTCAAGAGGACTTCGGGCGAGGTTTGGGCTTCGATCTCGGGGACATTATGGCGTTCGGATGCTTGGGATGCGAAGTTGGACAGCGACATGGCGGCCGTCAACGACGACCGCACGCACTGCAGGTATGGTCGGAGTGATTGCGACTAGGCATTGGTCAGACTGTGAGGCTTCCCGAGGCAGTTGCGGAGGACTGGGAGGCGTACCATATCTGAGTAGTGGTAGCAACAGACAAGGAGCTGTCGTCCGGCGGTCGATATGCCACGCAAGAGAGACCTTGTGGAGATGCCGCGCCCGGTGACGCGCCCGACGAGGGGTGAGGTTGGCTTCAGCACGAGCCACTTTCCCGGTTTAGATGCAGTCACCTCCAAGCTGCTCTTTCTTCTTCCGACTAGACCTTCATATCATCGAGGTGCATCTCTAGATACAGATGGTAGACTCGAGGGTATTCGTCTAGGAACTATCGCAATCTATGACCATCCACGTCTGAAGCCCGGCATAATCAGATTTCCATGGCCACTCGTCTCTCGAGATGCTCCTTCCCGTCAATACTCAAGAGATGCTTCAAGCGATATCTTCCAGACTTGCTATAGACACTGCAGCAGATTGATCTTCTTTGCTTCGGACGGTGCCATATTGCAGCTGTTGCAAGACACGCCTCTTAGGATCGGTAGAGCCATTCCGACCGGCAGCTCTCAATGTACACCGCTCTGACACTTGCGAGACGCAGGGAACTGACTAGAATCTGGAGTCGCCCATGCTGAATGCACTCGGATGTTCTCGAGCTCTGTGCCACATGAGAGGGGCCATTGGCGGATGGTTATAGCGGGAAGAGCTCGCATGGCAGCTTCATTGTCTCCTCCGATCCTCGGCTGACATCGGAGAGATCGGCAACATATGCCCCATGTTTCGCAATTGTTCATATTCTTGAGAGCGCCAATTGTCAGTTGTTCGACCTTTCCACCGTGTTTCCTTCGTGTCCTTCCTGCCCAATCCCGAGAGCCGACCTATCAATCATGTTCAGAACCGGATCGGCAGCCGTGAAGAGGGGTAGCTCCTTCGCTGGAGCTGCTCTGCGCGCCCGCAACCAGACTCCCCGTCTTGCAACCCTCCGCCAGTTCAGCACCTCCCTCCAGATGGCACAACAGACCAGAGCCGAGAGCGATGCCTTTGGCGAGATCCCCGTCGCCGCCGACAGATACTGGGGTGCTCAGACCGAGCGCTCCCTGTCCAACTTCAAGATCAACCAGCCCCATGACCGCATGCCTCCTCAGGTCGTCCGCGCCTTTGGTATCCTCAAGGGCGCTGCTGCCACCGTCAACATGAAGTTCGGCCTGGGTATGCCATGACCAACTCCGCACTCAACGCCACCAGCGAGCTCGTACTGACGCCTCTTTCCTCGCGCAGACGCAAAGGTCGGTGAGGCCATCCAGCAGGCCGCCGCCGAGGTCGCATCCGGCAAGCTCGACGACCACTTCCCTCTGGTCGTCTGGCAGACCGGCTCCGGTACTCAGTCCAACATGAACGCCAACGAGGTCATTTCCAACCGCGCCATCGAGATTCTCGGCGGCGAGATGGGCTCCAAGAAGCCTGTCCACCCCAACGACCACGTCAACATGTCCGCCTCGTCAAACGACACCTTCCCCACTGCCATGCACATTGCCGCCGTTCTCGAGGTCGAGGAGGAGCTCCTCCCGGCCCTGCGCAGCCTCAAGGATGCCATGTACAAGAAGCAGCAGGCTTTTGACAAGATCATCAAGATTGGCCGTACCCACTTGCAAGATGCCACTCCCCTGACCCTCGGCCAGGAGTTCTCTGGCTACGTTACCCAGCTCGAGTACGGCATTCTGCGTGTCGAGTCCGCTCTTCCCCGTCTGCGCTACCTCGCCCAGGGTGGTACCGCCGTCGGTACTGGTCTCAACACCTTCAAGGGCTTCGCCGAGGACATTGCTACCGAGGTCAGCAAGCTCACCGGCCACGAGTTCGTCACTGCCCCCAACAAGTTCGAGGCCCTTGCCGCCCACGACGCCATTGTCGAGGCCCACGGTCAGTTGAACACCCTGGCCTCCTCTCTCTTCAAGATCGCTCAGGACATCCGTTTCCTTGGTTCCGGACCTCGTTGCGGTCTTGGTGAGCTCAAGCTCCCCGAGAACGAGCCCGGTTCATCCATCATGCCTGGCAAGGTCAACCCCACTCAGTGCGAGTCTTTGACCATGCTCTGCTGCCAGGTCTTTGGTAACCAAGCTGCCGTCACCTTCGCTGGTTCGCAAGGTAACTTCGAGCTCAACGTCTTCAAGCCTGTCATGATCCGCAACCTCCTCCACAGCTCCCGTCTTTTGAGTGACGGTATGCGCTCGTTCGAGAAGAACCTGGTTGAGGGTCTTGAGGCCGACGAGAAGAGAATTGATGCTCTTCTCCACGAGTCTCTCATGCTTGTCACCTGCCTTAACCCCGTCATTGGCTACGACATGGCCTCCAAGGTCGCAAAGAACGCTCACAAGAAGGGTCTTACCCTCAAGGAGAGTGCTATGGAGCTCAAGGCTCTGAGCGAGGAGGACTTTGACAAGAACGTCCGTCCCGAGCTCATGCTTGCTCCCAAGGAGAAGAAATAAATGTAGATCATGAAGCGAATTGTATATTATATATTTTCTGATATCCACCTGAACCGTGAGAAGTTCCCTCTCGAGTGCCTACATCCAAACTTCACTATGTACATCTCTCATCGATCGTGCCTTCTTGAAATGGTTCGAGAAATAATGCAATTTGACGCACGGACGCTGGCTTCTCCTTTCGCGGAAGTCCAGCTTCATCTTCCGAAGCTCTCTGAACAACTTCCTTGTTCGAAATACTCGAGGAAACAAATCACTGGAAAAAATGGAGGAGGCATTGGACTGGGTGTCTGATAATCAAGGCATAGTTGCCTTGACCTGGGTCGCCGTTGTGTTTGCCACTGCTCTTCTGTGGTTCACGACAAAAGGAAACTCTGAAAAAGCCGTGGACTTTGAAGTGCCACTGCCCAAGCAATTGGAACCCGATTGGCAAGGAGAGGGTTTGCAGGAGCCAAGTTTGAAGGTTTGTCTCTCTTTCCTTGTTTCCAATCATTGCTCGAGTCTTTTGTCGTTGTTTTGGGTTTTTTCTTTCTACGTCCCATGAGAAAAAGATACGGTGAACACTCTCTGAAAGCAGAATATCTCGGGATTGCCGAGAAAGATCAACAAGGCAGTCGTATGGTTTTTCAGGCCTGCTGGAAGCTTGTTATTGATGTCTTAATTACACGACGACAATTACCTCCTCTATTCGGGCAGCATACACAGTTTTAGATCAATGCAACTGACATGAATGTGTATAGATTTCAGGCTCTTCAGCTGTTCAATGCTACTGTCCAGCAACAGGTCAACTTCTCGGCGTCATCAACCCTTCTACTCCTGATGGCATTGACAGAGCCATTGCTCGTGCTCAAGAAGCTCAACGCACCTGGGCACTGACAACATTTTCGCAACGCAGAAAGGTGCTGAAGACATTGTTGAAGTAAGTCACATTGGCTTCTGTTTCTTGATACAAACCTAATCTAGTACAAGATNATGTTCTCACTCACCAAGACGATATTGCCACAGCAGCATGTCTGGACTCTGGCAAGACACGTGTAGATGCACTTNTTGGAGAAATCCTTGTGACAGCCGAGAAACTCAAGTGGACGATCGTTCATGGCGAGAAAGCTCTGCAGCCCTCGTCTCGCCCTACTAATTTACTCATGATGTACAAATCCAACTCAGTCGTCTACGAGCCTTTGGGTGTCGTGGCTGCCTGCGTCAGCTGGAACTATCCCTTCCACAACCTCTTGGGACCCATCATCTCGGCCTTGTTCACCGGAAACGCAATCATCGTCAAGGGATCTGAGCAAACAGCTTGGTGTTCAGTCTTCTTCGCAGACATCGTCAAGAGTGCTCTAGTGGCTTGCGGACATAGTCCCGAGCTGGTACATGCTGTCACCTGTTGGCCTACTACAGCAGAGCACCTTACCTCGCACCCTGGCATCTCCCATCTGACCTTTATCGGCAGCAAGCCAGTGGCTCACCACGTCTGTACGTCAGCCGCCAAATCTCTGACTCCAGTCGTGGTGGAGCTAGGTGGTAAAGATGCAGCCATCATCCTTGATGCTCCTAATGGCAAGCCTATGGCCAAATCCGAATTGCAAAGAATTGAGAGCATCATCATGCGTGGTGTTTTCCAGTCCGCTGGTCAGAACTGCATCGGTATCGAACGTGTCGTCGCCATGCCTCTGGCCTATGAGTATCTTCTTTCGGTCCTGCCTCCACGCATCCGTTCCCTTCGTCTCGGCAACGCCCTCACTTCCACCGAAGTCGATGTTGGTGCTCAAGTCAGCCCAGCAAACTTTGGAAAACTCGAATCCCTGATCGCTGAGGCTGTAACTCAAGGTGCCACCCTACTCGCAGGCGGTAAGCGCCATATCCACCCTGAACACCCGCAAGGCCATTACTTCACACCAACTTTGCTTGCAAATGTAACTTCAGACATGCGCATCGCGCAAGAAGAATGTTTCGCACCCATCTGTCTTCTCATACGCGCCGATACCGTCGACCACGCCATCGCCATCACAAACTCCACAATCTACGGCTTGGGCTGCAGTGTCTTTGGCCCTGCTTCCTCACCTCTTTCCCACGTAGCCGCAAGCGTCAAAAGCGGCATGGTCGCCATCAATGACTTTGCAGCTTACTATGCCGTTCAGCTCCCCTTTGGCGGTGTGGGAGGTAGTGGGTACGGACGCTTTGCTGGCGAAGAAGGACTTAGAGGGTTGTGTAATGCCAAGAGTCTTATTGTTGATCGATGGCCGTCGCTTATCAAGACTGCTATCCCGGCTGGCTTGGATTATCCTATGAGGCCTACGGCGTGGGAGATGGGTAAGGGTGTTGTGGAGTTGGGGTACGGACAGAGTTTGACGAGAAAGATCATGGGGCTCAAAAGGATGCTTGCTGGTATGTAAAAAGTTTAGCCATACTACAATCTGTATGTTCAAGGAAGGATCAGTGACGGCTATAGAATTATTGGTTGCATTGAAACTGCATCAATAGTAGTTATGACGAAACAGATATAAAGCCTGTCGAATTGTTTTTCCGCATTGTCTCTTGGTAATGAAAGATTGCATCTACCCTGTTGACTGCCCGAGTCGAAAGTGAAACCCGTTCAACTAAAAGTACGAGGCTTCAATCAGGCTTCAAAAAAATCGGCACGTTCAAATGACCATAACTCCTTCAATTCACCTCCGTTTGAGTCAAGTAATGGCCCGTTGGATGCGCAATGAGCAAAAGAAGCCTGTCGCGGGCGGGAATCGAACCCACCGCTCACGCTTGGAAGGCGAGAATGTTACCACTACACCACCGCGACTTTTCGGTTGTGAAGCTTGAAATTTTTTCACATAATATATTACCGAACACAGGAGCTGAACCATGCTTTTCATTCCTGCTATCTGACGACTGTCAAAACGTGAATAGTGTTGGTGAGGACGGGAAGTTGTGTAAGGGTGCTTTGGGAATTCCGGGGAGGTACACAAGGGTTCGGTCTTGCGACAATCTCGAATCAAGCGAGCTACTCAAGTATGCAAGCCATGCCGCGTACATAGCCACGAAACCTCAACTGCATAGCAGCCATTCTAAGTAATACCAATTCTCTTACGGCTGAACGCTCGAGAATCGAGTAAGCGAAGGTTGACGTCTACTTACTGTCTCGAAAATTGTATCAAGGAGGCGCGTGTTTTGGTATCTCATTGCTTACGTTACTAAAGTCTGTTGGGTTGTGTGACCCTGACCCAAACAGTGCAGAAAGCAAAGGCTCGGAAACAGCTTTATTTGAGTCGAGGCGTCTCGATTATACAACTAGGAGCCCAATCTAAGAGCCAAAGGCGTGTTCCTCCTCGCCTAGTCTTCTTCCTTCAACCCTACCACCATAAGCACCTCCGTCCAGGATCCATGCCTCGTTGTCATCATTGTCATCCTGTACCCTCCTCCATGTGCTTCTTCTATTCTCACTGCCTTCCTGCCCCTTGGCTTTTCCCTTGTCTGCTCTAGCCGTAGGTCTAATCAGTGCACCCATAAGAGGATTATTGCTGAAAGCCCCCGACCCAGCATTATCGTCTCGTCTCACTGGCGTGGTGTCTTCCTCTTCAACCTCTTCTTCCGCATCGCTAGCAGGTCTTTCCACTTCAGCCATGCGCTTGACAATCTTGCCGCCTACGACATCAATACTGGCGACCATGCGGCGTTTTNNTTCGTATTCGGGGCGCGCGTTCCAATCCATTTCTCGCATGATCTTTTGCTGGCGTTTCAGTTCTGCAGCGCGCTCTGTAGGCGATGCCCACATGTTTGTTCCTGAGGTAGGTACATCGAAATCTGCGGCTTCGTCGTGGATACGCGTTCGTTTTGCGTTGTTGGCTTGGAAAGCGAGGAGTTTGTCTCTGTGCTCTTTGGCCTTGCTCACTGCGGCGTCGCCCTCGTCTTCTGAGGCAGCAGCAGAGGAAAGTGGGGATGCGGTAGTGGAGGCCGCAGCAGAAGAAGAGAGGAAATCGCGGCCGGTAAAGGCGCGAGGTTTTTGGCTGACTTCGGCACGTTTGTGTGTTGCGTTGTTGGCGGCTTGACGTTCTTTGCCGCGCTCGTCTTTGAGTACGCGGACCATGCTTGCGATTTCTGAAGAGGAGAGGAGTGGGGTTTCGCAGAATGTGCAGGGGCCTAGACCTTCCTTTACACAGACGATCTTTCCACAGTTGAGACAATTGGGTGCGATGGTCAAGAGCGGGTGGCGCGTGGCCATGCAATTGCATCTTCGCTTCGCTAGATCTGCTGCTGACTGTTGATTTGAAGCCAAGGTGGGGTTAGTCTGCAATTCCAGAGATCGGATGGCAGAATCCAAGTCGGACAGAGTCTTTCCGGCTCCATGCATGTTGGTACCTCCAGTAATGTTGACCTTTGTCTTGGCCGGAGCTGGTGATGCAGTGCGAGGAGTAGATGATTGTGACGGCGGAGGAAGCACATCAGAGATCAAGGGTCCAGATGCGGAAGGAGGAGCTCTGGGTCCGCGTGATGCACCTCCAGCAGTGCGAACAGGAAGCTGCTTAGCATCAGGTGCCTCCTGTAAAGCCAGAGTGTTGGACAGAGAAGCTTGCGGTTTCTTCCTCGACGACCCAGCCATGTAGTCACCTTCATCCTGCTTCCTGTANGCGCCAGAACCGCCTCCAAGATCCTGGACCTGTCGTGCGGGTAGATTGTGAATGTTTGCCTTCTTCTTTGGCTGTTTTGGTTGCCTCTTGGGTACACCTTCATCTTGAGCCGAACAAGCCCCAGGCGCTGGACGAGCTTCTGAAGGTGGCGTTTGACGACGTGAATTAAACGACGCGATGAACTCCAGAGCTTGCGGTGAATCGCCCAATAAGCCTCCAAGTTGTTCCGCTGCTACATCTCTAGGTAGCGTATCGTGGTATGTGATGATCTGTTTGAGCGAGTCCTCGTCCAAAGGCAACAGACGTGAGATCTGAGGCACTGCCCATTTCACTAATGCTTCGGTCATAATTCCCAGTCTCGAATCTAAAGCTGATGTCTTCCGATGATTAGTATCAAGACGAAATCATGAGGTGTCGAAAGAGAAGTTGAGCGCGGTGACTGTTCTTGGCGTCGTCATCACCGTCACCGTCGTCGGCTTTGCATGTGAACATCTCGATAAATATTATAGATATTTTCTGGCAAGTTTCAGGGTTGAAAAGACAATCATGAAGGTCACAGAGCAAACAATCGCGAGTGCTAAGTCAGAGGAAACCAGATCTTGGTGCAAAACAACTAGGTTCAAATCTTTTCAGCTCTTATCCAGAGCCAAAGCTATCGACTATCTCAACGTACTGACCAAGCAGTGCCGTCCAATGGCAACAGAAGACCAACCACCCAATGCATGAGTTGAACGCTATCAGAACACTCCTGCCAGCAGAAAAACAATGCCTTTGGAGTCTAGCAACCGTCCCAGCGAATGAAAGTATGCCCTTCCTCAAGCTGGTCCCAACATGAGGAATAAAAATGGAGAAAAAGAAAAACAGAAAAACGTTTATCATTCTGAGCAAAAGCAGTCCAACAACTTTTACTGTGACCTTTATTTAATTAATTGGTCAAGAGACCGGCTCGTCAGAAGAGTCGGAAGTCATGGTTCCAGAGCGGAAACATGTACAGCCAGGAAGATGTGACGTGCGACATTCCTACATGTTGCGCGGCTTGTTGAGCTTGTTAAGCATGGTGTTATCAGCCTGGCTTCTGCTACCATCAGAGTTGACCTGGTTCTGCGCCTGCTGAGATGCTGTTTGAGGAGCACCTGGTGCTTGTTGAGGCTGCTGCGAGTGAGCAGCGGTAGAAGGAGGAGGGGGTGGTGGGGCCGGAGTGTGGTTTTGCTGAGGCTGGGACTGAGGCTGACCACTGGGGCCGACCAGTTCGTTGATGCGCACGCCCCTGGTAGCGTTGGTTGGGCTTGAACGTTCCGAGCTCGAAGGAACAGGCTTGGTGTCTGGATGAGACGTCATAGCCGGATTGTATGCAGCCGGATTGACAGACGCGGCGTGGGTGTGGGGAGAGTGAGAAGGACGAGGCTGATCGTACGAGTAGCTGTTTTGTTGAGGCGACGGCTTGCGTGCGGGAGCAGGTGCAAAGTATGGCTGAGCATGAGGTTGAGCGGATTGGAACGAAGTGTTGGAAGAAGCAGGAGAGCCAGCTGCAGGCGTCAAAACAGTGGGGTCAGGGTAAGTGTACTGAGGCTGAGCGTGAGGTGGAGGAGGTCCTTGTTGAGGCATCTGAGCAACCTGAGCGGCCTGGGCAGGGTTTGGTGGCGGGAGAGTCGGTGTGTGCGGCTCCTCGTTTGGACGCTTGCGACCAGCTTCCTGAGCAGGATTCGGTGTTCCAGTGGGTTGTGGAGGTGCGACATGAGCAGGGGGAGGTCCTTGAGGCATGTGGCCTGGAGGCATGGCGTAGACTGGTGGCCCTTGAGGGTAACCCTGAGGAGGAGGGTAGGCGTGTTGCGGAGGAGGATAGGGATCACGGCTCGCATGTTGCTGAGGAGGAAGAGGCTGGCCATATGCTCCGTACAGTTGCTGAGGGGGTCCGCCCTGGTTCCGCCAAACGGTATGCGCCGGGACGAAGGCCTGCGACTGTGCTGAGACGGGTGTGAAGACACACTCCTGCGAGAAACGCTGGCAGTTTGTGCAACGACCATCCTCGGACTGATCAAATCCGGAGCAGCGAATCNNTAGCCCATGTTAGAAGAGTACTGCCAAGTTTCACTGAGACAAACATACCTTACGACGCCGGCAGTAGCGACAGGCAATAGCCGTTCTTTGGCGAGGTGCGGGTTGAGGAGGGTAAGGGAGAGGCTGCTGATAGTGTCCTGGCGGAGCATGTCCGTACATTGGAGGTGGTGGCAGCGAGCGGTAGTGGTCTGGGTGAGAAGGTTGGAGAGTGGTCATATTTGGAGGTCCTCCTTGAGGCAATGCCTGACTGATGGGAGGGATCTGGACAGACAAAAGATTAGTGTCACGCGAGACTGTTTGCGTGTGCGACTCGACGTACCTGAGTGGGATGACGCTGTTGAGGATACTGGGCGTTGGGATGTGTTGGAGGTGGTTGCGCCCACTGCTGCTGGTGTTGTGGAGGGGCAGAAGTGGAAGGTGGTGGTGGAGGATGTTGCTGGTGTTGCAAAGGTTGTTGATGTTGCTGCTGTTGATGAGGGTGTTGATGGGGGTGTTGATGAGGATGTTGGGGGTGCTGAGGGTGTGATTGCTGTGGTTGTTGCTGCGGCGGTTGACCATTGGCATTTGGCGTCCAAGCAGCAGGAGGTCCGGGATTTGGGTACATGTCAAATAAATATAGGCGGGCGGGGAGCGACTAATGCGCTTTGATGAGATTTGTCCAACAGCAGTAGCCGAGTATGCACGTCGGCTGGCGTGGGATGTGGGATGTGGGATGTGGCAGCTACGTCGTAGTTGCACAAGGGAGGCGCGGGCCGCAGGCGAGCTGCAGGATCAACGGCACTCAAGGCAAGACAGCGGCGTCGGGTGACAGCTGCAGCAGAAACTGACNGGTATTTTCGAAGAGTAGAAGCAGCAGCAAGTCCAAGTCGTGTGCGCAGCAGCTGGAAAGTGTCGCGGGTGCGGGTGTACAGGCTGTCTTGTANNCAAGAAACCGGACCAAATGACCTCAAGCGCGCTTCTAGGGGCGGCAGAAGGAGCGGTAGAAAGAAACGATGTGAATCCGACACACAGGCACGGAAATGTCCAAGGAACAGATGGTGGGGTTCCTGCCGCTATTTCAGGTGCAAAAGACGACCGGCTGTCGAAGCGGGTTCGTTTGGTTGGTTGAGATCGTTACTGGTCTCAGGCGGGATTATGGATAGGCCCGGGGCGCTCTCTGGTTAGCGAGAAACGCGGACGGGTAGTGTGTCCGTGAGTTTGTGGATGCTTNTTGAGAATCCAATATTCTGTCAGAAGTCCGAGCGTCTTTTGCGACACTCCTCCTCCAAAGTGGCCACTCTGCGCACCGGCGACCGAGTCTTAACGTGTTGTTTTGAGCATGAACGAGCAGCTCCTGCGGCCGCTTCGCTCCTGCTGCTTCGCTAAAGTGTTTTTTCCAATCTCACAAAGACGAGGGCATGCGCGGCTCTAGCGCAACAAATTTGTACGCAATAAACAACCCCGTCGATCACGGCGCGCGCGGGTCAAGGCAGCGGCGTGGCTGTCGGAGAAGAGGCTTTAGCTTTGCGGACGCTGCCACTCAGTGCGCAGAGAGCCGTGCCGTGATCGAAACGTTGTTTGGTGGTAGACTCCACTTGAGCGTGCAAGCGGTCAGAAGACAAATACTACCGGCAGGGCAGGGCAAAGCGAGATTTGGACGTGCCACGGAAGGACGTCTTGATCGATCCTGCTAAGCTGCTCCCTAGCTGAATGTGGAATTGGTCGTCGAGGTCGCCGTCTGCTGTAGGAGCGCTAAATCAGCAACTTACTTCGCCTGGTCCGAGTGCTTCTGCAGGCTTGACCCTCGGCTTGCCACGCGACAGCACGAACTCTCTGACCAAGGAGGATCTCGAGGATGCAATGATCTGCGTTTAGCGTGAAGCCTCCGTTCGCCGTTTGTGAGTGCGAGCCTCGCCAAAATCTGCTCCGTCAGCGGCTCCGGCGTGTGCGCGCGTCTGTTTGACGCGCTTAGGGTCGATCTTCCTTGCTGACCGCTCCAGCGAGTCACTCCTGGTTGCGCCCGTCGCTTGTCACTGTCACTCCGTTCGCCTGTCGTTTCGTTTGACCGGTGGCTTTTGCAATTTGTTTGCTCCCGAGTGATCACTGCATCAGATCATCACCTCATCTCTTGCCCTGCTCTGTCGAGTCAGTTTGCGCCTTGTCAACTGATTACGGAGAGACAAGGTCGTCCATGTCTTGGACGGACACGTGCGGTACGGGACACTTACCTTAGTCCAAACCGTCCTTCCGTTGGCTCATGCGGCGCCCCAAGGGCAACTTACGGCTAGGAGGATGTGTAAGATCACACCGTTTCAACGACGACAATCGAGGGAGTGAGACTGAAGATGCGCTTGGTTGCTTCAGTCCAGCGTCCGATGTTTTGGCGTTTGTCTTGTCTAGGCTGTTCTCGTCCTCTTTGGGCAGAACCTTCCGAATTGGAATCGTAGAAAAGGAGTCGTCTGGACGCTGTCTTGCATAGAATGAGCAAGACGTCATGAAGAGAAGGTAGGACTTGATCGATTGATCATGGAAGGGACGATTCCAACGCTCTCTATTTCTATTGAGACTCCTTCAATTACATCAGCGAATCCTAACGAGGATTTCTGATCTGTCAACCATCGAGACGAAGCGGTATGCAAAGGGGTCCGTACAAGGTTTCAGTCTGAGAGAAGGCCCGGGACGAAGCGCAAATGCATGGCATCTCAATCACATCACATTATCTTCCTTCGTTTGTCCCCTTGCTTTCACGCTGTCACTGACCTGCCATCCAGCGCACAGCGTGTGGAGCGACGGCCCGGGCAGATGCATCTTCGCGATAAAGACACAGCCTGCATGAGTAGGAAACTTAGTTAAACACACCCTATTTTGCTTCAAACGCAGCTACATTGGCCGTCATGCGGTCTTGCGATAGTCAGATGCAACACCGCTGTATCGAGATCCGGTGTGGGCTTGGAAATAACTCTAAAAGTCCTTACCCCTTCGCAATATGGCTCCTGATAGAGAGAGCCGACCAGCATGTCAGCTTGCAAGCCCTGAATTATTCGCTTGTTTTCTGATGCAGTCATTTGCAGCTTGTATGCATCCCCTCGCCAGGCCCACCCCTCCTGCCGACAACGGTCCGATCCGACGTTTGACAAACCCCGACCAAAAGAGAAACATTGGACGATATGTTTTGTCTCTACAAAATGAAACAACACAGCGCAGAGACAACGCGATCCAACAGAGACTTGTCATCTGTCGGCAACGTTGACCCGTCCGCGGCCTCCCGGCTGGCCGATCTCAAGTCGTGTGTTTCAAGAAGCTTGCTGCCCATCCGCGCGCAAGCCTCGCAAACGAACGACCAAAACATAAGGTACGGTACGCTGGGAGGCGGTGCGGATCGAACAAGGACCGTCCGTTCAACCTTGATCGTCCTGATTCGATCAATGACAAAAACCACAGAGCGACACCGAAGATTCGTAACACTGATCAGGCTTTTGCCGCGCAAGCTCATTACTGCTACACCCACGTCCCGCAGCCAGCATTCCCTGCCCGAATGCGCGCTTCTGCACAATTCATCAATCGTGGTCAAACCTCTTACAGGTTCTGCCGTCCTTCCCTGCCTGCTAATCATGAACCACCACACCCGGACATGGGTAGCACAGACCGAAACCAACATCAAATGATGGCCCAGCGCGCGCATGTACCGTGGGGGCTCTAGGCCGAAAAGTGAATGGTGCGTCGTCAGGTGATTGAAAACTCATGCGGCCACTCAATGCAATATGCATGGCCTAAAGTGAGGGAGGGACCAATCATAAGTTATGCGAACTCTTGATGCGCTGGCATATTCTTTTTGAAAATTCGACGTCGACGTGTCACAGACGACAAGTCCTGCAGAATGCGAGTAGATGGAAGCAGAATATCACGCAGCGAATATTGAAAAATGATACGTTTCGTGGCAGTCGACGATTTGTTGATCGCTGCTGCTGCTAAAGCAATCACACGATTTGCATGTGTGTTGAAGCCTTTCACCCGTTGCAACGGCAGTCCTCTGGATTCTGCTTTACACCTCACCATGCGTCAACTTCGCGCCTTAATGACTAGGCATCAGAGGCTTCTGTTCCAGACTCCTCACCATGTTCGCCCTCGGCGTCTCCGTCGTCCTCATCATCCCCATTCTCATCATCCTCATCCTCATCCTCACCGTCTTCCTCAGGGTCGGGGAGGACAATGCGGTTCAAACAGGCGACCTGGAAATGAACAATCATCAGCCATAACTCCTTGATATGATGCTATCCATGGTTGGCTGATTTGGATATTGGCAAAGAAGGTTTCGAGGTTGCTCCGAAAAGGACTAAACCCCGAAACAGACCACGCACCGTACCGCGGGCCGGACGGTTGGATTTTGTGGATGATGACTCGCAACCATAAAAGGTCCGTTCAGCCCTCTCACCGTATCGTCGAGCGACGGTGCGACTCGAGTACCATGGTTCAAGACGACGCGCTTTTCTAAACGGACATAACAAGGAAGGGCAAGGAAACAGGAGGCAACTCACAAACGGGTGCAACGCCGAGAAGAGATCCGCGATCCGGCGGAGAACTTGCGCGTCGAGGACCTCAGCGTCAGTCAACTTGGTTCCGACTGTAAAGCGTCTGAGGCGTAGAAGATCGATGTCCGGGTGACCAGCGTCATATCCCTAGCACATCAAGGGTCAGTTGCCAATCTCTGTTTCGCATATGTATGCCACTGTGTGTGACCATCCCGCCATGAACCATCCTGAGTAATTTTGACGCTCATGCCATGAGACACATGCAATCGAGGTAGGTTTGACTAGCGGCTTCCAACCGACTAGTTTACCAAAGAACAATCACTTCACGAGTCTTGCTCGCCATCTCGGCATAGGTGTCGCTAGTTGTCTGCGAGAGATGAAGGGTAAGTTAATGGATATTAACGGTACCAGATGAGCAAAGCAAACATTTACGTACCTTTGTTGTTCTCGCTCAAGTCGTATCAGAAGTTAATCATCACCTCCTTTATTCATCTCGATGTTATGTCCACAGAAAGAGGCAACGCGGGACGCTCCAGCCCGAGCGGGAGTAAGGTAGGCAGTAGCGAGGAACCCCTACCCGTCCGGAAGGAAGCATGGGCCGAAGGTTCCCAAGCTATCTCCTGTGACGACTTGCATTGTTCGATGTCCATCGTGACTGATGATCGATCATTCCTGCTTCTTTCTGCTTCCGCTCCAAGTCTTCGGCAGTCAAGGTTCTCTTGCTCGTTGCCGTTTGGAGATGCACGATGCAAGCAACCAACAAGAAGCGCTTCCTTCCAGAGGTTGACGAGTGGCTTGTGGTCGGGGTAGCCAGCCACAGAGCTCCCAGCTGGACGCCGCTTGTCTCCATGGGACACCTGCCTGCTGACACAAGCAAGACATGCGCATCCGCTTGATAACCTTTGCTTGCAACCACTGGTTGAGGACATGCACGATCTATGTACAGAGTGGAGCAAAGAGAGGTTGGCTGCTTACCTTTGGCTTAGTCTTCAGCGCAGTCTCTGCGTTCGTCTTGACGAAGGATTTCACGGCCGTCTTTGTCGAACTGCCTGAAAGGAACTCGGCTCGCATCTTGTCATTCATCAACACGTTCTTCAGCCGCTGCGGGTTTTGGTCGATGATAGTGCGGAGAGCTGCAAGAGCTCTCGCGTCTGGAGACCAGTAGCCTCCACCTACAGATCCAAGAGTCAGCTTTGGTTTCAATGAAGTCGTGCTATCTACTGAAGAGTTGAGCCCAGCTTGCGACCAGACAAGGGACTTAAACACTCTTTCTTCGATGCGTCCGCGATCAACTTCGCCACGCAAAACATGCCTTCCTTCTCATCATGGTGGCGAAGCTCTTTTGCAGGTTCGACCCAGGACAGTAGCGATTGCATGCGCGGTGGACGACGAGGATATTGACCACTGTCGCAGATACCGCTTGATCCCTCTGAACCAAACGCATCCGAACCGCCGTCCCGATACCCAGATACGCTGAGCGTCAATACGACGAAGTCCATACATGCGGAGAAAGAGATGGTCGATGTAAATACAGTGGCAGCCTCAAAATCCTCGCTACCTTGTGTCAAAGCAAAGTACAAGAGCAAGGCAACAACACTTTCTTGTCTTTGACAAGAACAGCTGGACGATCGGAGCAATGAGCGTTGGATGATTTCATCCCCGAGACTCAATCAGGGATCATCTGGACGAACATCCCCTCCAACGTGCAAGAAGAGTTCATCGCCTCTAGCTGCAACAACGCACTTTCTGCTCTAGGGCTACCACTCCCAATGAGGACGCGGCAAGCATGTGCTCGCAGGAAGAAGCAGATTGACTCCAAGTCATTGTGAGTCTCAACGGTTCACCTTTTTACCGGGCGTAGTTGCAGGAAAGAGGTTGGTGAGAGCGGCAGACTCTCGTACATGGAAAATGTCGTTTCGACACCCCAGAGATCAAGCCCAGGCTGAACGATCAAGCCGACATCTTATCAGGTTTGACCCTTAATGATTGTCGTCGTGTTCGCCAGCTCCACTATCGATCGTGCCCGTCGGGAGCGGGTAGCGGCTCAGGAGATATCGCTCCGGGATCGGGAAAGGACCCATCAAGTAGATTGAGCAAGCCACAGCCGTGCGACACCAACAAGCGCCGTATGGAGAACAAAAAAACAAGAAAATATATGGAAATCGTATCACTTACCAACAAAGCTGTCGTTCGGACTAATTTGAACATAGTATGCGGCATAGGGTCCTTTGCGGCCCGTTCTGCTCCTGAACGTTTGTGATTCCTTGGTCAGTGTCGTGTCCATGATCCTTCTGCTCACGGGTAATGAACTAACCAGGCAGCGGAGAAATATGGCTATAAGAGGTCAATGCGTCAGTATTAGCGTCGTAGAAGTTAACAGGGGCCACATTGATGCTGCCTGCAGGCTTGCGTTGCGGCCGAGAGCTTCCTTCTGTCTGGTAATACATACTTTGTAAGGTGTGGGATCTTTGCTGAATCGTATGTCTCTGTATATACGAAAGACCTGTTCATCATAACACGTGTCAGTCGTATATGAGTAGTCGAACTGGACGATACTGACCACGTCCTTTAGTGGCAGCTCTGGGATAGTATCATCGATTTTGGTCAATTCTTCGGTCAAAGATTCCACGAACGAGTTCCAGTCTTTCAGGCTCGAGCGGTAATCGGCATCATACACTGCAGAAATGGTAATGAGTCAGTCAATTGCTTTAAGCCCGCTTGAAAATGTGAGCCCATCCATGTTTGGAAAATGGGGTACACGATCTAGAGGGAGCGGTGTGATTAAGCGCTCGAGCGGGTGGTCGGTTGTGGAGTAATGGCGAGAACCAACGTCCCTTGGTTAAGCTACTGCACAAATGTTCGAGCTGCAAAGCGAACAGAACCAACATCGCTAACAATCAGCCGATGGAGATTCTTTCGGCCGAGAGAAGGTAGTCTCGTGTTGTGTTGCATGGGACTATATTGAACGCCGCAGTCGTTATGGAGAGATGAACATGCGATTCTCTGGTGAATATCCACAACGAGATAGCAATGTGGAGATGTACATGCCGCACCAAATGGCTTGGTATCAATACGGCGCAGACTGCATTACAAACAAGGCATGGGCAAACACTTACTCTTGAGCCATTCTCGGTCATTGTTCGCTTTAAGATCCTTGAGGAACAGCATGGTGTTAGGATGGATCGTGACATCGGAGTATGGCGTACCGCCTGGAGTTCTAGGCTTTGGCTTCTTGATGACAATCTGGGTTCCAGGAGCAAGTCCAGTGCTGACACCTTGACGCCAGAGCTCCTTTCCTTTGCTGCCTGAGGTCGGAGCAGATTCCGCTGCCTTTGAAGATGCGGGTGCCCTTCTCTTTGGCGGGCGCTCTTCGTCTTCAGACAATGCATCTGAAGAGACATCAGATTCGTCCTCAGTTTCTACCACAGCACTAGACGATCCGTCCTCAGGGGCTTCCTCTCCTTCGGATTCGTTTTCGGTATCCGGCTCAAAGTATTTGCTTCTAGTAGCAGCTCTCCGAGGTCCTCGAGCAGGCTCCTGCTTTCTTTTGCGATCCCCAATACTTGGGTCTCTCGCTTCGTCTTGGTCAAGTGTCTCTGTTGACTTTCGTGCCATATTGCGCGTCCAAGGGGTCGCTTGTTTGGCTTCCCAAGAGTGATTTCTCCAAGTGGGGGTGAGGGTCCAGCGGTATATTTGATTCCTTGTAGATGTTGAGACACCAGTCCTGTAGCTAAAGAATCTCCGAACCAGACTTTGCACAATTTGAGAAAGTGCGATTGGAGGCCAGTGTACTCTGTCCGTGTGTCCTCGCCTCAATTCGCGAGATCGTATCCACGCGACAAGCACAAACCGTCAACATCGCGTCAGCATCGCATTCCAAATGACATCATGAAATCGATCCAAACGTCGTAACACCTCACGTCTGATGTGTTTTCTATCCGCAGAGAAGAAAAAGGGAATAATTACACGACCCGGGTCGATCAACAAATACGAGGAGCTTGGAACACTGCCGCCACGGAGCCACATCAGATGAGGATACCTACTCGAGCACTCGCAACGTCGTCGGCATTTGCGGTCCAGAAGACGACGATACTGCAACAACTCATGGCGCCTAATGTCTTGGACACGAGCGGCTCCCATGAGGACATGGTAGATGTCGGTATTCGAAAGCTGGTGAATGAGATCAACGAGATAGACACACTTGCGACGACAAACAGCTGCGCTGGCCGCATCGTTGTGTGCCTGGAAGGCAGAACTTTGACGGTGCCGCCCTCGAATCTAGACGATAATGCGCGAATCTCTGGTGCTGCGGAAGGAGATGGTGGTCAGGCACTGTTTGTATCGCATGACCCGTTGCCACTTTCGGGAAAGGGGCCTGTAGCTCCAATGTTGGGGCTATCTGACCATACCAATCTGGGTGTTCCTCCATCTATCGACGGCGTGAGATGGGTACGCTGCAGGTTCGAACCCATGGTAGGTGATATCTCTATCTCTTCTTTATTGCTTGTCTCCTTTTCGGATTCTGCTCAGCATATCCGCAACAAAATATCATATCAGAGTTAATGGACACATAGAACTNTGCATATACTATGCTCTTCACTTGAGAGCGCACAAAAGTTGAATACAGCAGCATTGCAATCTGGATTCACAGAAAGTGGTATTTCAAGCATATCAACTGACAACCTCCGGACCTCCACCGCCATCGTGGCCATTCGTACCACCAGCCTTGCTTTTGACAGTATCATAGGATACGAGGGCGCTGATGGAAAGCTGATACCCATGGTCACGGAGGCATACATGCGTGTTCTCGTCGAACTCTGCAACGAGAGATTCCTCACCAATAAGCAGAAAACAGAAGCATTTCGGGAAGCATTATTCGCAAGATTTAAACCCCAGCAGGTACAGTTTACGGGCCCCTCCGCTTGGGAACCTCTTGAACAGCGGAGGGCGAGGATGAAAGAGGATGGGATTCGACGTCAGGCAGAGACAGACGTGCAGAAGGCTGTAGATGGATGATCGTCTCGGCGCCGTTCTAACCCTTTTTTGAGCAATTGCCTTGCTTTTGCTCCTTTACCGGCGCTTTTGTTCTCCCTTGCTCCATCGTTAATAGCTAATTGTCAACTATTGGAGTACGGTTGATGCAAACGTATATCACATCGTTTCTACGCATCTGTCTCTAACCTTTCTCTTGGCTTGTCGGTTCATGTGGTACCATCAATGACACGCACAATACTCGTTGCTTCTCAAGAGTTCAAATCGTAGAATGAATCCGGCAATCGTCACATGCTTCAAACCTAAAGTCTCACTAAATCACGACAATGTCTGTTCAAATATGTGTGATGCTGTTCGAATCTCGTCGAAGGAGCAAGCATGAAATCATATTGTGATATTTTGCAGCGCATAGGCTACTGAGTGACTCAGAGTTATGTATTCATGGCTCTGACAGTCTATAGAATAAGTGCATCAGGTAGTAAGACATATGACCTCCCTGATGGTCGTGTAATCTCGTCATCGAGCCATGCAGCCATGGTTTCTGGTATGACCCTGTCAAGATCTGAGACAGGGTCACCCATGGTATCGATCACTTGAGTCTTCTAAACATTGAACAGCCTGTATAACCCTTCACGTGGAGAAAGAGTATTCAGAGTAAAACTATCTTCTATGTAATTTGGGTAAGAGTAGCAACTGACTCTGAAACAAGATCCCTCTCTAATCGTCAAGCAGACTAGAAACCGACAAAGGCCACAAGCAAAGAGCCCAATACAAGCAAGACAGACACTCTACTCATGCTACTAGCCGTATTAGTAGGCTCCTTCCCATCAGAAACTTGACCATCAGGACAAGTACCATAGTACTGTCCCTCCTTAGCTTGTGTGGTGTTGGAAGGATTGCAAGTCAACCCTGCAGCAGTCTGCTCAGCAACAACGACGGGATTTATCTTTCCCGTGATACCGCCATCAGAGTCAAGGTCGAATGTGCATGCCTCCACAATCTCGCCATTGAGTTCGTAGTTTGTGCCGCAGTCGGACAGCCGTCCAGTGGTGCAGATGGTATAAGGTGTGTAGATGATATACGCCGAAGTGCCGTTTGCGACGGTTTGTGTACCCATAGCCACTGGATAGGTCTTTGATTCGGTAAACTCGAGATTGACGACTGAGGAGATGGTTTTAAAGACCGAGTCGGCGAAGCTTTGGTTCGAGATGTTCATTGTGCGGCCGCCGGTTATGTAGCCACCATAAGGGACTGTGCAGTTGTGCTCAGGGGGACAGTCGACGCCCTGGCTGATGATTTGGCCATGATCGCGGATTGATGTGTAGGTGGGATCGGGGAATCTGTTGATGACTTCAAAGCCAGAGCAGGATTGTGCTAAGGCTTGTTGACAGGAAGCCAACACGAATAGTGAAAGGACCGCAATCATTGTGTTTGAGAGTGTTTCTGTGAAAAGGTATGGCAATGAACCAAGACTGGAAGAGAGCAACATGATTATTTATGTGCATGTCGACTCAGTCCAGTGCTCTGCCTTGCGGCCGTATGTGGTATGACGCTCCATGGCCCCAGGCGAACGAACAGTAAAGCTCAGTGGATATTGTGGTGCCGAACCCGGATTTAATCTCCTTGAAGTCATGCCAATGCCTTGATGTCGTAGAGCCAAGTGTATAGTGAATCCTTCGCGACCAAATCCGGAAGGTAGCAGGGGCGATCGTCTTAGCCTATAGAGGGTCATCTGGGCATGCATCATCCACAAGATAAAGAGCATTATAAGTTGAACAAATACCAAGACGTTTGTTACAAGTCGTCAGGTGGGACTGCTGTGAAAGTTGGCGAATTCATGACTTTCCAAAACTTCTTGTCATTGTCGAGTACCTCAAGCGCATCACTATCTTCAATATGTCGAGTCTTGTTCAGAGGCGCAAAACGTCGTGGGTGCGTGATCGTGTCGGTGCTCTTCTCTCTCCGTATGTTGGACACAGTCACAAAGGTAGCTATATAAGTGCACAATGCTTTTCAGAACAGAAAAAATCCACGGAGAGACGGGTCTCTTGGGCATCTCTGTGGCCATATCTTTGTTTGTAAAGCTACTGTGCATTTCTATAGCATATAATGCTACTGAATCTCACCTTGGGAGAGAGATCGATGGTGGGATTGGCGTTATGCTCGTCTGTAGGTAAGTGATCATTTGGCGCTCTTCCCTACCCGTGCTATGTAACAGGCGTAGATGGCGACGGTGGCTCTGAAGTATTCCTCTGTGCTACGAGCTGGTCTGGGACTCGGGGTGGAAGAGGCAGGCGGAAGCGTCTTCGAAGGAGTGGATGGGCGTCTCTTTGGAATGTTCTCTGAAGGGCTGGATGGGCGTCTCTTTGCTGACGGGTTGAATGGAAGTGTTTTGAGACGATTGATTGAGGGGCCGACTTCGAATGGTGCTGTTGGGATCCCATGCGAACTTGAGAATAGTAGCAGGCGACATTCCGACATGGTCAGGCAGCCTGTACCTCTGCTGCGATGCAATAACTCCCAAGAGACGTGAACCCTTGAGAGAGCCGAAACTGGCATGTGATGATGCTGAGGATCGAGCGGACAATGCAATACTGCCAGAGCGCCATGATGTTCTGTCACTGTCGGGTTCCAAATCTTCCTGTGAGGATGAGGAGGAACTTGGCACTGACTCTACAACGGCAATAGCACTCATTGCGAGCTTGGTGGGTGTGTCAGTAGGGTTAGACTGGTCGTCGTCGTCGTCGTCACCACTTCTCTCGTCTTGAATAGCATCAGATAGGGCATCGAGCTGGCTGCGAGCCTCCTGAAGCCATGCATCAATGCTTGTTCCAGCATAACGTTCATTCAATAGCGTCCAGAGATGTGGAGCCTTCTGGTAGTGCTCCTCCATCTCGTCAGGATCCGCAAGGCAAGATGCTATCAGGACGTGGACTCTGGTACGGGTGGTATCGGGGATGCGTTGCTTCAGAAGCTCTTCTCCTGCGTTGATACATTCATCTAGCTCATCGTTGTGCAAATGCTCGAGTAGCTTGTTGAAAGCAGCCTTGACATCGCAAGGCACGTACGATCGCGTGATTTTCTCAAGCAGCGATGCCATCTCTTCGTTATACGTGCTGACATTCCCGGGGACAAGGCTTGACATGTTGACGAAGTTGATGAGGTTGAGGTGGGGAGTGAGTGCTGGTGGAATTCAACTATGAAACAATTAGCGTCAGTACACCGGAGAAGGAACCGGAGGGTAGGTGGTTTGTTGGTTGGGCTTACCGTCTTGACTCCTCAAGACCCTGCTTTCGCACTCCAGAAAAGTGAACGAAGCTTCAAGTTCCTTCTACATAGAAAAACACAGTCACTCCTAAAATGGTTGTTTGTACTCTGAGATGATGCTGAACAAAGGAAAAGTGATGAGAGTTCAAAGTTCTTGAAATCGTAAGCTCATATTAATATGTTGATCTATCTCTATAAATTTAGCAACTTATCGATGCCAGTGCGTTTCATTCCTTCCGATATAACAGCATAAACTCTCAAATCTCACCGAGGGTCGAGGAAATCCAGCCTCAATCTGTGAAAGTGGTTGATGAGCTTAAGCCTGGTGACCAAGCTCGTGCTTGCCTTGCGAAAAGTCGACGGCAGGAGCGTTGTGTGCATCGATGAAAACCTTCTTGACTCTGAAGCGAAGAAGGTCGTTGGTGGTCTCCTTGACGTTCTTCCAGTTTTGCGCCACGAGCTTGCCGGTGGGCTGCGAGAAGATGAGGTCGATCTCTTCGAGAGTCTTGTCCTTGGTCTCTGGCATAAAGAAGAGTTGGTAGAACCAGCCCACGAAAGCAATACCGCCATAGAATCCAGCAGTGAGACCAATGTTTGTAAATGCTTTCTGCATAGCGGTAAAGTTGTAGGTGACGATGAAGGAGGAAAGGAAGAGCCATCCGTCGGAGGTGGTCATACCTNNGCCAGATTGCGTCAGATATCGATAGTGTGGGTATGGAGGAACATGCTTACCGTATGATCTCAGGTAGGTAGGGTACGACTCAGCAGGAATGACCCACGTAAGGCAGGCATATGTACCAAATGCTATCTCTTCGTGGGAATTAGTGTCTGAAAGACTTTGGTTGACGAAAGGTTCGGGGGTGGTGGTGAGAAAGTTAGGGGCGAGGGAAGGGGGGGGGGGGGGGGGTCGGCAGAATTTCTGCAGCCCCCACCTCGCTAACCGACCAAGTTCAAGGGGAATAGGGAATCACGTACCGTAAATGACGAGACCGGTCAGGTAAACACCCATTTGAGCATTCTCACCACCAGCGTACTGAGAAACACCGGCAATGATCAAACCGACGAAGAAGACGGGGAGAGTTGCGCAAGCCCAGAAGCGGCGACCGCATCTTTCCATGTACAAAACAGCAGGAATGGTTCCGATGAGAAGCGAACCACCACCGACCAGAGACATGTAGTTGGCTTGGTACTTGTCGAAACCGAGACGCTGCATCAGGGTACTCATGAAGTATGTGATGGCGTTGATACCTGTCAGTTGACCTAGANNAACCACGATGTTAGCATAAGCAAAAGCACAAAAATGGAAGCTCTACTCACCAAGCGCGATCATGATGTTGGCATAGACAAAGGCGCGACGAGCGCGAGGCTCGGTAAACAGATCCATCCAGGGGTACTTTGCGTTTCCACGACCATTGGCGACTTCTTGATCTTCCTGTTCCTGAGACATCTTCATAACGTAGAACTCCTCGCGAGAGTCCAGAGTCTCAATACCACGGATACGTTTCCAGACCTTGAAGGCGTCTACGGGCTTTCCCTTGTGCATGAGATAGCGAGGCGACTCGGGCATGTAAAGCATACCGATACCCATGATAGTGGAGAAGACCAGCGAACTTCCAAGGATGTATCTCCAGTTGCCAGGGACCNNTGATTGAAGATTAGATGACCCATTGTATTGCTGGACGAGAAAAGAACTTACTGTCACGAACATGGCAGCGACAGCGTAACCAAGAACTTCACCAAAGGCAATGGCAAACTGGTAGAGAGAAACCTACAGAAGCCAAAAAGTCAGCAACTTTTCGGGTAATGTTGCTGAAAGGAGGAGTAGACATACCATGTTTCCACGAAGTCTTCTCTCAACAGTCTCAGCGACGTAGACAGGGACGGTACCACCCTCAAGTCCGACTCCAAGACCCAAGACGAGCCGAGCGGCAATGATCATGGCGTAGTCCTGAGCACCAGCCTCGAGAGCACCACCGACAGTGTAGAGAAAACAGGAGAAGATGATGGCCCAACGACGACCAAGGTACTCGTTAGCAGGAGAGAGAATGATGGCACCACCGACAGCTCCGAGAGACATGGCCGAGTTGACCAGACTGTTCTGGCGATCGTTGAGGCCAAGATCACCGGGAAGGAAGAGGTTGGCACCGGAAATGAGCGACTGGTCCAGTCCAGAAAGCATACCTCCCATCGAGGCGAAAGCAACAATGAGCCAAGTGAAGTGCTTGGGGTTCTTGAATTGGAGATCGAAGTGGCCGTTATTTTCTCCACCCTGTGCGTTGATCTCGTTCTGCATCTCTGTCATAAGGGCGTCGACTTCCCAGCCACCATTCTTTGCGATATCGACGGCTTCGCTAGTGTTGACATGGGGAACGCTGCCAGAGCGGACGGCGTCCTCCATCTGATCCTTGGTCATGTCGCGGCGGTCCATGTAGCTTCCTTGCTGAGCAGTGTCGAACATTTCAATATTCTCATGTTGCTCGCCAGAGGCGGCACCCTTAACACCTTTACCCATGTTGACGCACGAGTCGGTTGGTGATATATAAAGAAGGGAGGGGAAAGAAATGCTTCAAGAAAGGAAACTTTCGACCAACTGCGAGGCCCTCCACCTTTATGTATGCTCCAAGAAAGTGGAGAACGTCCATGGGGATGCTCGTGCATCAGAGCCGATCACTCTCCGTGGGCAGACACATCGCTAAGGTGGAGGCATGCGGTCTCTCCATCTCCCATCTCCATGGAGAACTGCCCCCAGCAAAACATGCAGCAAGCCTGTAGGGGTGCTGAGACGGTCCGAATTAGAGATCCGCTTCAAGGTCCTTTCGGGCATGGTGTGCGCATCGGTGAGGGTGTGTTTTCGGTCCGACTGTCAATATGACGATGTGCCTCATTATTTACTGCCACCTGAGTGGACGACGACGAGTTTTAACCGGAACCCGGATGCGTGTTTGCGACCACTTCAAGCCGTGCACCACTCAAGTTTGTCAAGGTAACGTTTTCAGTGTCGCGAGACCGATTCGACCCGGTCAGTCTGAGCACTGAGAAACCTTGCGACCTTGCGACAGCACTGTTCCCCCAATCTCATCACATTGCGACTCGAGAAACCAGCCTCAGGGCCATCTGAAGTGATGTCTTCCTGATCCTGCAGCCAGGCGGGAGAGGCTGGAAAAAAGGCTTGCTCGGCTTGGAAACTTCCGACAAGCGTGCACAAGACTTGAACGGCACAGCCAAAAACACACAGCCGAGCGAGTGGGGAAAATGCTTGTCTCTTCTCATTGGCGCACATCATGGCTTGAAACTTCGGGAATTGTGGAAAGAACATTTCCGGAAAAACCTTGTGCACATAAGTACGAAGTTCTGGTGTGCGACAAACTCCATCGCGATGCACATCCTCTCAACGCAGAAGATTTGGCAACCACATCAGGCAAGACAGAAGGGAAATCGTTCACGGACAGAGCGGCTAATTGCAGTGCTTTCGATGGACAGAACTCTGGTTCAGAAACCATCCCGAGTTTTCATGGCGACGTAAGTTTCAAACTTTAGCGTGAGGAAGCTTTGGATTGAAAGTGGTTACATGATTCGTGTCGTGAAAGAGGAAAGAAGACCGATGCATCATGCATTCGACAGGCCTGGTTTCACAAAGATACTGTTATGCCCGACATCGACCTGCCTCTCCTCCTCTCCTCTGTAATGCTTCTTGCCTCTGAAAGTCCAATCGACCGCGATGATAAAGAATACAACGGCGTATACGACGCAGACATAGTTCATGTTTCCGGCAGTTGCTGGCATGTATGTCGGGAACGAATACAAGACCAATGTAAATACCGTCCACGCAAGCAGGACGTAGTTGGAGACGAGGCCAAATATTCCCAGATTGAAGGGTCCAGTGAGCGATTGCTCCCTGCCTCTGCATAAGAGACAGATAACCGGGATGGCATAGGAGATATAGAGCAGAACAATACATGCACTAGACATTGCGTTGAATGCAGCTGTAGATGCCAGGTACATGCAGCCGACAACAGTGACAATAACACAGCTCGTGAAATGCGCGTTGAGGGGGACATCCAGCTTGGGGTCAATCTTCTGAAGCCACTTATGGCCAGGCACTCCAGAATCTCTAGCGAATGAGAAACAGAGGCGGCTCTGCCAAGTATGTCCAGCAATGACACAGCCCAGACCTGTGCAGATGATCAAAGCCTCGAGGACGATGGCTCCAGCGGTGTTGTTCAGAGCGTTGTAGAAAAGTTGAAGGATTGGGACTCTGGTCAAGCTGTTGGCGACATCCTGGAAATCCCCGATAATGCTGAACAGCATGGATATAACAAAGCACCAGCTGGTAACAAATCCAATAGCGACTGTGCCCATGATTGCAATCGGTATCATACGTTCAGGTTGATGGACCTCCTCCGCGAGGTGAGTTGCACAATCGAGGCAGGCAAATGCCCAGTTGGCGTTGATCAGGCCGGTGATGAAGGCGATTCCGGCGTTACTCCATCCAGTGTTGTTGATGAAAGTTGCGAAAACGAACTTGGGAGACTGATGATTGGGTGCTGTCGCGGGCACAGTGGCCAGAATCACAACGAAGGAGATCAGAGAGCAGTAAAGGCCGGTAGTAGCGACCGAGGGTAAGATCTTGCCGTAGCAGTTGAACAAGAAACAGATCCATGTGAGAATGAGGTAAGTCGCGAAGACGTGATAATCCTTGACAATGTAATCGGGATGAGAGAGCTGCCAGCAGCCGACTAGTCCACTTGCGACTCCGATAGTAGTTGATGCACATGAGAAGATAGCACCAGCCCAGGAAAACCAACCAGTTAGATAGCTCGAGAACCTGGCGTACTTTCTCGAAGCCAATCGAGCAGCCCAGAAGTATTGTCCTCCTGCGTTCGGAAGTGCACTAGCAAGTTCGCTCAGACTGATGCCAACACAAATGCTGACCAACATGACAATGATGATGCCGTAAACGAGCAACACAGGCCCACCTGAGTTGATACCTGTCACCATAGCAATGGAGACACCGAACNNTGTACTGTGTTAGAACTAAGGAGATAACAAATCTTGTTAAGAACCAACCCAAGAATTCGTGAGCGAAAAGCCAGCTCCTAAGATCGACCAAAGCGAATAGTTTCTCTTCAAATCATGACTGTGCCCCACGATACCATCGGGACCTATGGAGCTGGATAGTTCGCTGGACGAACCATTGCTTTGCAACATAGTGTTGCCTTTGTCAATCTTGTTGTCCTCCATGTTGGACATTGTGAATTCGAAGCACGAGATACAATGTCGGTTATCACGTCGCAGAGGATATAGGCGCTTTGGTAGATGGTCGTCGAGTACGGCGTCGTCTCACTCCGTGATCAACCAAGAGAGTGCTGCTTTTGGTATTGTGTAAAACTCGTGGTGAATGATATTGCTTTCGGCGAGATTGGTGCTGGGGCAGATGACTCGATGTTGTAAATGCGTGGCACGCACGTAACGCACAGTAAGGATCGGATCTGGGTGCTTTAAGAAGACAGTCTTTCGTTCCTCGACTCTGTCAAATGTAGCAAAAGGCTAGGGTGAAAAGGGTGTCGTGTATGTGGGAAGCGGAAGGGGAGAGCACTGAAACCAGTCAAGGCTCAATGTCGGCTAGAGTAATTGAGGGAAGAGGTCGAAAAGAATGGTATCTTGAAGGGAGGCAGAGATTGGTAGTGTAAAGTAGGACTGATGTTTCTGGATTGTTGACTGCAAAAAGAGAGACACAAGACTATGACGATACGGCGGTCGTCTCGGGGAGGTAATGTACTTGACCGCTAGTGGAGCGCTGGACGCAAGACTTCTGATCAGATCGACGTAGGTTTGAACAGCATGGCATGGCCGCTGCGTGAAATGGCAAGGCACAGTCCAAGACTAGGGTTCGGAAAGCTGGAAGTGTGCCCTGTTGCAGATTGTTTACGTTATGAGCACCGATGAGGAAAAGTTTTGCATTCGCGATTTTCGTCTTCGCGGCGTCGGTCAACAAGTTTTGGTTATCAGTAGCCCTACTTGTTAAGGATCGATGGCAATGTGGAAAGGCATGCTGCTTGTACAAATTTGGTCGCAGATATCGCGTCTTTGACTTTGCGTTCGACTTATCACTTGACAGCCCGTTTGCGCATGACGTCGAGGTCTGACAAAGGGCCACTTTTTGAGTCGTGGTGGATTCCTGTGACAAACACTCCACGCAAAGTTTTGCCCAGAGAGGCCAACGTCTCGGCGTTCAAGACGGAGGCTGCTTTGGATATTTTGAGATCGCGACCGTGGTGACAGTCGTGCAGAGCACCCCTTGAACAGCCTGTCTATCTCGACATTGCGTACATTGTCAACGTGGGGCCTATACCTATTTTGGGCCAAATCCAGATTAGAAGTTGTTTCATACCATTATGATACTCCGTAGATTTCGGAACACCGGCTAACGAATTCAGATTATGCATCTTTGAGCATGGTGCGATATACGGAGGCTAATGCTTGGGCCTTCCAGTGAATCGAACTATCTCTCAGTCAGTGTCGTCCACCAAGTTGACACACCTATCCATGTCGAGCATCAAATCTTGCCTACGATGCCCAGCAAGCAAGACGAGGATTAACACGTTAGAACTCAGGAACACTGGGATTTGGACGTTTGTGTTGTGAAACGTCCATGAGTGCAACCTCGATCACCAAGACTGTTTTGTACTGCGACTCTAAATGCATGAGATTGTGGGAAGAAAGGATCGAATATTTTCCCGGATCACGAACGCAGGCGTCCACTCGATGGGGGTTCGCCGGCGAAGAGAGCCAACGCGATACGCGTGGCCGAGATAGCGCTCTGGGAAAGGCAGCCCAGAGAGTTCATGTTGAATATTGATAGGGAGTCGTGTTTTTCGTCTTACTCGATGTTAACACCTGAGTGTGACTCGATGGCTACATGTAAAGAAGGCGCCAAAGAATCCCTATCACGGGCACGGCGCCTTCCGGGGTACCGGAATGGAGAAACACGGAGCGGTATCGGGTCCTTGCACAAGCTTGACATTTTGTTGTGACTGTTGCTCTGACCTCGGCATCGGCATGTGAAGAGCAAAAGATTGATACGCCAGACCGCGGTCCCTAGAGATGAACTGGCCCTTAGACGCAAAGCACGAGAAAGAGACACTATGTACAGGCAATTCAACATCTGCCAGCAAGCAGGGATGTGTCTGCCGAAAAGAGTATGACGTGAACTACGGCAAAAAGAACTTCCCCACACCAGCTCCCCGAATCTCGACCATTCGAGTGCATCTCCTCCCCTCGCCCGCCGTTCTCCCCGGGGAACGATGTGTAGAAGAGCTTAGATCACTAGCCTCGGTAAGGTTATCTCTGACGGCATACAATAGACAGATACATATATACGCAGGAGATCTGCTCCTCATCTCTTCCTTTTCTCCTTTTGAACTTCCCTGTCTCATCTGTGCAACACATTCATACTCCCAGATAGAAAAAGAAACAATGGCACAAAACCAAGATCACATCCTCCGTGAGGTCAACATCCTTGGACCTCTCAATGACCAGAACCGCAAGGTCATTTCCAAGGAAGCTACTGTCTTCCTGGCTCTTCTCCACCGCACATTCAACAAGACTCGCAAAGAACTGTTGCAAAGACGCATGACCCGTCAGGCCGAGCTCGATGCTGGAAAACTCCCCGATTTCCTTCCTGAGACCAAGCACATCCGCGACAGCGATGCATGGAAGGGTGCACCACCGGCACCTGGTCTTACTGATCGCAGAATTGAGATTACTGGTCCTACCGACAGAAAGATGGTTGTCAACGCCCTGAACTCGGATGTCTGGACATATATGGCCGATTTTGAAGGTATGTGAGCTAGCAGCTTGAGAAACGACAGGCTTCTGACAACTACTCCCCAGNACTCTAGTGCACCCACCTGGGACAACATGATCAACGGTCAACTGAACCTTTACGATGCCATCCGCAAGCAAGTCGACTTCAAGATTGGCGAGAAGGACTACAAGCTCCGTACCGACCGCAAGCTGCCAACACTCATTGCCCGTGCCCGTGGCTGGCACTTGGAGGAGAAGCACTTCACCGTCGATGGCGAGCCAATCTCGGGTAGTTTGTTCGACTTTGGTCTCTACTTCTTCAACAACGCCCAGGAGCTTGTCAAGAGAGGAGCTGGACCATACTTCTATCTCCCCAAGATGGAGAGCCATCTTGAGGCCAGACTCTGGAACGACGTCTTCAACCTTGCTCAGGACTATATTGGCATGCCCCGTGGTACTATCAGAGGTACTGTCTTGATTGAGACCATCATGGCAGCTTTCGAGATGGACGAGGTAAGTGTTGCATGTCGACTTGGTTTTTGAATTAGCTAACGTCTGGTCAGANTCATCTACGAGCTCCGTGATCACTCTTCAGGTCTGAACTGTGGTCGTTGGGACTACATCTTCTCGACCATCAAGCGTTTCCGCCAGAACCCCAACTTTGTCCTGCCTGACCGTTCGGCTGTTACCATGACCTCTCCCTTCATGGATGCTTACGTCAAGCTTTTGATCAAGACATGTCACCGTAGAGGTGTTCACGCCATGGGTGGCATGGCCGCCCAGATTCCCATCAAGACCGACAAGGAGGCCAACGACAAGGCCATGGCTGGTGTCCGTGCCGACAAGCTCCGTGAAGTCAAGGCTGGCCACGATGGTACCTGGGTTGCTCATCCTGCCCTTGCCAGCATTGCGGCCGAGGTCTTCAACGAGCACATGCCCACACCCAACCAGCTCCACGTACGTAGATTGGAGGTCGACATCAAGCAGTACGACCTCCTAAACATGAACGTGCCTGGAAAGATCACCGAAGACGGTATCAGAAAGAACCTCAACATTGGTTTGGGCTACATGGAAGGCTGGCTCAGAGGAGTTGGCTGCGTACCCATCAACTTCTTGATGGAGGATGCAGCAACTGCCGAGGTCAGCAGAAGTCAACTGTGGCAATGGTGCAAGCACCAAGCAACAACGGACGAAGGCAAGACAATCAACAAGGAATACGCACTCAAGCTCCTCCACGAGCAGGCCGAAGAGCTCGGTGCCAAGGCACCAAAAGGCCACAAGTACCAGCTTGCAGAGAAGTACTTTGCCACACAGGTGACTGGAGAGCAGTATGACGAGTTCTTGACATCGTACGTAATATCCGACGCATTTGCAAGTATTCATAGTAGGACAAGATTGCTGACTCGGATTGCACAGGNNCTGCTGTACGACGAAATCACGACTGTGGGTAGCCCCGCACCTGCCTCGAAGCTGTAGGAGAAAAAGCACTTCGAGATGGTCAGCAATGGCAAACGAATACCCTGCGCGGAAAGGCTGATTGATGGACTAGGTCGGACCTGCCCAGGCTGCGCTGGACTTATGATGTGCTCAAGCGAGTTTTAACACGAATGTGAAGGACTGGTGTTTTGTGTGTATGTCGAATTAATGAAGCTTTGGAATCATGCCTTTAACTGGAAAGAAACATGTTATGTTGTTCGCCTTCAGCAGCGCAAGACTTGCCTAGAAGTGTCGGAAACTTTCGAGAGAGAGACTTCCCTGGTGGCTTGCATGGTATTAGACCGAATCAGGAAGCGTTGTGGGGCAATCGATAAATCAAGATGCGGCTCGGACTGTTCCAGATGGAGTTGATAGATGGCGTAGCTCGTCAGGTACAAGGGTGCTTCTGTTACTTCTCTACCTGCGCATCTATACTTCTTAGACACACTCCACATGACATAGCATCTGCAAGCCATGTCGCAAGGCTACGAGTTGACGCATCGAGCGTCACCGCGTGAATCGCTTGACCACCCCGAAGACTACCGCCTGTCCACCACGTCGTCGCGCGACTCCATCTCATCCTCGATCAATGAACTGGACCCTCTCAAGACCGCAGACCGACCATACAAGGACGACACGAGCCAAACACACGATTCAGTATTCGTCACACGCCGCCGCTCGACATGGCGTCGCTGGTTGATTCCCTCTCGCATGTGCTGCATGATGGTCCTGCTCTTCACTGCTGCTCTGGTCCTGCTGTTGAGTGCCGGAGGTATCTGGGTTTACAAGACTGAGCCTGAGGGCGGCAAGAGTGACCCATGGTATCCGTCACCAATAGGAGGAACTGTCGCTGCATGGGAGGAGGCATACAAGAAGGCTGCTGCTCTGGTTTCTCAGATGTCCGTCGTCGAGAAAGTCAACATCACCACCGGTACTGGCTGGGAGATGGGCATGTGCGTGGGCAACACTGGTCCTGTTGAGAGACTGGGCTTCCCGTCTCTCTGCTTGCAAGACGGTCCTCTTGGTCTGAGATTCGCCGACAACATCACTGCCTTCCCTGCCGGAATCACTCTTGGCTCTACCTGGAACAAGGACTTGATCCACCTCAAGGGTCGCGCCCACGGTCGTGAAGCTCGCGGCAAGGGTGTTCACATCGTGCTTGGCCCGAGCATGGGCCCCTTCGGTCGTCTGCCTGCTGGTGGCAGAAACTGGGAGGGCTTTGGGTCAGACCCTGTTCTGCAAGGTCTCCTTGCTGCTTCCATGATCCGTGGTATTCAAGAGGAGGGCATTATTGCGACTGCAAAACACTACATTGCCAACGAACAGGAGCACTTCCGCCAAAGTTGGGAGTGGGGCACGCCTAATGCCATCAGCAGCAACCTTGACGACAGAACTCTGCACGAGATCTACGCTTGGCCGTTTGCTGAGAGTGTCAAGGCTGGTGTCGGTAGTGTCATGTGTTCCTACAACCAAGTCAACTCAAGTTATGCCTGCCAGAACAGCAAGCTGCTCAACGGCATTCTCAAGGACGAAATGGGCTTCCAAGGCTTCGTACAGAGCGACTGGCTCGCTCAGAGAAGTGGCGTTGCTTCTGCCCTTGCTGGTCTTGACATGAGCATGCCTGGCGATGGTCTCCGCTGGATGGACGGCCAATCTGTCTGGGGTGGTGAATTGACCAAGGCTGTTTTCAATGGTAGTGTTCCCATGGAGCGCCTCAATGACATGGTATTGCGTGTCGTTGCTGCTTGGTACCAATTTGGCCAAGACGACAAGACAAAATGGCCTGCAGAGAAGGATGGCGGCGGTCCTAACTTCTCGTCGTGGACCAACGATGAGATTGGCTTGTTGCATCCTGGAAGCAACGACACTACCAAGGGAGTCGTCAACAAGTTCGTCAATGTTCAAGGCGAAGGCAAGGATGCTCATGGCAAACTTGCCCGCCAGATTGCTGCCGAGGGTACTGTTTTGCTGAAGAATGATGATCATGTTCTTCCCTTGAATCGTGACGGCAAGAAAATGACCAAGAACGGCGAGAAGCTTCGTGTCGCTATCTTCGGTGAAGACGCTTTCAACAACGGCAAAGGACCCAATGCATGCCCGGACCGTGCTTGCAACGAGGGCACTCTTGCCCAAGGATGGGGTTCTGGTACTGTCGAGTTCCCTTATCTCGTTTCTCCTGCCGAGGGCATCCATCTCGGATTTGACGCAGAGAGTGTCAGTCTTTCTGACTACCCTTCCAACTACCAAGACTTGGACAAGCACTCTTCACGCGTGACCGACCAGGACCTGTGCTTCGTCTTCATCAACAGCGATGGAGGTGAGGGTTACGTTGCATGGAAAGATGTCAAGGGTGACCGTAACGATCTCTACGCCCAGAAGGGCGGTGACGAACTGGTTCAGAAGGTTGCAGCCAAGTGTGGCGGTCCCACGATCGTCGTTGTTCACTCTGTTGGTCCTGTCATCTTGGAGAAATGGATTGATCTGCCCGGAGTAAAGTCTGTGCTGTATGCAAATCTGCCAGGTCAAGAGAGCGGTACCGCATTGGCTTCTCTCCTATTCGGCGATGTCAACCCCTCAGGCCGCCTGCCATACACGATTGCAAAGCATGAAGATGACTATGGTCCGACGAGCAAGATCCTCTACCATCCCAACGCGGTGATCCCTCAACAGAACTTCTCAGAAGGTCTATACATCGACTACCGCTACTTTGACAAGCACGGCATTGAGCCACGCTTCGAGTTCGGCTTTGGTCTCTCATACACAACCTTCCACCTCAGCAGTCTCTTCATCCACCCTGTAGCAACCGAATACGCCACTCTTCCCGCCAAGCGGCCAGCAGCCCTCACGCCTCCCCACCTAGACGTCTCCATCCCAGACGCCCGCACAGCACTTTGGCCTGAGAACTTTGTTGCTCTCAAGAAATACATCTACCCTTATATCTCCTCCGTCGACGAGATCAAGCAAGGCAAATACCCTTATCCCAAGGGCTACGAAATCACCCAACCACCTTCACCTGCGGGCGGTGCCGAAGGCGGAAACCCAGACCTCTACACCCCCATCGCCGTCGTCCAAGCCTCCCTCACAAACACCGGATCGCTTGCCGGCGACTGCGTAGTCCAACTCTACATCTCTTACCCTTCAACACCGATCATCGACTCTCTGGGCAATGAAGTCGATTTCCCCGTCCGCGTGTTGCGTGCCTTTGACAAGATTTTCGTCACTCCGGAAAAGCGTGTCCAAGTGTCTTTGGAGTTGACGAGAAAAGACTTGAGTTTCTGGGATGTGGGCATTCAGAATTGGGTGCTTCCGATGGGAGAGTTTGAGGTACAATTGGGATTTAGTTCGAGGGATGTCCAACAAAAGGGACGGTTTAGCACCGAGGCTTTGTTTGCTTAGGCTCAGGATGGGAGATTGAGGACTTGGAATTGGCGTTGGTAATGTGAGGACAGGATAAGAGAAGTCAGAAAGGCGTTTTTTTTTGATGAGTTTACTTGTATTTTATGCATATAGATATTTGCATCTGGTTTCTTTTGAGGTGTGTGGTATTTGCTTCTGCTTCCTTGATTGGGGGTTTTTTCCTTTTCCTTTGAGATTTTTTTTTCTTTTGAGATGAACTTGTTTGCTAGTAGGCAAGTTGACGATCAAAGTCATTCAGAAAAGGACGACCGAGCTTACCGGATTCGAGTGTTGCTTCTCTGTTAGACTTGATTGTTTTGCTCTTTCTTGATTGTGTTGGTCGTTGTTTCCGTGGTGCAGAGAGTTCGATCATGTCTTCCCTGGTTGAAAGGTGGTGGTTTTTGTCTTTGATCGAGTCCAACAGTCTTACTCGTGCCAATCGCTCTGTTTGGACGACAAGGAAGATGTACAAAATTGTCGATTGATCAGGGGGGTTTATTGTTTTTGTACAAAGTTATAATCGTTAAACGATATAAACAGCAATAGCAATGGTTTTTTTTTTGTGTCAATAGCAACAGCAAATCTGCAGCAAGTGTTATAGCAAGACCTCTTCCCCTTCGAACATAATTCCTTCCAGTATGTGTAGCAATAGCAAGTTATCTCATCATCATCATCATCATCATCATCCTCGCAGATCACAAACCTCATCAATCGTCGCCATAGATCAAAGCATCTCATCGAGGTGCTCACAACACTCTCAACTCAATCCCTCCAAACGATACCTCCTGCTCCGCCGCCAACAACCCCCTCGTCACCAACGTCAACACATGCAAAAACCCCTGTGCAGCCACAACAACCGAATTACTCTCGGGCGCCAACAACTCTTCAAACCCCACAGTAGCTGCTTCCTCGTCAGCTACTCCAGAATCTTCGACGTCGAGAACAGATGCAATGGCTTCAATGGTGGTTTCCTGTCTGGCTTGCTGCTCGGCGATTCCTGCCTTGACGAATGCAAGGAAATTGAGAGATTCGGTGGAGAGAGTGGCGGTGAGGAAGTCAGAGGTATTGGCGAGTTGGGTGGGGACGGCGGCGGCGGGGCCGAAGAGGGAGAAATCTGTTTGTTGGGAGGGTTGGGGAGGNTTGTCTGCTGCGGAAAAGGCGCCGTTGAAGTTTGCGTTGTCGTCGTCGTCGTCTTCTTGCATGAAATTCAGATCTTCGGGGCGAGTGGTGGGGACAATGCCTCTGCCAACAAGGGGAGATGCAGTTACAGTGCGACGACCACGGTGAGAGGAGGCAGTGACAAAGCCACCGCCGCCAGCGATTGAGGAACTGGGACCTGCGCTGGGTGCAAAGATGGGGAAGGGNGGCACAAAAGCAGTATGAGAGGTTTCGCGCGAGGGAGGAGCAGCATGGTTCCAAGGTAGTGCGTGGGCAGAGGAGTGGTGGTCTTGAAGTGGTGTAGGTGCTTCTCTTCCTTGCTCAATGGTATTGACAATGGTGTCGTCGAAGAAACCGGTATCGAAAGCAGCTGCGTCGTTTGCATCTGCACCTCTGCCAACCTCATCGTCGTCGCTGCGGGAGCGAACACGTCTTTCCTGGTCATCTTGGTTGGAGTCAACATCTCTGGGGTGCTTTGTTCCTGCTATGTTCAGTTGGATGCCTGTCAGTGCTACGAGGAGTGCATTGCCACTAAACAACCTCAATGGCTCTGGCATATGCTGTTCCGCTCCTTGATACACAGCACCCAATCCACCGATCCCATTCTGCAAGACCCAAAAGTCTGCATTCTTGCGAGCCAAGACCAAACTCTTGTTCTGAAGCTTGTGTTGAGCGGCTCGAACTTGATTGTCCAAGTACTCGCGATCCCAGTTTTGGAGGTCTGAGTTGTGGAGCTCGAGTTCTTGGTCTTGTGGTAGTGGTTTCGGGACACGGGTGCGTACGGCTGGAGCAGATGCCGTAGTGGATGAGGTTTGGCTCTGTGCTTCTTCTCCTTGTGGAGCGGCTGTATCATCGAGATCTGCTTGTTGAGCGACTGCTGTGCGTGGAGCAAAAGGCTCGACATCTTGCATATCAACATCGTCTTGATATATCGGAAGAGGGTCGTCGTCATACATGACCACATCTCTATCAGCGTTCGAGTCTGGCAAGGCACCATCGCGAATAACGGGTGCAGGCGTGTGTACTGAAGCTACTCTTCCACCGCCTGGTGCTGCAGCAGCGTCGACCATGTTGCCATCGACGTCGAAATCGAGGCCCAGGCCTAGATCCAGTTCGGGGAGGAGTCCTTCTTCATTTGCGCCGAACAGGGAACGGCTATAGCCTCTGTTGTGATCAGAGCCAACCACACTTCCGCCTCCAAGCCCAAAACCAAATCCACCTCCTCCAGCCGAGGAGGAAGGAGGAATGATGAGATCCAAGTTTGGGTCCATATGTTCAGAGCCCAGAGCACTCGAGGTGGCGGCATGAGGTGACAAGAGGCTTGATCTCTGAGACGAGCCTTCACCACTGGTGAAACCGAGGACATCATGGAAAGGATCAAAGTCGATGCCCCAAGCGAGTTCGGGTATAAAGTTTGGGTCGTCTTCGAGGACAAGTTGTGTAGGCNNCTGTCAAAGTCTCGTGTCAGTGTCAAGCTCACCCGAACATCGGAAGAGGAACACGACGTACTTGGCTTTGTGCTTGCCGTCGAGTTCAATGGGTGCCGCATGCAGTGAGCGCAGTAGAGTACGGATCTTGTTTTGTTCCACTTGTGCATCCTTTAGGACAAAGTTGCATTGCTCGCCATACACACGAGTGACTCCGTATCTTCGCTTCTTGTCAGTGGAGTTCAAGAAGATCGGAAAGATGATGAATGCTTACAACAAATTGCTTTGGAGTCTGAGTGCCATAGGTACCTCAGACGACACGATTGTCTGACATGCCTTGGGGATGTTGACTGCGCAAATCTCTTTGCGGTCAACTTTCTTGAGTGTGGACTTCGATCCCAATGTTGCAACAAGNCCTGGAAAAAGTGGTCAGAGGTGCTCGTGCTCAAAGAGATCGATGTTTGATTACCAGACTGTTGCCACGCCGTGCTTGCGCGAGGTAAGAACTATACGCAGTCGAGTCAGATGAGCAGACGAGAGTGGAAGGCGCGCTGCTTGCCTTCATGGCTATAAAACATGATCAAGATGCTCGTGGAATCATGTGAACAGGGAAAAGAGAGAAGAGCGGAAGGATTGTGCACGCGTCAAATAGATGGATCGATGATGGAGATAGGTGTTGTAGAATGTTGCAGCGCGAGGTGTTGGTCAGAGACGAGTTGCCGATGGACGTGTTGAACGATGCCGAGAACAAAAGGCGCGCACTGGTGATGTCGCAACAGATGTGTGAATGATGGTTGGTAAAGAAACGCTGTGCAGCAAGAGATGGTTGTAATGTTCGAGGTGTGAGAAGATGTTCTTACGCTTAGAGTCCGTTCAGGGGAATAACGACAAGAAACACCACCACATTGGCCTCTCAGATAGCCGTCATTTCATAGAGCTCTTTGAAGCCTTTGGTGTGCCTGGCCTGACTGATTGTGGCTGTCCGCTCTCAGTTCCAGTTCCTCCTCACACATTAGGCCATATATGCCATACAAGTCCAGTCATGCCAACAGCACAATCAAGGGGCCTGGCTTGGGCAGACTCCCCTGTTCTTGATAGAACACCCACTAGTCCTTTTAAAGTACCAACTCAAAACCACGGACAGGTCGCTTGCTCAATCTTCCGACGCCGCGGAAGTAAAAAGTGCTGCGAGCTATCAACTACGAGGATATTCATCCTTACAAGTCGAAAGCATTTCTTGCAATAGACGTAGTTCCTCCGCGCTGAATAACTGCTTGGAGGTTTCTTCCTCGATGGCTACGGTTCGATGGTATCGAGGCATCGAGCCATCATATCTGGAAGGAGCGGGATGGACTCGCTCTATCCTCGGATCTTTTGATGCTTGCAGCAACTTTTTCGATCCGATATCTAGCAGGATGCCGGCCTGTGGGACGACTCGAGAAGGCATTTCTGGTCCGCAAGTTCTTCTAGTGGAAGTTTCGGGGTTGAGGCTCGTCGGCGGCATCCCTCCCTGTCGGGATATTCGACCATATCAAGACTTGTCATGGTTGCCAGGTGGAGCACGTAGCTCTCGATCTCTTTCTCTTGCTCTGACACCGGGGCATCATGTTTTACTCGCCCTTCTCAGCCTTCTCCTTCTCCAACCTTTTCAACTCTTTTATTCTTCTTCTCTCCTCTTTCCTCTTCTTGGTCTCCAACTCTTCAATCTTCTTGTCCAGCATGATCTTCTTTTGCATGAGATTGGCGCGATAGGTTTCCAGTTCGGTGATTTGTTGGAGGGGTGTTGCTTCGGCTGCCTTTTGTTTTTCCTGTAATGAAGGTTAGTATACACACAGAATAGGGGGGGTGAAACGAGGCAAGGAAGCAACGTACCTGTTTGATGTCTTGCTTCATCTTCAGACCCGCACCATACCAAGCTCCTGTTGCCGTGACGGCGGCAATACTGCCTGTGAGGACGAAGCGACGGAAGGTCGCGAACTGTGGTGTCGACATTGCTTTTACTCTCTCTCTCTCTTCCCTAGACAAGTCTTGCGAGTACGAGTAAGGTAGAAGTGTACAAGATAGCAGTAGCCAATGGTTGCAGAGATTCATTTGCGGCTTGTCCCGCCGTGGTCGCTGTCTCCGCAATCTCCATTGTTTACACCGAGGCACCTTCCTTGTACTCAGTATCTTCTGTCGCAAACACAAATACCGCAAGAGTTCGTCGTAGATACATCAAAAACACTGTTTAACATGTCCAACTACACATCTCGCCAATCCCTGGCTCCCAATTCCTCGCGCAACCACAGCTCCCACGGCAGCAATCCCTCCATCAACCAAACCTCGCGACTGTCCACTCTGCCCGTCCAAGCTTCCAAGCAACGCCAACTCTCGCACCTGAACTCTCAGCTCGCACAGCTCACAGCACACATGGCCGATCTCGAAAACCTGTTGCGCATGACGGCAGTCCAAGCAGAGGGAATGCGAGGTTTAGGTGGTTATGCTGGCGGCATGTTTATGGCTGCGAGCAAAGTGTTGGGCGAAGAGGCTGTTAAGAATGAGGCCAAGGATGAGAGGCAGGGGAGATGAAGGAGGTCATGGAGAGAGACTGTCATTCTACAAGATATGTTCTCTTCTGCTTGGAAAATACGGCCAACACCAATGCAAACCAAGCATGCGACTCTCCCTCGTGTGTGCGACACGTGGCCCTACTCAGGCCAAGGAAGGTCCTACCATCAACAACGACCAACCATGAATCCATCAAGGAGACCCCAGAGGCCGCCTGGACTGAGAATTAGCTGCTTGTTCTCATCCCCTTATCAAAGTGTGTTGTTATCCATTACCACACGCCAAATCTCGAACGATGAGAACATCTCTTCTGCCGACGGACAGACGCGAATTCAGGTTTCCCACCGAAGAAATCCAGAACATGATTTACATTCTTGCGTCGAGATGATTATACCCGCACGCTTTGAGGTGTTCATGAGATACAGGAGAGGTCAACGTTGGAGAGAACTACAGGCACGTCGAGAAGGCCATGCAACAAGATCCCATAGATACAATAATGCCACTGTCATCGTGCACAAAGTATTGCCGTCCTTGTGCGCGAAGCTTTGTGATGGCACCATCCTTTGGTTCAGAGATCCCCTGGACATAGCAAGGATCCTTTTTCTGTAAAGTAGCTAGTTGCCTAAACCATACTCTCAGCTCGCTGCTTGGTTCCAGCATTTCCGATCTAAATCCGTTCCAGCAGAACCAACATTCCAGCACCAAGTTAAAGCAGAGAAAAGAAGAAAAGAAAAGAAAAAGAAAAAGAAAGAAAAACACGGCAAATCTACACAACTTGCACCTCAAAAGTCTCCTCCCTAACAATCCCCTTTAGACTCTCTTGACTCCCCAAACTCTTCACATGACCCTTTTCCCTCTGTCTCTGCCGTCTGACTTTTNNTCTCTCACTTTCCCTTCTCTGCACGCCCTTGGCATCTGCAAACACCCTCGCACGGTGAGAAAACACTTCTCTGTCGCCGCGTATCTTGTCGCCGAAGAAGGACATGGGTGTGGACATGCGTCTCCGACTCTGAGTTTTGAGAGAAGAGTTTGAAGAGTAGGGAGATGAAGATGACAAGGAAGGAAGGGGAAAGGGGAAGAATGCGGTGGATACGGATGCAAAGAAAGAGTAGCAAGAGAGGACTTGCTGAAGAATTGCAACGGGGATGAAGGAGATGCTGGAGTGGCCTGAGGAAAGAAAGTGTAGATAGCAAATGAGGTAAGCGATGCTGAGTGCGATATTCNNCTGCTCCTTGGATCAGTACAATGTCTCTTTTGTGTCAAAAGAGGGAGAAGCAACTTACGGTATACGCAACATAAAAGCCACCACTGCCCATTTTCTCTGCTGTTGCTCCACTTGCATGTGGTTCAGAAAGGCAACGGCAAGGCTAAGAACACCAAGCTCTGTGGCACAACTCAATGCCATGGTGATGCTGATACGAGTGTCCAAGTGTTGACAGCTATTCTCTTTAGCTTCCAACAACATACGACTGGGCTGGCAGTCCGCGTTCGTGGTCAAGATGGCCATGACACCCCAAACAACAACAAGCACTATCCCTGTATTGCAGATATACGCGCGTACGCAATTCCGCGGCAAGAGGCGACGTACAAGTAGCAAAGCCGACAGTTTAGAAGCTCCAAGGATGAGAGAAAGAAGGATTCGGCTTGCAAAGACCAGCNNTGAGAGAAAAGAGAGTCAGTATGATTGATTTGCTTTTCTGACTATCCTTGATCTGAGTCTTACCTTTGCAGCTTCAAGGATACCCGATACAGTCTCAGACGTCAACAACACTCCAAATCCAAGCTCCAGCGATCCCATCATGAGAGCTGAATGTGCCATGACAAAAACCTGTTTTCGATCTTGTCAGTTTCTATCATTCCATGTCCAGAGGGAGCGGGCAATGGATCAACTTACAAAAGAAAGAACGACGGCAAGGTCATCGAGACCATATTTTCTATACCTCACTATCCCTCGGCCAAGTAGTAGTAGAGGACATATGATTGTGCAGGTAATGACTGTAATCCAGAGCCAGCCTCGGTGGTCGGTGCTCGTCACCGGAGAAAAAGGTAGAGTGGATCCAGACATCTAGAGTCGAGTTGCAAGCAGCCGCGGGTGTTGACCAAGCATAGATATATCCTGCAACTCTCTGGTATCATGTATAGTAATCCAGCCTTTGTATATCGAAAAGAAAAGACCAGCACAAACGGCGACAGCCAAAAGTCCAGATACCAGATCGAGAACAAGAAAGATCCAAAAGGAAGCCAGTAGTGGAGAAAACGAGAAACACAAAAAAAAGAGCGTATGAAAGATGAAAGAGACAGTATCGAGAAAGGAATCAAGAAACAAGGCACGCAATCAACCCAGCAAAGGCAGAATTTCCACAACTGTTAGAGTGCCGCAAGGGTGACTAGCAGCCTTGTCAAGCCCATCAAAGAGAATTTGGGATGCCTTGCTCTACTTAACACAGAAGCGCCCTTGTCCATGGTTGGACCAGACGAGCAAAGGCACGAACCACACCACCAGAGAAGGATCTACAAAAGCATCCGTTTTATGCATAAGGTACCTAGCTAGAGACCTTTTTTCTCTTGAGCCTCATGCGAAAACACGCCAATCAGGTGGATGACAATCTACCTGAATCTCCTTCGAATAGCGAGTCGTGAAACTGTCAAGTGGTTTCAAGCTATTGCACAAAAGACGGTTCTCTAGGAGTCTTAGACCCTTTGCTGGTTCGCTGTCACTGCTTGATTTCTGTCAGGAAGGTTGGTTGTTGCAAGACTTGGAAGCTGCGAAGGATGTCATCTGTCGCGTGTGCATGTCGAAAATCATATCGAGATTGCCAACCCTATATCATGATAATGGCTGTCTCATAACACTATAGAAACTCGGCCGTCGATTTTGTCGGTGAAGCTCTCTTCATCGATCACAGTTGGAGATAGGAGCCAGAACATCCGACCCCATCGGATGAGGTCCAAAACAAGACCATACCCACTTGCGCAACTCAGTCTTGACCACATCGAGTGGATCGCTGTGGACACCTCAGGATGAGGATACCAGAGGTGTCTCATTCTGTAGAGAACGCAATCTCCCGTTCCTGATTCTAGAGATGGTCGGTGGGGAGGTAGTTGCGCAAGGCGACGCTCCACTTCATGAAACAGCCGCGCGCACCCTTTCCCCCAGACCCGAGGTTTCGGGTCAAGCATTTCGGTTAACGATGCATCGACCAAGACCATGCTTCTTGGAGGATCAGAAACAAGAAACAGCGGTAAGATGGTTGGATAGATCTAAGCGATCAAAGACGTGCGATCAAGTGCTAGGTCTTTCTGAAAGGAACATGCATTAAGCTGCCTACTATCGAGAAAAGCTGGTCTTGGACCAGAAAATGTCACCACCAAGTCCGAATGATGGAGAGAAAGAAAAACAACTCCGAGAAATGCAATTCGGATCTGTTGAAGAAGGCGCCAGTCGTCGTCCGTGATAAAGAGGACTGACACACACCTGCCGGTCTGACAAAACTTCCATTCGTCCAACGCCCAGAAACTCCGCGCCAAATCAGTATTTTGTCCCTTGCGCTCCTTGACAAAAAGAAAACGGATCAGTCGTGACGTCGTGACTTGTCCCAAACAGTGGTATCAGAAGCAAACAGTACTAAAGGATTCGATCGTGCTCATTCAATCAGGGGTTTCCTGTGGCCACCGACTATGGTCATGCCTAGACTTTTGAGGCCGTTGGCATCAGAGGCTCTGATAATGGTAGATGCGGGTAACATGGGGTTGTCGGGAGAGATATGGTAGGCGTCTTTGGCAGCTTGCTCGATGGCTTCCATTTCTTCCTTGCAGCCAGCGTGATCCCATGGGCAGACAACAATGGGTTGACGGATCATTATGTCTTTTGCACCGGACATGACAGCNCTAGATGGAGTCAGAAGATGGGCTGAGTAGATCACGAGTGTAAAACATACCTTGACTACCAGATAGTACTCGATCTTGTAAAGAGTACCGGTGGTTGTAAAGCCGCTGACAGCGTAAAGAGGAAATTCTCGCTTCTGGCGAGGCAAGATGCCTTCTTGATTGCGCAAATCTCTGGCGGGAAATACTAATCCCAAATTCGTAAAGTAGCCAGCTTCGGGCATCTTAATCCCTACACGATGGGTGGAAGAAGCCAGTGTCTTAGCCTTGCGTTGCGGTTCATCTCCTTGATGATTGTATATGACCTCTTCTTCAATGCTCATTGTGATTGCTTTGACTGTGGCCTTCATGGCTTTCCTAAGCATGTCGGGATTTGGTGTTAATTTGATGTAGACGCTGACTGGATCGAGCGGGCCATAAGACCAGCGAGGTAATGATATGGCGAGGGTGACAAGGTGGTCAACTACGCGTTCAGCGCTTTCTGGGCGATTGTACATTCCAAAGGTGGACAGAGTGTCGTATCTTGCGATTGGTACAGGAAAGGGGTATTTCTTCTGGTCGCTTGCACCGTGATGGACAGTGACGACAATCTCGTAGTAGGTTTCGGCAGCGCGGCGATCCAGCTGCAAGCTCGCTGGNGGTACACGCCTCGCCATCTCTTCACCGCCACGACCGTATGGGATGAAGATGACGAAGGGGAGATCCATGGACAGGATAGCTTCGCTCTCACGACCCGTGGGCGCGCGATACAGCAGCATCTCTTTGCCGACTATATCGGTAATTTCCCTCCGGTTTGACGTGACGAGATGGCCTTTGATTGTGTCGGCTGAAGGGTGGATGCTCTCGCGGCGCTGCAGGCAGACGGTGACCAGCGATACGTGGACGGGAGCGGACACGCCCAGCAATGGACGTATCTCAACCTTGCCCTCTATGCGCGGTGAAGTGGCCGAGATTCCAGGGTATCCGACGAGGAAGTTGCTGTTCGGCGGACCAGAGACGCGCACGAAGGCAGAGGTCATGATGGGCGCAGCGTCTTGGTCAGTAGAGGCGCTGTTGACCGCATGTCATGGGCCGAGTCGGTGGACGGGATTGAGGGCGCGAGGACGAGGGAGGTCGAGAAGGCGGTCGGCAGAGGTCGAGAGAGGTCGGGTGCGAGTGGTACAGTTGTTTTGTTGGTGCAGCCTGTCAGCGGTGGGCTCTACAAGAGTCTCAGACACTCGAAGACGTCAACCAACAATGGCCGGCACAGGGCGGGGGACGGCAGCGGACAAGGGGACGAAGATCAAGACGCGAGCAGAATTTGACTACAGAGATGGGGTCTTGCAAATAAGAATACAGAGTTGTAGCAATGATGTCGCTGAAACTCGCACAAGTCCACCGGACCTTCCTTGGTTTGATGAGCTGATGCCATCCAAGCAATCAAACGAGGAAAGAGCGACCCGGGAGAGCACAACCAAGCAACCGCACGAGCCACGCTCCGGCGCATCTGCCGCCCGCAGCCATCGTCATCGCATACCGTTGACGCTTTTTGTTCAGGTACACACTCCCGTCTGCATCAACCATGGCCGTCACGCTGCACACAACCCATGGCGACCTCAAACTCGAGCTCTTCTGCAGCGCCTGCCCCAAGACGACCTACAACTTCCTCGCACTCTGCGCATCCGACGCCTACAATGACTCGCCCTTCCACCGCCTCATCCCATCTTTCATGATCCAAGCCGGCTCTCCTGCTGCCACTTCGACCAAGGACAGTCCCAGTGTCTATGGCCAGCCCTTCGAAGATGAGATCAAATCACAACTCAAACACAACCAGCGCGGCATTCTGAGCATGGCCAACAAGGGCCCCAACACCAACGGCAGCCAATTCTTCCTCACCTTTGACAAGGCCCCTCATCTTGACGGAAAGAACACTGTCTTTGGTCGCATAATAGAAGGCTGGGACACTCTTGACAAGATGGAGTCCATCCAGGTCGACAAGAAGAACAGACCCAAAGACCCTATCCGCATTCAGAGCGTCCACGTTCACGCCAACCCCATTGCCGACGAGCAGAGGTGAAGTCTTGGTAGGACACCTATCCGTCCTCTATACACCGCACCGATGTGTGCCAATTCGGCATTGCACAACAGATGCTGCTACTCAAGCGTCTCACAGCATATGCCATCAATCAGCAACTGGCCATCCACCATACGCAACGCGGTCTACCTTCCTGCGCCAGCATTCGCTACATGGCGGCTATCTGAATACGTCCTTCGGCGTCATAGCCGTATCCCATGTTCTCAATCTCGAGTTAGACGCGTGAAGTCTGACGTTGCAAGTCGCGCTGGCCTTGCATGTCTGCTACATGCATCTGGCTCTCGGCACGTTGGGCATGTTCTGGCACAACGATCCTATACCACATTGTCTTTCTCGCTTAGAGACTTTGACTCGTGCCTCCTTCTCGGTCCTTTTCTTCTTCTCTGCTTGCTGTCTTTCACTTTTTCCAAAAGCCAAGAACTAGCAATCCGATAGCTATATCCGATCACGATACCGCGTATGCGTACGAACAGACGACAGTAGACTTCATTGCCTTCCCACCAATCGTCCACCTAGTATTGCTCCTCTGTCTAGATAACATCCGTATCTGTCATTAGAGCCCCACAGTATAGGAGCTGTTATTAAACCCTGCCCTGCCTCAAATTTGAGCATTATAGTGTAGTATTCGAGCCCAACATCAACAAGGCGAGATGGCCGAGCGGTCTAAGGCGCCAGCTTAAGGTTCTTCCAATACGCTGGTCCGAAAGGGCGTGGGTTCAAATCCCACTCTCGTCAATATCCTTTTGCTGTTCCTGCGGCCATCTCAAAGAGATTGGAGAAGCAGTCTTTCTTTTCTTTTCTTTTTGTCAGAACTTGAATCTGTGGTTTTCTGTTTCTGGTACGCGAAGCTCTGACTGCACAAGCAGATTTGGTGTCGTACCGTGCACGAGTCCTTGATTCGACTATCTGTCTTTTCTGAGTTGGTGTTTGGCAAAGAGGAGTTCCATTTCACACGCGACATGAGTAGGAGTGTTGACGTGAGCACCCGGGGTTCCTGTCAGACAGACCTTGAGAAGTACAGGACTACATGCGATGCTCCTTGGTCATCGTCGACCGCGGGAATGTTTGTCGTCAAGAGTATCACCCTGTCTATAATCATCGTCGTCAAACCACATGAAGAACAAAGGCCCAAGACGAAGAAAACGAGAGAGGATGGCAATGAAGAAGGGCTGGCTTGATGCAAACTCGCTATGCATTGTGTCTCGACTGCTGATCTTGATGCTACTATACAATCCGCCGCCATGCAAGAAACCCCCAACTCTACCTCCGTCTATCATACAACCCTTGGACTTTCCCTCAAGCATGTCCATTAGCATGCACCCCATTCCCATTAGCAGTAGACACAATCTGCGGAACCTCAATGATGGGCCCTTGCTCAACTTTACCTCCCTCCTTCTGCTGCGCAGCCGTCAACTCCTTCCTGATCGCCAACACCGAATCCACAATCACGGCGTCTATCCCCTCTTTGGCCTGTCTGGCCACCATCTCCGGCTGATTGTTGAGGGTGCCATAACTCACACACACCAACCCGCTTTCCTTGACCACGCGAATCAGACGCGGGCAAGTGACCAACGGCTCGGCAGCACTAACCACACCCAGAAGATTCCAGCGCGAGGAAAAGCGAATGGCTTCTTGGAGCGAGGAAGCGCGGATGTCGCCGACGGGGGAGGTACCTGCGTCAGAAAGGAAGAGGATGGGGATGGAAGGTTGTTTGAAAGACAGCAAGAGACAAATGTCTGGGTTGAAGGAGGAGAAGAGCATGTTTCTGCCTGTACCCAAGTCATAGACCTTGGTGAGGACGGTGTCGACGAACGAGTTTAGTTCTACGGCGTACGTGTCCATGTCGTGTTCTTCTGATTCGAAGAGCATGGGGTATTCNTGTGAAATCGCAGTTAGTGGAATGTACAGAGGCAAAGTGTGGTGAGTAGAAGAGCAAAACTTACTCATTTCAATGTTGAAGCCGATCGAGGATGGCAGTGTCTTGAACATTTCCTCCAGAGTGGTAAATGGTGCTTGGATGAAGTTGCCACGACTGTTGCCCTTGAAGCCTTTCTCCTTGAAGTCGCGCGTGTGCTTCATACGCTCCGACATGTCAGGGGCGCGTTCGTCTTGAGCACCGCCGAGTGAGTAGGAGCGTTGCTTGCGTGACTGCTCAAACACGCCATCTAGGTGACTTCTCTTGGGTGAAGGAGGACGTGAGCCTCTCGGTGTTTGGCCCTCGCTTGCATGCATGAATTGCTCCAGGGTCAAGGTATGCACAGGGGCATCGATACCTGTCTCGCTGACCAAGAAGTCATGGTAGATGACAGGGACATGGTCCTTGGTGAGTTGGACATCGAACTCGACGTATGATGCACCCAAGTTGGCGGCCGCAATGAAGGATTGAAGAGTGTTCTCTCCCAACTGCAAAGACTTCATCGATGCCATGTTTTTACCCAAACCACGGTGCCCGATGACTTGTGTCGATGTGCTCTTCCAATAAGTCTGATTTTCAGCAATGTGCATATTGGGGTGCTGGAATGGTGTGATGATGAGGAAATTGAAGTTGACAGAGCCAATGACATCCAATGTCTCTGCAGCAACGATCGGTACGCTCAAGTCACCCTGAAGCAACATGCGCTTGGAGCCAATGCTGGGCTTGATACTAGAAAGCAAAGCCACACCACGACCGACAATCTTGTCCTTTGATCCAGAATATGTGGGAACGATATCAAAGAGCAGCCTGACTTTGGTCGGATCACGAGTCTTGAATGTGATGGGTGAAGTGCTGATGTTCTCCTGGACAGGCAGATCCACAATCGTTGGTTCTCCACTGGCACCCGATGCAGCCACAACCAGAGAAAGAGCAGTGTCTAGCTGAGTAGCATGCGCATCTGCCAAAGGAATATTGTCGAGAGTGACTGCTGGAACGTTCTTACGATTGTCCATAGAGCCGAGACTGACGAGCACCAAGGACTCATCAGTAAGATATCTGTGACCGAAAGTCTTCACAGTCTCCGGAATGCGAGGAGCATCACGGCCCTGAGGAATGTTGGATCGTCGGTCGCCGATGGACGAAATGTTCTTTGGCGATGTACCTGGAGCGTTGCTGGGTCTGAGGAGTGGAGAGGGTGCGTCGAGATTTTCAGGAGTTGGGCTCAAATCAGCCAGCTTGTTTGCAACCTCGAGATGACCTCTAAGAGCAGCGTGCTCAATAGGCATCCAACCCGACAGATCAGCCTTGCCTGTCTCAGCACCAGCCTCAATGAGCAGTTCAACGATTGGTAAGTGGCCATCAACGCATGCTATGAAAAGTGGCGTCCAACCATATGTCTTCTCGGTGATCTCGAGGTTGGCTCTCTGAGTCTCGGAGCCCTCGAGTAGAGATTTTGTGCACTCGACAAAGCCGAAGCGAGCAGCAACATGCAACGATGTTTCCCCTTGCTCGTCTTGATAGTTGATGTCAATGCCAGCATCGACGAGTAATTTGACGATCATGTAGAAGTTGTTCTTCGTCGCCAAAGCCAGTGCAGCGCCCGACTTCTCAACGTTACGCCTGGCAGTATGGCTGTCCTCGGCCTCGCCATGCCAGTCTTCAGCCATGAGCAAAGTCTTTGTGGTTCTGTAGTGACCGCCGATGACACTGAGATGGAGAGGCGCGTATCCTTCGGCGTCTTGCCAGATGTCAGAGTCAATACCCTTGGTGACATCGAACTGGTTCCAAGCTTGCATGTACTTGATGATAGTTTGAGATGCGGCTACCAGACCATACTGTGCGGCGTAGTGAAGAGGTAGACGACCGTATGTATCTCTTTCCTTCAGTACTGCTCTCTGCTCGGCGGACAGGTTGGAGAGGACATATGTCAGAATCTTGATAGCGGGATCATCTTGGCCAAGCGTTTGGGCGACGTCCTTCTCCTGGACCTTGAACGAAGAGGGAACACGAACCGGGAGTTCTGCTGCGTTGATGAAGGAGTTTATTTCTGCACCGGTTGGAACTGCAGCCGGGCCATTTTCTTCCAGAGCTCTTGCGCGGCCAGTCGCAATTACCAAGCGATGAATGACATTTCGCTTGTTCATGTCATCATCCTCGGTGAGAGAAGAGATTTGTGATAGCAGATACTTGATGCAATCTTGAGACTTTGCGGAAATAGCACGCTGCAGAAGATTGAGCATGAGCTTCTGAATAATAGAAGTGGACAGATCCTTCAGAGAGGTCGAGATGGTCTCTTGTAGTTTGGGAAGATCATCCTGGCGGACGTTCTGCTCCAGAGTGTCCAGCACAGCTGTAGGCACTCGCATGGCATTTTTAGATGAAACGCGGTGCAGCGAGCCGGTAGAGGCGATCGAAGCATTGTCATCAAAGACCTTGACATCCCCCAGGCCTGACAGCCAGTCGTTAATGGCACGCATGTCTGCCTCGGTCCTGCGATTGTTCGCAAACGCCTTGGGGTCGACTTTGGAAGCCAGGTATGTATTTTGCGAATGAGAGGCCTCGATCTTCTTGTCAAGCTTCTTGGTGATCTTGACGAAGCCTCTGCGATTGACTTCGCCAAACCAGATGAGGTTGCGGTATTGTCCTCTGAGCTCTAGCAACGCGCCCATCAGATCTTCCATCTCTTCCTTGTCCATGCTTTCTTGTGGCTGGGTAGCTTGTCCATAGCGATCGTAGAGGAGTCTGAGTCGACGTGCGAATTCGGCGTGTTTTCTGTTGTAGAAGCTATCGACATCTTCGAGGTTGCGGTCCAGGGCGAAGAAGAATTCTGAAGGGGTCAGTCAGCAATGCTTCGAAGGTGCTTGCTACCATCACTCACCTGCAAGATCGACTTCGCCGCCAGCTTCGGCGCTGTGCTGGACAGCTGCCTTGATCAACTTCTTGAGGCCTTTGTAGTTGATGTATGCAGAAGCCCACTCGGGTACCTGGTTGCGAGGGAGGTTCTGTCCAAACTTCATCTTGACTGTATCCAATGCTTGTAAAGATGCTGGTGATGGACACCCGCCACTAGGGTGGAAATGTAGAAAGATAGAGATGGAAAAGGAGAGCAAGATCTCAGAGAGACTAGGTTGGAGCTGTTCACTGATAGCCGCGCAAACGAACGGTTGGTTTAGTATAGAGGCAAGCAGGGGTGACAACGGAGGCCATTCGTTCAAGTAGCAACGGCAAGCTAGGGTCAGTGATTGGAGTGCTGCCGAGTGCCTGGCGTTCACACGAGACGGAAAGTGAAGGGTCAAGTCAAAGGTGAGAGGTGTGAACGTGTAGATACTTTTTATCTAATTGGTTGCGATTGAAACCTACGCTTGGCAGGAAAAAGGATGATGATGAGTTTGTCCGTCGCGACTCGCAGGGGCTGCAAAGGGCGCGTCCGTCAGGGTCCCCGCGGATCATCGGTCGTGTCCAACTCAAAAAGTACATCCGTCTTCCGATCTGTACACCTGTATCTTGTCCATCTCTCAAATTGCATGAACGAGGCTTTTTGTGCCAGCGCGTGTGGTACCGCTCTCCATGCCGTGTCATCTACTGACTGGCCGTGCGAACCTCGATGGCATCTTCAAGAGGTCATCGTCAACCTCCGCGACTTCCGAGCCATATCAGAAAAAGCAACAAGGGTGCATCGGTTTCACTATCGCAGCTATCTCGGTATGACGAGGGCCGCAGCGCGAAAAGAAACCCTGGTGTACGGAGCGCGTTCCGCGATAGACAGTCATGATAACGACTTTTGTTTGCACAATTCTTGTGGGCACCCAACTTGTGCTCGTTAACGAATACTTTTGGCGTCATCTATACCAGCTCGTGTACAGTCTAAAAGGCATTCTAAACGTCGACTGTGATCCGAACTCTAACATCATCATCGCAATATTATTACTCCAACAGCTTGACAGGAAGACACGATGAAACTCAGTCGTGTCTAAATCTGGTGATTTTTCAATTTGCCGAACAAGTTGTTGAACCATGACTAGCAAATGGATTAGGATTGTACGTCTATCGATGCACTAATCTCAAGTCACTTACCTGGATTCTCGATCCGCTGGTTGCTGTTGCTTTGGCGGCAGTCGTTGTCTGAGTTGCTCGAGCACTCGTGATGGTAGCTGCCTTGCTGGTGGCAGAAGTGGCGAGTGTTGACTTCCCAGCAGCGCTGGTTGTTGCTTGAACTGGGACTTTTGCTGCTGCACCAGCGTCACCACAAGAGCCGAAGCCCGATTGACAGCCATCACCGCAGTAGGCAGCGGTACTGCCGCACCATCCAGCTGGTGAGCAGCAGTTACCAAAGACCGAGCCTTGACAGGTCATACCGGTTGACCCTCCACAAGTTGCGTCGGTCGACACCTTGGTTGGCTGAGCTGGTGCAGCGGTCGAGCTTGTACTGCTGCTCTGAGGGACATTGATACCACATTGACCGAAGCCAGCTTGACAACCTTCACCACAGTAAAGAGTTCCGGAGCCACACCAGCCAGCCTAAGAACGAATTAATCAGCGTAGTTCTCGACAGTGCACACTTATGGTCCACCTACCTGAGAGCAGCAGTCTCCAAACTCGGAGCCAGTACACATGAATCCTGAGCCACCACCGCACTGTCCGNTCATTCGATGTGGCAGTAGGAGCAATCGTCGCAGAAGTCTTGGTAGCAGATGTCATCGCCGAAGTGGATAAAGTGAAGACATTTCCAGATGAGCTGCGGTACCAATTTTCCTTCGGGTCACCAAGACACTCGCCAACAGTAACAGGTTTGTAACCAAGAGCTAGGATTCTCTCAAGCATGTAGGCAGTCAGAACGTTCGCAGTCTGGTTGTGGATGTCGTGTCCGATGACAAGATAATCGTCGGTAGCTGGGCTACCTCCAGCAATTCCAGCATCGAAATTGTTCTTTGCATTCTGGATCAGCGCGGGAGAATCGTTGTCGTAGTCGTCNTATCGCATGTCAGCCACTGAGCCGCAATCCAGGGTTCTTGAATTCTTACCAGTATCGACATCAAAGTAGGTCACATGGTAGCCGAGATCGGCCATATCCTGCTGGCACCCAGACTCCGCATCGCAGTCAGAGTAAGGAGGTCTCATGTAAGTAGGGAAGAATCCCAGAATGTTGCGCAATGCCATCTCATTGCTGTACATGTTCTGCTTTCTCTGTGCGCTCGTAAGGTTGGACAAATGAGGATGCGACCAAGTATGAGATGCAATCTGGTGTCCTTCGTTGTACGCTCTCTTAATCGTCGCAGCCCAAGGGAGAGCGGCATTGTCAATTTCTCCTTTGCCGTTGTTGTTGCCAGTGATGAAGAAGGTGGCTTGGGCGTTGTATTGTTTCAACACGTCCAGGACGTGCTCGGTGTAGATATATGGGCCGTCGTCGTAAGTGATGGCGATGGTACCAGCCACTGTGCAATCATAGATTCCGGCTCCACCATACAAGACATTGCCGAGCTTGGGTCTCGCAACAGTAGAAGTGCTGCTGCCAGATGGGATCTTGTTGTCGTCACACCCAGAAGCGTAGTTGAACTGACATCCAGGCGCAGAACAGTAATCTGTACCTTTGCCACACCAGCCTGATCGGTGTCAATATTATATGGCTAAGCTTTCTCCTCAATGATACTGACCAGCTTCAGAACAGCAATAACCATCAGCACAAGCACCAAAGCCCTGTCCACATTGTCCCTCGGTGTTGGAAGAAGATTGGCGCTTGGCGTGGATGTCAGGATCAACCGGCTGGTAGCTACTTGCTCCGGTACGTAGGCCATTGGAGACAGCGGGTCTTCTACCAAAAACTCTTGGAGCTCCTGGGATATCACTATGAGCTTCGATAAGAGAAGGAAGCAAAGCCAAGGAGGCCAAAGCCAGACTGTTAAAATGCATTGCAAGACGAGATCAACACGATACAGACGGTCTGGGGACAATTTCCAGCTAGGGTGCAAGCAGAATACTCAAAGCGAATGTAAAGTCAAAAGACAGGGATAGAACGAGTGACGCGGCACGACGGGATGCTGGCGAGAAAAAAAAAGGAACCTGCCTATCTCAAAACTTCGAAGAATCATCGAGTGTGCTACTCGGCATGTTATATATTCACGACTTACGAAACAAGCAACTGCGAACTTGTCCTGCTACTGCACCAGCTCCCCTTGCTTGCAGTCTGGGCGTGCTCGTGAACATTGTTTCTTTCCAGATACGGAGTCGAAACCGATTCTCTCGTCCAGGAGCAGCAAGGTGGATATGGAAAGTCGCATGCATCCTCTATCGTGACAGAATCGAAACACTGGAACCGCATGAGGTGAAGCCATAGTCTGTTTCGTACTTTCCCTTGGCGGTCAAAGCAAGCGGGACGACGGCTCGGAGCCCTATGCCATAGTCTCATAGAAAGCGAATCATCGGGTGGTTTGTTTGAGGTATGCATGAGGCTTGCTTTGGAAACAACACTCTGAGACGTGGTGAAGAGGGAGAAGAAACAAATCGTATAAAGACTGCTCCAAGATCAAGTTGTAATTGGACGTCTTGGAGAGGTCACTGCGCGAGATCGGCCTCGGCAGAAGGGACCCCATGTTTCTCCACGACCCTGTCTATTTTGAGAATGCATGGTGCAACCGACCTCGAGCTCAAATGGTCGTCAAAATGCACGCCGGGACCATTCTTGAATAGCGGTAGCATGTGCATTGCAGTAGGCAACCCTCTTCATGTGCATATTATCGATTTTCGCAGGCGATCTGTCTATCATAATTTGCCTTCTGAGAACACTCCTCATTTCTCGACAAACTGGAGACGAGAGCAGAGCCCGAAGGCCATGCGTTTCCTGCAAGTTACGGTGAAGTGGAAATTTTTTTGTTGATTCGGTTTGAACAGAGCGTATGATCTACATGTGCCATCTAGGTGCTTCCTGGACCACCCAGAAGAGCGAACCTTCTCACTATTGAAGGACCATATTCTNNGCGCATTGAATTAGTATCGGACAATAGCGAGCAAAGGGATGATAACGAACCGTCGTACTCTGCCTTTGTGTGACAGTAGCTTCTAAACTCGGGAGTCTGACCCAACAAACTACCACCGAACCAAGGACCGTGACGTTGTCGCTTATGAGTAATGACTTGGACATCGAGACCGCCAGACTTGGCACCACCGCTGCGAGCCTCGCTAGCCTGGATACGAGCATCGACTAGGTGTCTGATATCACGCTGGAGTCTACGACCGAAGTTCTCGTAAAGAGTGGAACCACCGGACAGCACAATGTTCTTGTAAAGACCTCTTCTAACATCGATTGGTGACTGTTGGATGACGGTATCGACAATGTTGGGCAGGGGCGTCAGGAAGTCGGATGAGTAGATTTCGGGGTTGAAGAAGATTTCGGGAGCAAGGAAACGCTCGTAGCCGACATCCACAACGGCATTGCGACCGTTCGGGTAGTTGATTGTGTGCTTGCCGAATCGTTCTGGCTCACGGTCGTAGCGTGCAAATTCCTTGACGATGTCGGGACAGACATAACAGAACTCCTCCTTGATCTTCTCGGCCGTTTTGAGAGAGCTATCGGGCTCGCCTCTGTCACGGAGAAGGCTCTGAACGAAGTAGGTGATATCGCGACCAGCAATAGGAACACTCTTGATCGAAGAACCGATGACATAACCCTCGGCGACAGGGATAACGTGGGTAACACCCTCTCCGGAATCGATAACGGTACCGGTCAAGGAGCGATCCTGAACCTTTGATGAAGTCCAAGAAGCGGCGAGAGCCAGCACGGCTTGGACAGCGATGTAGAGACCAGCGACGTTGAAGGATTCGAACATGATTTCGGCGGTGGCTTCACGGTTCTCGGGAGGGTTGAGGGGAGGTTCGGTAAGGAGGAAGTGGTGGTCTTCGGGCTCGACACGGAGGTACTTGAATATCGAGTTGGACCAGAAGCGTTCCATTTGGTCNCTGCGCATATCAGCATTTGGTCCGGAGAATAGCGTTTCCATGTTCCTACGCACCCAGTTCTCAATTTGACCATGACGGATGGGGTAGTGGAGACCGTAACCGGGACCACTTGAAGCGGCTAGAGCCTCGTCACCGATGAAGTAGTCGAGATCTTCTGTGCCTCTCTTTCCCGAAAGCATCGAAGAGTTGTTACCACCACCAGGTCTACCCGAACGGCCAGCAGAGCTGTCGGTGGGGCCCTTGGTAGCGATGGCGGTAGGGAAGACGAAGGACGGAGAATCATTGCCGGCGAAACCTGTGGACTTAGTATTGCGAACGGAATGGGCGAGGGCCTATGGTGACTAACCGAGCTTTGTGTAACCTGTACCGCTGCTTGGTGTCAGTACGGTTGCCTATGCGCGCAACAAGAGCAGGGGAGGCACGTACTTGTCCATGACAACGGCCGGAGTTTGGTTGGCCATGATGACCGGTGTGTTGGCGGGTGTGTGAGAGGTAGAAGAGGGGAGACCAGAGGCCAATGGTCAAGAACAAGACGAGATGTCGACGAGTACGCAAAACAGATCAAGAATACAGCCAACCTCGCGGTGTCGCGTTGGCTCCAAGGGCGTTGTCGTCACGGAGAGCTCGGCCACTGCCTCCCGCTACAGTCCGTGCATTTGTGCTTGACCGCCTGGCAGTTCCAATCAATGTATGTCGTTGCATGACTATCTACTTCACGTAGAGCGTATATCCTTCGTGCTCGATCTTACTACTGTCCACCTGTAGTCTCCATGGGAGAAGTCAGTCTTCGTTATGATTATAACCTGACGCCGTAGTAACCAGTCCGAATCAACTGGCTATTTGCGTCCGCTCACAGCCCTAGCAAAAATGGAAAGAGCAACCCTCTCCCAAGCTGTAGGCCAACAAACATCTTGCCAATTCTTCTTTGAAGCCCATCATTCCTTGCCTTCCTTTCCTCGCCCACTCAACTCGCTGTCGGATCTTTGCATCGCTCTCAGTCATCTCTGAGGCGGCCAACTGCAAGGCTCGTCGTCTCTTCTGGCCATCATCACTCGCTTTATCCTTCTTTCTGTCCGATTGTCCTACCAACCTAGCGTGTCTTCTCCGGTCTATTTTCACCTTGATTCTACGGAGTAGAAAAACCGCTCGACCCGTACTACCCCTTCCACGCTGTCTCATTCGAAGACTCAAACGACGTCTGTCATATCACCATTCCCACCCCGTCGACTCACTTACGACATGCTCCATCCAAGGTCTCGCAAAATCCAGAAGAATGGCGCCGATCAACCATGCATATTCGTCCATGCCGGTGCTGGTTACCACAGCTTGCAGAACGAGAGGATCCACCTCCAGGCGTGCAACGAGTACGTTAACCCAGTCCCAGTCTTCACTCTCCGACTAACATGAGCAGTGNCCGCGAAAGCCGCCATGGTAGTTCTACGTACTGGTGGAACTGCTCTTGACGCTATCGAGATCGCCGTGAAAGTTTTGGAAGATCGTGAAATCACCAATGCTGGCTATGGAAGCAATCTGGCCATTGATGGATGTGTCGAGTGTGATGCTACCATTGTCGATCACTTTGGTCGTAGTGGTGCTGTGGGAGCCGTCTCACGTTTGTCCTATCATATCGATACCTTCTCTCACTGAGCTGACATGACACAGAGATNNAAAAATCCTATCTCGTTGGCTCGCACACTCTTAGACCGCAGCACGCAGTTACTCACTCTGCGCCGTGTACCTCCAAATCTGCTCGTTGGTCAGGGCGCCATCGAGTTCGCTGCGAGCGTGGACATGCCCATCCTACCATACGACGCCTTGATTTCTCCTGCCGCGAAGGAACGTTGGCTGAAGTGGAAGAATGACCTTAACACCGTTGAAAAGAACAGAAGGAATTCTGCGCCACAGGCTTCCAGTTCGCTTACCGCAGTGCCATCTAAGCACTTGATGGGCTTCGACTCGGAAGACCGTGTGCGAGAACAGATGCGCCGGGCACATACACGTGCTCTTGAGGCTGGGGTCTGGAACGAGGCACAGCCGATCACACCACTACCCTCGTCCGATTCGCTCACCCTGCCCGGTCAAATCTTCAAAACACCGGCCAATGGACTGCAAGCACCTACTCCTACCAGAGTCTCGACTAGGTATCCGGCGGAGCCGCTGATGATTTATAGCGATCCTTTCGGTCCACCAGGGCCTCGTCCAGTCTACAGCAACTCTCCTCTGGCTACCAGTGGTCGCAGAGTCAACGACGGTCACTACTCTGGTAACTACTTTGCAGAAAACTTCTCGTCTACCGATACGATGAACGTGGACGACTATCAGAACTTCTCTGGGCTATACAGCTCACGTTATAGTGATCGCCACGATGGTTCTTCGGGTGACTCGGGACAAGAGTCTGGTTCCATGTCATCAGAGTCCCTGCAGTTACCATCGATCACACCAAGCCCCGAACTCGCGCCAACGTCCACAAGCTTACCCGCTTTGGAAGACGTTGACATCGAGTTGCTTGACACGCCAGACGATCAAGTCGTAGAGTCAACGTCATCCGAGTCCTCGAATTCAATTCCACTTCCACTCATCCCCGCGCGTACAGACGAAGAAGATCATATCACGGACACAGTGGGTGCTATCGCTATCGACAGCTATGGAAACATTGCTTGCGGTGCGTCATCAGGAGGCATTGGTATGAAGCATCGTGGCCGTATTGGACCCGCTGCTCTGGTCGGCATCGGATCTGCTGTCATACCGGTTGACCCAGACGACAAGGACCGGAACACAGTCGCTGCGGTTACGAGTGGAACAGGCGAGCACATGGCTACCACCATGGCTTCGACAGTCACAGCCGAACGTCTCTTCTACAGTGTCAAGAAGACTCCAACCGGCATTGTCGAGACCGATGATGCTGACGCGATCAAATCGTTCATCGAACGCGACTTTATAGGTGAGTCAAGCAAGTGTTGTGTTTGAACTAGAGTACCGACATGCTTGTAGNGACATCCGAGTGTCAAAAACAGTCACTCGGCCGGCGCCATTGGCATCCTAGCTGTGAAGAGGACGCGCGAAGGAATATACTTACATTTTGCTCACAACACAGATTCTTTTGCATTGGCATCATTCCATGGAGCAGAAACTAAACCTACTTGCACCATGTCTCGCAGTACAGGCAATGGAGCGATTGCACAAGGCGGTCGCGCTATCAGGTTCAAGGCCAGCAGAAAGAATGGTTGATTGGCGGAAGCACCGAATTGCTCAGCGACCTTTGATTCGGCTTGATCGGAGGCACATGGCCCATCCTACAATTCCTAATACTCGTAGTGTAATATTCTGTACCATCACAATGCATCATGTCAAGAGTTTGAGAAGTTGTTCATTGTCAGTCATCCAGTGATGAACTCGTGGCGGCACAATCCATACGAGAAGCAGTGGTGGCTCCTCAGACGCTGCGCACGAGCCTTCCAAGACATAGCAACCCTGTGGCTACTGATTGCAAGTGAGTTAGATGTGAGAGAGAAAGGTCAAGGAGCTCTTGGCGTCGAATTGAAGAGAGTCGGCTTTCTCCGCCCTTCAGTTTTGCATCGCGACTCTCACATCCGTCAAGCTCTCAGCCAAAGATTTGCGACTCACGCGCATTGCCAACTCACACTTTCTCTACACCAAAACCCCGCCACCACAACCACCGCAAACCATGGCCGACGCCACCCTGTTCGACGACACCTTCACCCTAACCTCCCTCAACAACCAAAAATACGACCGCGTCTCCCGCGTCACGGGCACATCCACCGATTCCTCCACCATCCTGTCTCTGGACATCAACCACGAAATCTACCCCGTAGCTGTTGGCGAGACTCTACAGATTGTGCTTGCCTCGACACTGAATCTCGACGGCACCAAAGAGGATGTAAGCAAGGGATGGAGGGAAAAGGGTTCCGAGGAAAATTCGCTGGCGGATATGTTTGATTACGTTTGTTGGGGCAAGGTGTATAGGTTTGAGGAGGGTGAGGGAGAGAATATGTGAGTTATTGTCATTTTTGTACTCCAACACTTGCACTTCTCGGGAGATTGAGGGGTGAAGAGAGTGGGAGAAGGAAGTACTTTTTGCTCAGAATGCGTATACTGACAACACATTCGCAGTAAGGTCTATGTCTCCTTTGGCGGACTGCTGCTTTACCTCGAGGGCCCTTACAAGAAGCTCACTCCTCTGCGCATCGACTACATCTACCTCTTGATCAAGAAATGAGTGTAGTAGTGTCCGCGAAAAACAAATCTCACGCACGAACAAAACACGATACGATTTGGCTCGACAATCTCCGCTTCTTCTTCTTCTTCTTCTTCTTCACGAACCCCCTTGCTCAATTTCGCGATCATCGCTTTTCAAAGCACCGAGCTCAACACATCGTTAGGGATAAAGAGCATAGAAGAGAGCGTCTGGATACCATCACGAGAGCAAAAGATTTCACAAAAAGCGGCAGGCATGGAGGGACATGACAAAAGGAGAAAAAATGATCATTTCTCAACTTCGAGAAAGGGGAGCGGCATAGCGTGGAGTTTTAAGGCGTCTTTCCATTTCCGAGCAGAAGACGTAGAAGGCAACGAAGGGGCACCGAGATACAGTCCCAAAACACAGGGCAATGTCTTTCCCGGCCTCTACCCTGCTTTCTCCCGCAAGATTCCCTGCTTTATTGCCTGGCTATGTATCAGCAAGGACTAGCCCCTCGCTTGTAAAAGGCCTGCTGCGCCTTCCAATCATAATTGCATTGCTCAATATCTCCATCTTCTGCTTCCTGAGAGCTTAATCGTGCAGTGCTCATGGTAATGTATGACGAACAATGCTTGTCGCTTTATAGCCCCCTTGTAGTCTGCCAATGTTCATGAATCTGTTGTTTTGGTGTCATATCGTATAGATCATCTAGGTGTATCAGGACCCGGAGTAGGCGAGTCTGCAGGCGTAGTCCCATCAAGCTTTCTCTTCTTCTTCTTTTTACGAGGAATTACCACCGGTTTGGCAGCATGGCCTGATAATGACAATGCTGTACCGCAAGTAAGGCAAATATTATCAGGAGGCGGTTGGCAAAAGACNTAAAAGTCACATGTGTTAGCTAGATAAATAGTTTTGAAGTGGGAAGGACAAAACATACTGGATAAGCAAATACTGCACACATATCCCAAATCAACAACGTTGCGGTGGCAGAAGCAGGCAGCGCGGAAATCTACGCCTTCGGTCTCGCCAGCTTTGACAAGGTTTTGTCGTGCAGTGGCATCTGGGAGGTATCCCATCATGAGGACTTGCAGTAGACCAGCCACGCGATCACCCAGAGCCATGTAGACACCTCCTGTCGCATCGGCAGCCTGCTGCAAGAACTCTGCGTTCGAGTGGGCAGACAGTGTCAAGATGTCGATGGGTATGGCGAGGCGTTGGCAAGCAAAGATGGTGTTCATGATGGGGATGTATTGGTCTGCAATATCACCGCTGACACTGAGGATCAGGATGCGGCTTTGGAGACCCGTGTGGCTGGGCTGTGATGTGCCGTCTGCAGTCGAGGTTGTAAAGGTACCGGCAGTGTTTGTCTGATCGTAGGCGCCGTCTCCTGCTCTTGCTGGATCGTTCAAGGTGGCTTTGGCCATGTAGGTGAGAGCGAGGGTCAAGGCGCCAGACAGCATTGTTGATGTGGATTGCTTGAGGTGCTCGGGGGTAGTTGTTTGTAGCAGAGCGCGCAGATTGGTAGTCAGGGCCTTCTCCAACTGCGCAAAGGGGCGGTACTTGTTGGCGTCATTCTGAATGTCGCCGGCGTGTGGCACTTTGAGGTCGTCATGGGTGGTCGGGTATAGGAAGCGGGCGCTGTCTGAATGTGAGGCGACTACGGCGACTTGATTGGAATTGTTGATGGCCAGGTGAGCGTTGATGAAGACTAGGAGGTTTGCGACCAAGGTGGACAGAGGGAGGGTTGAAGAGAGTAAGCCCCAGGCGTGTGGATTGGTGTCGAGGATGATGGTCAGCAGAGCGGGAGCCTCGGCGCTGTCGGCGATCTCTTCATGCGACGATGCATCGACGGCATTCATGTCGAAAGAGTCATGCGACCATGTGTTGGTCGAGGAAGGTGGAAGGTGTAGAGTTCGTTGTCTAGAGAATCGTTTCACATGCGAGCTTCTTGAATCAATTCCGTCACTGCGAATCCACCGCACCTTTCTTCACTTTTTGTCGCAACCACCAAAGATACAACTCGCAACATGAACCAGTCAAGGAAGAACACAGACAGCATCACGGCTGCTCAAAAACACCTTCGGGCTGCATCAAATCTGCTGCTTTCGACATCGCCGCATACATCGGCCTTCCTGGCTTCACAACTTCTACGAACTGAACCACCATCATCGTCGCATTCGAACACCGTCCCGGACAACTGTCGCGCATGTGGAAACACCATGGTACCAGGCTGGTCGTGTGCCATATCCAAACGACGACTACCTGAATCCTCGTTCAAGAAGAACAAGACCAAGTCGAGAGTCGAAAAGAAGTCTGCCATAGCTCAATCCACATACATCGACTACAAGTGTACCCTTTGCAACAGTGTCAACACAATCAAGTCGGATACACAACCACCAGCCAGACGTAGCAAATCGAAAAAGCCATTGCCAGAAAGCAAGCCAAATGTTGCTCCTCAAGCGGTTCAGATAAACACTTCAACGACCATCAAGCCGACCATAGCAACAACAAGTACTCCAAGTCCTGCTTCTTTTACTACAATCTCTTCGTCCTCGGAGCAAGCCCGTGGAGCAACAGACAAGAAGCGAAACCGCAAACAGAAACTTGGAGGTCTACAAGCCATGCTAGCGAAATCAAAGGCTCCATCTGCAACACCCAAAGGGTTCGACTTTATGGACTTTATGAAGACGACTTGAAGCAGCACAGCCACCAAACAGATTCTCTGTACAACTTACCTTGCTGGTTTGCCATTCGTCATATCTTCAATCAGCAAGACATGTCATCTAATCTAAGATCTGACGTGGATCTGCTATCGATAAGCTGGAAATTTTGCTGCTGCCCCGCGCTGGTCGAGAAGCTTCTCCCAAGCACCGTAGACGCCCAATCGCATTGCTAATCCATCTTCCCTTCACAAACAACATCACAAACTTTTTTCGCTGCCAATCACAATTCACTACTTTCTTTAACCACCCACTCGACCCTTACCGAGCCACATAGACAAGAGTCACCCTTCGACAAGACTAGATCAACAACACCCACTTTCGCAAAAATGGCGGCAAACGACAAGCCCACTTCGGTAGCCAAGGACCTCTTCGAGGACATGGGTCGCCAGGTTGAGGGCATGAAGGCCAACACCGAAGACGGCGACGACCAGAGAGTTGTCGATGAGATTGAGAGTTTGTGCATGAACTGCCACGCCGACGTGAGCTCAACCAGCAATCACTTCCTCTTTGCGCACCACTGACTTTATCNNCAGGGCATGACTCGTCTCCTCCTCACACGTATTCCTTACTTCCGCGAAATTGTCCTCTCGTCCTTCTACTGCCCCCACTGCAGCTTCAAGAATACTGAGATCTCCTCCGCCGGCCAAATCCAGGAGCGCGGTTCAAAGTACGTTTTCAAGGTCGAGAACGCCGACGACTTCCAGAGATCCGTGGTCAAGGGCGATGGTTGCGCTTTCAGAATTGAGGATATCGACCTCGAGATTCCTCAAGGAAGAGGTCAGATGACGAACATTGAGGGTATCCTTGCTGGCGTGAAGGAGGATCTCGCACAAAACCAGGAAGCCAGAATGCAGCAAATGCCCGAGGCTGGCGCAAAGGTCGCCGAGGTCATTCAGGCTCTGGGTGACATGCTCGAGGGCAAAAGATATCCCTTCACCGTCTCCGCCGTGGACCCGTCCGGAAACTCATTCATCCAGCCTTCGCCCACCGACGCCCGCCACAAGTACACCCGCACCGAGTTCGACAGAAGTCCCGAGCAAAATGCCGCTCTCGGTCTCGGCGAAGAGGGCCCTGTCGATGGTCAAGACGCTCCCGCAACCGAGATCAGACCCGAGTATCGCGCTGCCGACGGACTCGTTGGCGGCGGCAGTGAGGCACCGAGAACCGTCACAACGAACAATGTCGACGACGAGGACATTCGCGAAAACGAAGTCTACTCCTTCCCTGCCAGCTGCCCCGGATGCACACGCCACTGCACAACCAACATGAAGATGGTCAACATCCCCTTCTTCAAGCAAGTCGTCCTCATGAGCACCGTCTGCGAACACTGCGGCTACCGCAGCAACGAAGTCAAGACTGGTGGTGAAGTCCCTGAGAAGGGATCCAGGATCACACTCCTCGTCAACACCCCCGAGGATCTTGCTCGCGACGTGCTAAAGTCTGAGAGTGCTGCTCTTCACTGCCCAGAATTGGGCCTCCGCGTCGAACCTGGCACCCAAGGCGGCCGCTTCACCACCGTCGAAGGCCTCCTCACAAACTTCCGCAAGGACCTTCGCGCTCAAGCCTTCGGTCTCGAGAACGGCGACGACGAAGAGGAAATCCGCGCTGCTGCCGACAGCATGCAAAGTGACAAGAAGCGCACCTGGGAGGAATTCTTCGCCACCCTTGGAGAAGCCATCGAGGGCAAGAGACCTTTCACTGTGGTCATCGAGGACCCGCTTGCTTCGTCATATGTTCAGAGTTACACTGCTCCCGCACCCGACCCGCAGATTCATGTTGAGGAGTACGAGCGTACTGAGGAGGAAGAGGAAGACTTGGGCCTGAAGGACATCAACACTGAGGATTATGGATACACGCAAAGTGAGGAGAAGGCAGAGCCTACCACCACTGAATGACTAGATGGTGGCAGGAAGAGAAAGTTGGAACATGTTGATGATGTCGAGGACAAGATGGACATTTGAACGGAAGGAGAGACGCATTGAAGAGAAACGCATTTTAACCAGATACCACATTACGCGTTTTCATTACTTTAGCTATTTGGCCGAACCAACGATGAGCAATAAAAAAAACCTCGTTGAGCTCATTATATTTCTCCAAAAACTCCATTCCCAATGCTAACCCTCCTATACTCTTCCCACCATATCTACAACCCCTTTCGTCTCTCTATTCCTCCATCTTCTCCACCTCACAATCCTTCAACTCCAAATCCAGTTTCTGGAATGCAGCAGCCAAATCATCAGCTTCCTCCGCTTGCTGCTGTCTCTTCACCCCACTCAAATCTGTTTTGTGGCCTTGGGCTTGCATTTCTGCCAGGTGGTTGTAGACCATTTTGTGTACTTCTTTGTATTGCTTGCTTTGAGTGCCCCAGCTTGTTGCTGCGTTGCGGAGGTTGACGAAGAGCNNTTTTTTTGAGGATGTTAGGATGTTAGGATGGATGAGGCGGAAGAGGGAGAAAGTAGAGAGAGGTAAGGGGAAGGAGGTAGGAGGGAGATGGAGAGAAAAGGTAGATGGAGATAAGAGATGTGTGGAAAGGAAGCAGATGGATACATTTTCTGAATTTATCTTTTGCTTGTAGTGGTGGAAGAAATTGTTGTTACCCACGCATTGGAGGAGGTCATTGTGTGATGAGAAGGACGACATTTTGGTGAATGTCAAGCGTTCTTGATACGGATTTCGGGGGTAAGCAGAGATAGCTTGTCGAGTAGTGAAGTGTCTTGTTTTTTTCCAAATTGAGTCTTCAAAGTGTTATTCGACTTATAAGAGTCTGTGGTCAGGAGACAACGACATCAATGTCTGCTGAAGAAGGTGCGAACTTGCGTCGCCAAGACATCACTTTCCATCAGAATATCAAACCATTCATCGTCCTTTTCCCTAATACCATCGACCTTCAACTTCAAAATCAAGTTTCAGGCCGGGAAGTAGTGGACAGAATATGGAGCCACAATTGTCCGAAGAGCAGGGTGTCAGGATCGCTGTCGAAGGATGTGTATGTTTCGATCACCCCCTTCTACCAAGTTTTGGTACATCAACTCACAAGCAACAGGGGCACGGCACACTTCACGCGATCTACGCTTCGATTGAACGAGCATGCGCCGTCAAAGGCTGGTCAGGAGTCGATCTTCTCATCATTGGTGGAGACTTTCAGGTCCGCGAATCCAAATCATACCCAAAAACCAGTAGCAATACTAAAACTCATGACAAACAGTCAGTACGAAATGCACACGACTTGCAATGTGTATCCATGCCAGCCAAATACCGCGACATGCACGACTTTCACGAGTACTACTCTGGGTCCCGCAAAGCACCTTACCTGACCATTTTTGTTGGTGGAAACCACGAAGCCGCCAATTATCTCTTCGAGCTTTACTACGGTGGCTGGGTGGCACCCAACATCTACTACATGGGCGCGGCAAATGTGCTAAAACTTGGTCCTCTGAGGATAGCAGGTATGAGCGGCATCTGGAAGGGCTTTGACTACAAGAAACAGCACCATGAAAGACTGCCTTACAATGAAGGTGACGTGAAGAGTATCTATCACGTCAGAGAGCTTGATGTGAGAAAATTGTTGCAGATTCGTACCCAGGTTGACGTCGGGATCTCTCACGATTGGCCGAGGGGAGTGGAATGGAAGGGCGATTGGAAGAAATTGTTTAGGCAAAAAGCGCATCTGGAAGAAGATGCTAGGAATGGTCAGCTGGGTAGTGTGGCTGCGACTTATGTGATGGACAGACTGAGACCGCCGTATTGGTTCAGTGCTCATCTGCATTGCAAGTATGCTGCAGTGGTTGACCACGAAAAGTCTGGAGAAGCGCCTGGCACAGCAGCTTCCGCCAGTACCAGCAATGGAGCTGTTGTTGAAGAGGTGTCCAAGCAGAACTCAGACGAGATTGACCTGGATATGGATGACGAAGAGACTCCTGCTCAGGTGCAACCAACAAAGAACACGGATGAGATTGACCTCGACATGGACGATGACGAACCAGCACCAAAGCCTAGCAAGACCGACACAGTTTTGCCTGTCAACGCAGACGAGGTCGACCTCGAGCTCGAAGACGATGCCGAACCGACCACCGCGCCAGTAGCTCCAGGTCAAGGCTTAGATGGTGCAAGAGTACCAATCGCACCTTCAGCTTCCGACGACAACACCACAAACACATCCACAGTATCAGAAGATCTCCGCGCCCAACTCCCAGCCTCCTTCGCCAAACCGCCTCCTCGACCCGAGACAACAAATCAGCCATTCTCACACCCTCCCGGTATCACAAACACGAAAACCAATTTCTTGGCCTTGGACAAGTGCCTTCCGAACCGCGATTTCCTGCAAGTGCTCTCCATGCCGCCAATCTCAGATCCCAATGCCTCGTTTGATCGACCCCTACAACTAGAATATGACAAAGAGTGGCTAGCCATCACCCGTGTCTTTGCTTCTGAACTAACCATCGGCGGCGACCCCAATACACGCGCACCCCCCGATCTCGGCGAATCGCACTACTCACCCCTAATCACCGCCTCGGAAACCTGGATCCACGAACACGTCAATGACATGACTGTCCCTCAAAACTTTGAGATTACAGCGCCAGTGTTTGATGCTGCGGCAGGTATACATGTCCAAGGTGCCCCACGGGAATACACAAACAAGCAAACTAGCAGATTCTGTGATCTGTTGGGGATCGCCAATCCTTTTGATATCTCGGAAGAGGAGAGGGAGGAGAGGATGAGAGTGGGTCCGAGACCTGAGGAGCAGAGACGGGATGGTGGGTTTAGGGGTGGGCGTGGGGGAGGTAGAGGGGGAGGAAGAGGTAGAGGCAATGGTCGTGGTGGTAGAGGTGGCGGTGGGCGTGGAAGAGGAAGAGGTCGTGGTGGACCTAGGTATTAGGAGGGAGAAGAAGAGTTGAGTGCATAAAGCTGCGTTCTTTTGGCGCGCTACGAGGGTGATTATCAGGACTTGTTCTGCCGATATCCCAATCTTCTACGTCTAATGTGTCAACATGCATCTTGACTGTTCAGCAATACTCGGGACTTTTCTCACAACGAAAACTTCAGCATCAACAATACGAACAGTGGTATACGGCATGTCTTGATCCACGACCTCAAAACTCCATCATCTTACTCGACACCAGCAGCCCCTCTGCCCATAACACCTCTACCAAACCACTCACTAACAGTAGCAAACTTATCCCTGCTCCTGCCCAACGCATCCATGAACAATTCGTGCCTATCAGCACTCTCATCCTGCGCCCGCTTGATAGCTTTGACCGTCGCATTGTCGCCCGCACACTTCGGACACTCGACATCCGACTCTTCGTCCCCAGCACCCACATACAAACACCTCTCATGGAAACTGTGTTTGCAGAGGAAATGCACAGTGGGCAAGTCCAACGGCGCGCCACAAGCCGCACATCGTGTAGCAGCAAAGGAAACAGGCTTCGTCGCCAAAGTCTCCAACTCATTCGCTTTGGCTGCCGTGTCGGTGCGATAGGAAGAAATGAGTTTGCGGTTACTGGCGATTTCCGCGCGTTCGCGCTCGATGGTGCGGGAGAGGTAGGTTTTTACCAGACCCATGGTGGCGACTTTGCTTTGGGAGAGGGTTTGGATGACTTGGAGGGGTGCCATGAGACCGTCGTCGTCGATCTTTTTGAGCACGGCGTCGAGCTCTGAATATGCTTCGGCGAGGATGGAGGAGGTCGAGGTGAAGTAGGCTAGGGCGGCCGGATAGAGTTGTGGTTCTTCGGGTCCGTATTTACGGAGGGCTTTTATGGCGCCGGCGGTGTCGTTTGCGGCTGTGTAGGAGCGGAAGATGTCAAAGTAGAGGCCGCGCTGTTCTCTGACTAGAGTGGTGCCATCTCGGAAGTTTGACAGATGTGAGAGCAAGAGGATGTTGGATGTGCCCATTCGTGTNCTGTGAACAGAGTTAGTATTCTTCATTTCTACATGGTACTGTTAGACGTAATCAGGTTATTGTAAACTTACATTCTGTTCTTCAACCAACTGCCTGGCTTTACCCTCCCACTCTGTCTTGTCGTCGCCAGTCTTTTTGCTGGCGATCTGTAGATACATCTCGAACAGTGTTGTGTAGAGATCTGTCTTGTCTTCATCCTTCAATCCAGAGCTGGCAATGCAGGCCTCGAGGAACGAGATAAACTCATCAGGATGGTCGACGAAGGAAGAGAATGCTGCCCGTGGCTTGGGTACCTTGTACTCGACATACTCATCCTCAACAGTAGTCTCGATGACTTGCTGTGTGGTCTTAGTACCTCCAGGCGTTCGTGGTACGTCTGCGCTCATGTAGGGCAACGGTATCAGAGCAGCCAGGTTTTGCACAGCGGAGGTTGCCATTTTGCCAATGCCTCCAGATTGTTGTTGTTCCGGAGTGATCTCCTGTTCCACCACAGCATCCTTTTTGGGACGGAAGTTTCCTGTAAAGTAGTCGATGAAGAGTTGTTTCGTGTCCTCTGGAGAGTGCTCAAGAAGTACAGTGCCATACTTGGTAAGACTGTCGTAGGCCTGCTCGGGTTCCAGACGCCAGATATAAGCCAAAGCTTCGGCATATCTCTTCAGATCCTCGATCAGGATATCAACAACCAAGCCATGCTCGTCATGTTTTCTCGCCAGGAACGCTGCCTGGTCTGAATAGCCGCCTTGACGACACATTGTAATGGCAGTGTCGAGGTCGAACTTCAGATCTCCAGGTGACTTGATGAAATCTTCGAGCTTTTCGACATCTTTTAATTTCGCATAGCAGTTCAGTAGCAGTGTAGTATGGTCGGAAGAAGCCTTGTGGTGTTCGTGCAATTCCTCCAAATACTCGATGAGATTGCGTATCCTTTGGTTGTCGAGGAACTTACGAATGATTTGTGATGGTTCGGTGTTGTCAATAGCGCGAAGGTATTGCTGCATGGCGGTGTCGAAGTCGCCTTTGCGGTAGAGGTAGTCGCCATATTTGCGGAAGATCAGATTCTGCTGGACGGCGTCTACTTTTTCCTTCTGTGCCAGATTGATGGCTAGCACGAAGAACTCACGCTGATACAGAATTTCAAGCTTTTGTTGGAAGGTCTTTTCTGTGTATCGTAGTACTTTGCCATCAAGTGTAATCACATAAACCTGGCCCCAAGCAGAGAATAGGGCATTGACCTGACTAGGCAAAGCCTCGGTGTGCGCGATGAGTTTGAGGTCGGGATTTAGGATGGTGAAGTTGGAGGTACTGAAGAGATCGTCTGCCTGGCCACCGCCAAAGGATCTGGTGGGAGCGTTGTTCATAGACTTTGGCGGCGAGACCAGCAACACGTAGTCCTTGTACATGGCCGTGAGCTTCTTTGGACCTTCATAGGCATACGAGGCTACCCTGCCACGAGGATTGTAAGCGTAGACAGCGTCGTCGCGAGCAACAATTATGTCGTTCGAATGCAAGTCTTTCGTCAGGCAGCCAACAGCGCAACCGTGTTCATCCAGAGTACGAGCGGGCTGACCCTGACCTTTGCCAGAAATGATAAGGGTTGATATCCTGCTTGTGGTGGAGATGAATAGAGTAGTGACGTTGGCTTCCCTGAACTCCAGACCAGTGATGGGCTCGTCTGTCTCGAGCACGGTACGTTGTTTTGTTCCCCTGTCATGAATAAAGTCGCCTCTTATGACCGTCACAGCACCATTTGCAAAGCCGACGGCGATTTGGGACAGATCGCGCAGGACAGCAAAGGCAGACACTGGGAAAGGCTTCCTGCCATTTGTGACCGAGACGGTGGTGAGGCAGCGTGGAATGCCAGTCTTCTTATCGGGGCGGTCCAATGCCCAGACTTTCAGGACAGGTTCATGGGGTAGATCTTCGGCGAGGGTGACGAGTAGCGACGAGTGAGGGATTTGGCGGATGTTGGTTAATGCGCCAGCTTCATGAGCTTTCCATGATTGGGTTGTCTTGAATGCTTGGTTCAGGATGCGTAGAGTACCGTCCGGAGAGCCGAGATAGACATGGTCGGGGCTGGCAGTGATGCAACTGACATTGCCTTGCNNTAACACTGGTCAATGTCTGGTCTGCAATTGGGTGGTTGGCGGTGGGGATACCTCTAGGATGGATGTGTCGGCGTCGGCGAGCTTGATGGGAGTAACATCGAAGAATCGAAATGCTTTCCACTGCGTCTGTTAGATTGGTGTACGGCGAGAGGCTCAATAGCACGTACCGATGTCAAGGCCATCTTGTCAAGCCATGTCCTTGGTCGCAGCTGTTCGAGACGGCGCAATGTGTCGGCGAGGCCTCCGTCATCTCCAGTCTTGGCACGACTTAGATTGAATCATGTGATATCGTGGGGTCGCAACTTCCCTTCTGGCGCGTCTCCCTCTTGCCGATTCTAGGCCTCAGCTTGGGCTGTGAGCACTAACAATCTAGCTCAATGTCAATTGCATCATGCCGCCTCGGTTCAGCGAGATCCTCGACTCGGAAGACGAAGATGATCTCGTTGCTGTAGATGCTCCTCTCCAAGTGGCGACAGCTCGAAGCGGGGAAGACGCGCTGGGTGACATGTGCATGGTCGATGTAGATCAGTCGACTGCCAGCACCGAAGAGCTGCTGCGACGAGCCCAAGTCGCTCTGATGGCCCCTACCCAAGAAGATGCCCCCGTCGTCAACTTCTCTGACCTTGCCGCCACCTCAGTCGACACCTCGCCCTCGAGTACAAACAAGAAGCGTCCCTTGGTCGACACGCACCCCGATCCTCGTTCGTCTGGGAAGCTCAAGCGCATTAAGATTGTTACAAAGCCCGACTCTCAATATCTTCCTGCCGACTTCGCCAATCCGCCTCCCATTCTCCCTTTCAATGGCACCAACGACACCATCCCCGGTCCTACCCTGCCATCTGCAGCCGGTTATGATGTGCTCAACGAGAAGAGCACCCCCAAGCCTCGACAACGCAATTCCTCTCAGAACCAGCATTCTTCTTCCGATCAGCTAAATAGTCTTACCCCATGGTCAGGCACTGCTGTTGCAAGCAGTGACAGAATCAATTCTGACGATGCTATCGGTCTGCCCAAGGAGATGTACGTCCCGAGACCCAGCCGCTCGAGGTCTGCACAGGTCGACACAAGTCATATCGACTACAATCTGACAGTCGAGAAAGCTGCANAAAAGTCCAGACCCAAGCGGTCCATCACAGACACTGCCGACCATGTCACCTCTGCACCAATGTTCCCAGAACATCCCATTGATCAGGCTCCCGAGTTTGAACGACTGTCGCCTACTCCTGAAGCTCCTCATCAAACAGATTCACCGCATCTCGCATCCACCGTCCNNCCGAGTCGACTCGGGCTCCCTCTTCGTCAGCCAAATCGTCAAAGTCGACCAAGAAGACCGCAAATACGAAACAGCCAGCTAAGCGAGGACGCCCCAAAAAGGNCTGTCGTTGAAGACGAGGAAGACGAGTTGGCTCATGAGAATGTTGCTTCGACCACAACAACCAAAACACCCGCATCAGCTACCAAGACAGAGGTCCAGGTCGTCATAGAGAGACCCGTAGAGAGACCTGTAGAGAAACCTGTAGAGAAACCCGATCTGAACTTGGCAGCTAGGGTACTTGCAGAGCTTAGACAGCAAAGTCCAAGAGACGCGACTCCAAAAGAATTGCGGAAAGGACCGCCAAGAGAAGACACATCTGTGCCATCGCCCCAATCGATTCTCGAACAGTCGAAGGCCGAACCTGACTTCGAAGCTGACGAGGAGTCAGAAGATGATATTGTAAAGCCCAGAACCAACGCCAGGACTAAAGCTAAAACTAAGCCAAAGGCCAAGTCGAAGACACCTGAGCCAGTTCACAAGGAGGACGATGACTCCGAGCACGAAGTCTATGACGAATACTCAGAAGAGGTCATCAAGCCAAAACCGAAGACTAAGGCAAAAGCCAAGGCCAAATCCAAAGCGAAGGGGAAAGCAGCAAAGGCTGTTGTTGTGCCAGATCCACCTTCAGACCATGAAGAAGAAATCCATGAGCCACCACCAGATGAGGATGACGAATCAGAAGCCGACCACATCTCCGAAGCCGAGGAAGACTCGGAAGAAGAATCTCCAAGACCAAATCCCAAGGCCAAAGCAAAGGCAAAACCCGAACCCAAGTCAAAAGCGAACGCCAAATCCAAGACAGCGACTCCGAAACCTGCTGCTGCCACTCCCAAGCCGTCTCCTCCTGTTCCTGCAGTGGAAACACCAAAATCTGCTCCTATTGAAGTGTCCATCCCGGCTGCAGTCGCGACGCCCAAGGTCGCCACCGCAAAGAAGGATGCAAAGTCGTCGGCTAAACCCAGCTGGCAACAATCGACGTATCGTGTTGGACTGAGTAAGACACAGCGGATTCCTTCTCTGCTCAAGATTCTCAAGAAGTGAGTGTGTTATTCTTCAGTCTGTTTTTGATGCATAGCGATGGTGTTTTTGATGGCTGGGACGATATCGATTGGCTTTCCCTGGTGGCATGGGCGGACATGAAGCATAGTACAGGAATCACAGGCCAAAAGAATGATGGGACATGTGTTTCTTTGACACAATTGCACGATACCCCTATTACAGCAATTCGTATGTCTGATCTGGCTATATCTTTCTAATAGCTTCTTTACGGTTTTCAAATAAAGCAAACCACCCCAAGAAACTTCTCTTGCAGTACTTAAAAAGACCCAATGCTTGAAATTGGCTGCCACGACACATACCTATACTTTGCAATACGAAAGGCGGTTCGATCATGGATATACTCAACACCAAGAATCAAAATAGTATCCAAGCAAGTTTGAAAGTATCTGAGGTAGCCTTTGACTGTGTGTTACTGTTTGATTCACGGCATTAATTGACATTTACTTTTCCGAGCAGTCGGATCATTGTAGGGCAAAAATCTTTTGAATGAGACAAAAGGGGCAAAGAAAGTCTATGACTGTATAAACGGAGTTTTGAGAGGGTGTGTAATCACCTTCGCTATTAAAAGGTAGAAGCTTGACAAGCGAAATACGCTAGATCTGTATTCTAGTATGTGTATGTGTATACGTATGACACGACAGTTTCTTTATAGAGAATGGAATCATGGAAGATATGGAATGGGAGGTTTGAATTGTGTGTGTACCACCATGCGGTTGTTTGGTAATTGCTCATGTTCTCGTGTGGAAGCTTTTTTCCCATTACAATGAAGTTTGTGTGTGACTGACAAAAACATCACATCACATCCTCGAGGAAGAGTGTATGCATAAGAAGAAGTGAGGAAATTTGTCTGCTTGACAATGCCGCCCGTCTATCAAGCCCAATACTCATGAATCTCATGCTTACGCTTGTACATCAAGAACCAACAAGTGAATGGGAACTAGATACAAGCCCAATCAGTAAGAGTCTTTGGCAGATGTATGCAAAGAGAGCGTCAGGGGGGGGAAAAACTCACAATAGCAGTATTGACAGCTGCCCAAGCAAACAACACGCCAAAATCAAGTCCAATGCGCGAATGCAGTCCGAAAAGAATCTGTCTGCTGGCTTCGACGACATTGTGCAGTGGCCAGGCATAACCCCAGCGGAAGAATGCAGGTTCAATATCAATATCGTAGAAGCCTGTGGATACGTTGGTGATGACCCACNNTATTTGGCATTAGCACATTGGATAAGGAATGAGAGAAGATCAGGCACTTACGAAAATAAGCCAAAGACCTGTCCATGGCTGACCGACCACCATGGCGACATTCTCGCAAGCAAGACCCAAAGCGCACATGGCGACAAAGTTCAACATCCAGTACACAGGGAAGGTGCCATGACCATAAGCATCAGGATTGCCGTAGGCAATATCCGTGACTTGAGTCTCCGAAGTAATAGGGTTGCCACCGGCAAAGTTGATTTGGAAAGCCAAAGAGACGAAAGAGTATGCCAGAGATAGGAAGAGATAGGCAAGCACAGTTCCACCCCAGCGCACTGCAATGAACTCGACAAATCTGAGCGGTGGGTGTTCTTTAGGATTCAAGAATCTGAACCAGATGGGTAGGTAGAATGCGAATGAGAAGAAACTCAAGATGATCAGATAGATGAGTCCAATGGTGGTAGCGGGGATGGCCGTATAGGGATAGAAAGGTCTGAGATCGTATTCCGAGAAGCCAATTGCCGGAGAAATGGCCTGAGGTACATTGGCCAAGTTGCGCAACAGCGTTTGATCAGTCGTAGCGTTTTGTAGTACCATCTTTGCCCATTGCTGACCAACCATCGAGGTAGCCTGAGTCTGAAATTGTGAGATGATCGGATACATGAAGTCAAACCAATTAGTGTCATCTCTGGCTGATTGGTAGATTAGTTGACATGCTCCCATGGGATCGTAACTCGTGTTTCCGTTCTGAACAGCACTGTAGAGCTGGGAAGTTGCATTGGGCATGATGATGATGGCCGCCCAAGCCTTCCAGTCGTAAACAGCTTGCCGTACAGCGATAGGGTCGTAGTCGAAATCAGATCCAGAGAGAGGGCCCCATCCAAGAGTTGGTGTGCCAGATGCCACTTGCGTGCGTGCGAGGCCTTGAATGAGAGGTCCGACTAACGGTTCCTGTCCAGGTACGCTGTTGGGACCCTGACCATCAAAGTCCACAACATACACGACTAACGAAGATAGATTCTGCTCGACATGGTATAATGCTGCCCAATCTGAATACATGTCAGTGTTATGTCTCACAGCATTCATTCCGTACTACTCACAGAGGGACAAGACACCCATGATCGCTATCATGAGAATGACTGTAGTCAACAACCATTTCCAGGCAATCTCTCGCCTCACATGCTTGAGTTCTGGAGAGAACAACCCAACGGGCTTCGGCTCCTCGTTGCCATCCTTGCCCTTCTCCGAGTCGCTATTCTGCTGTGCGTTGTCATTCGGCCGCTCAGGCGAGTTTTCCTTTGATGACATGATCTCGTAATGAAAAACCTTCACGTCTTGTGTTGATTATACGACTGGCAAGAGGCTCAATATTTATTGACATTCCTCTGGCTGGTTAAAGACGATTTCGGCAGTTTTTGTCCGTGCTGACACCGTGATGACGTTGATGCATCGTCAGTGGAGAAGAGATATAAGCGTTTCTCCACGATTCGGATCGAGCTTCCCAGATCTGTGGTGCCTTTTCCGAATCTCTGGACTGAGACTGAGACCATCCACAGCGTGAGACTTGTAGAAAACAAGTTGACTGTATTGATCTGCTCTGCCCTGCCATACCAACAATTCCCTCGCAGAAGCAACCTCGTCTTTTGTCATATTTACCAAGACACCACCCAAAGCACGATTGAAACCATGGGTATCATCCTGACTTGTGCCGACGTGCGGATGGCCGGCCGGCTCGCTGATTACCGCTTAAGCAGATTGGAGACGTGTGAAATTCGAGTTGCTTTTCAGCACGTTCAGGCTGTGCCCTACTGCCAATCCTCATACGGCTCCAAACATTCCTGACCTGAATATTGAGAGACGGACAAGCCATAGGAGATCATCATGTTAGCGTCAGAGTTTGGTCAAAGGAGCTGGTTTGTTTGAGTTGAAGACGTAGCCAGTGGCCGAAGGATGGAAACCAGAAGATGGCACAAGCGGCATAGAGAATGGCGGTTTGTGGAAGGATGATGAAAAGAAAACTGGATGGCAAGTGGCAGGATTGTATGCGGGTGGTTGAACGGTAGAAGACATGTTCGGAGGCATGGCTTCTATCTGACTGGCAGGTTTTGATGTGTCATGCGATAGGGTACGAGTCTGCTGGAAGTCTGGCCGCAATGGAGTTTGCGACGGCGGGTACTGTGGGAAGTCAGGCTGAGCACCTGATTGCATACAGGAGGAGTGATGGATAACTTGCCTTTGGTCTGGATGGTTGGAGGGCGGGGAACATGCTTCACAAACGGGACACGGTGGAAAGACGGCCGCACAGAGAGAGTATGCGCAGGTAAGGTGTATAGGAAGACTTAAAGCGTCCTGAGTCGAAGGACTTGTAAAGTGATATTGAGGTTGTTGGAAGGCCGAGAGCCGAGTCGGTGCGGAGATGGCAGGAAGCAGGAAGTTTTGATGGAAACAGGAAGGCGCACGCGAGGACAGAATGTCTGATGGCTTGGCGAGGATTTGCTTGGGACTCTGAGGCGCAACATGCACACTCGAATTGATCTGAATCCACCATGTTCAGAGCGCAACTGCGCCGACGACCATTTGTCTACACCCAGACTCGTATCCGCCTGTCCAGACTATCTCATACTTCGACTACTGCTCCTATCACACCTCTGGTCCAACTGAAAAATGCCACAATATACAAGGATTTTCTGGACCAGAACAATGCATCGCCTCTGTTCAGCGACGTGAACTTCAGCCTACCCACCCAGGGCGAGCACTGGGCAATCCTCAGTGCCACCTCGGCTACACGCACTGACTTCCTGCAAGTCTTGAGTGGCAGATACCTCTGCACTCCGCCCGATGCCCGCTCGTACCCACACCTGCTACAGAATAACACTCCCCATCAACGCGCCATTGGTTACATTGGCTTCGACGCTGAGAGGAGCGGCTTGGGTGGGACTGCTGTCAAGGGCCAATATCTGAGCCAGCGCTATGAGGCTCATCGCGAAGTCGACGACTGGTCTCTGCTTGATTACCTCGAGGGAAACACCGAGCTGAATGCTCTCGAAAAGCCCTCCAAATACACGGATACTCAATTGTTAGCAAGCATCATTGGAAACCTCGATCTCGACCCTTTGCTACACCTCCCGGTCAGTAACCTCAGCAATGGTCAGACGCGCAGAGCTCGAATCGCAAAGGCTCTGCTTGCAAAACCAGACCTGCTCTTGCTGGATGGGCCATTCATGGGTCTGGACCCTATGACCACGCTTCATATATCAGCCTTCCTCCAGCAAATGGCCGAGCAGAGCAACCCAAACATCGTCCTATCTCTACGCGTAGGAGATGAGATGCCTTCTTGGATCACCCATGTGCTCGTCATCGATCCCGTTACGAATACTGAAGTCCGTTTTCAAGGCTCTAGGACTAGTGTCTACAAGCTGATGCACAAGGTGCGCGGTGATCAAGACTTTTACCAGGCTCTGCGACAAATGATAATCTTAGTTTCTGACAAACCCGCTCGAGCGAAGAAGGCTGGGAAGGAATTGTTGAGTCGCGACGCCAATCCGAAGATGCATGCTCCACTCACGCCTGGGGAACCATTAGTCGAGATGCAAGGCGTCAAAGTCTCTTACGGAGCGGACAGCGGGTCAATCAAACGGACAGTCTTGGGCAACTGGTCTAAATCTGTTGATGGAGCCGAAAAGGAGGGTCTGTGGTGGAATGTCCGTCGTGGTGAGCGTTGGGGCGTCTTTGGACCAAACGGTTCAGGCAAGACCACTCTCTTGTCTTTGATCACATCAGATCATCCTCAAACCTATGGCCTCCCCATCAAGCTTTTTGGCCGCTCTCGTATTCCTTCGCCAGGTGAGCTTGGAATCAGTATCTTCGAGCTACAAGCGCGCATGGGACACAGCTCTCCCGAGGTTCATACATATTTCCCCAAACATCTAACAATCCGTCGTGTTCTGGAGAGTGCTTGGGCCGACACACCTTTGTCAAAACCCCGACTGACGCGCCAGAACGACATCAGAGTCGAGGCCTTCTTGCGTTGGTTCGCTCCGGAATTAGCACCCACCAGAAGCAGTGGGCTTCAAGCTCTTCAAACAACTCCGAGGCGCCCATATGCCGACGTGAAACGTAGCCTGGAGCGTCTTCAGGTCGACACCTCCGACATCGATTGGGCAGATACCACGACCTTTAGAGATTTGCCATTCAGCTCACAACGCTTACTGCTATTCCTTCGCGCGTTGGTATCCGACCCTGACCTGATCATCTTGGATGAAGCCCTCAGTGGTATGGACCAGATGGCCCGCGAAAAGTGCTTGTTATTCCTTGCCCATGGTGAGAAGCTAGACTACAAGACTGGTAGAAAAGCACACACTAAAAGCTTTCAAATGGATAATGACATGGTCAACTTTGGTGGTATTCAAGATAAACAAGCATTGTTGACTATCAGTCACAGCACGGAAGATATTCCAGGATGCATCAGGCAATGGATTTGTTTACCAGAGCCTAGCGAAGGCAAACCAGCCAGAGTTGGAGAACTGCCAGGACCCCTAGAACTCCATCCGGGTTCTTGGAATGAGATTTGGGATCTACCAATTATCAAGGCACCGACTGAAAAGCGAACGAGGAAATACTCTAAAAAGATCAAAGAGGCACAAGAAGACCAGGAATCTGAATATACAGGGAAATAGCAAGGCGACATCGAGTTGAAAGGAGCATCTTCGTCATCACCGCCTGCATCATAGAGGTCTGCTAGTATGTACGATATCCGTAGACTGTACAAAAGCATACATCACAGCTCATCAAGTGAGTGTTGACAGTGGTGAAGTGAAGATGGCATCACTCGCTGTTGAGCGCTCGGGCGAGTTCGGACAAGTCGCATCTTTTGACCTCGTACCTCCTCTTTCATGAACAGCACCATGCAGCCACGACTAATATATTCTGTTTCAGGCTTGTTTCGCGTCTTTGAGCTTTCGATATAATCCATCAATCGTAGACCTCTATTCTCGCAAGGCGTTTGTCGACAAAGTCTAGACTGGTAATAGTAGGCGACACAAGTTGCTATTCAAGGACGATCCCCTCGTTTCTGTTGATCAGCGATGGCAAAAGTGCATACTTTTACTTCGACTTTACCCGCGCTCGATGGATAGTTACATTTACAGGGCAGGTATTTTGACGATGCTGCAACCCCCTCTCGAGTTCGTGTAAGCGATGTGACGCTAAGTTTTGCAATCGTGACATTGCCTTGCTGCGTGAGCAGGTATAAGATGATAGCTTCATCCACTTCGATCTGGATCCTTAGGCGAGAGGCAGTGATCAGTCTTTCTCGAAATTGATCGACCATGAAGTTCTCATCTGTTCTTGCAGCCTTGTCTGCAGTCGGCAGCACGCTGGCTCAGCAGACTTATACCAATCCTGTGCTTTGGTACGATCTTGCAGACATCGATGTCTTCCGCAAGGGCAACCAATACTATTACTCTGCCTCGACCATGTCGTTCTCGCCCGGAGCTCCTATCCTCATATCTGGAGATCTTGTCAATTGGGAGTTTATCGGACACTCGGTCCCCAGACTTGACTTCCACGACACTGCTTATGACTTGGCTGATAACAGACAAGCTTATGTTCGTGGTATCTGGGCTTCTTCCATGCAGTACCGCGAGTATGACGACACATTCTACTGGATTGGGTGTGTCGACTTCAAGACCACTTATATCTACAAGTCTAAGGATCCTGCTGGAGACTGGAGCAAGGTTGGCGAGATTGGTACCTGCTACTACGACTGTGGAATGTTATTTGATGGCCAGAACATCTATGTTGCTGTAAGACATTTTACTCTCTCCGCCCTCTTATCAAGATGGACCAGGCAACTGACAGATCCCAAAAACAGTNATGGTAACACCAAGATCAGCGTTGCACAGCTGAACAACGACTTCACCCAGAAGTCGACTACTCAGGTCTATAGCTCATCCATCACGATCGAAGGCTCCCACATGAAGAAGATCAACAACAAGTACTACATCTTCGTCACTCAACCCGCCTCCAACGAATACGTCCTCAAGTCAAACTCTGGCCCTCTAGGTCCCTACGAATTCAAGATTTTCACCCAGGCACCCGCCAGTGGCATCCAAGGATCCGGAAACCCGCATCAAGGCAGTGTGGTGGACACTCCCAATGGCGATTGGTATTATCTCAGTTTCATTGATGCATACCCCGGCGGCCGCAGTCCTGCCTTGGCGCCTTTTGTGTTTGACTCTCAAGGCTGGCCGTCCTTGAAACAAGCAAATGGCTTTGCAACCGCAAACCCCTATCCAGTAACTCCCGTTCCCGTCAAATCCACCACTGGCACCGATACCTTTACAGGACCAAAACTAGGACCTCAATGGGAATGGAACCACAACCCCGACACTTCCTCCTTTTTATTTGCCTCTGGAGGCGGTCTAGTGCTCAAAACATCTTCAGTCACCAAAGACCTCTATCATGCGAGAAACACTTTGACGCATAGAATTTTGGGTCCCGACAGTACTGCCACCATCGCTTTGGATATTTCCAAAATGGCTGCTGGGGATCAGGCTGGTTTGGCGCTGTTCCGCGATAACTCTGCTTACATTGCCATTCGCAACAACGCCGTGATTCTGCAACGCGATCTCACCATGGGGGCGGGTTGGAACACTCTCTCCACCGGCCGCACCGAGACCTCTGTTTCCCTCCCCTCGGGAACCAAAAGTGTGTACCTGAGACTACATGCTGACATCAAACCTGCTGGTTCGCATCAAGGTACATTTTCGTGGAGTACGGATGGAAAAACTTTTAAGCAGCTGGGCACACCGTATACCATGAACACGACTTATTATTTTTTCATCGGGTATAGGTTTGGTATCTTCAACTTTGCGGAAAACAATNTTGGGGGTAGTGTTACGGTCAAGTCTTTTGATTTGGCGCTGGGGTCTAAGTAAGGAGGGATGCAGATGTGGATTGCAGATATGGTGTGAGGTGTAGCTTTGATAGTATGAGTATATCACGTCCGAGCAGGAGTGCTGCTGTTTAGTGCACTCGGAAAGTGATGTTGCCTTCCTCGAAGCTCTCCTCAAAGCAAGTCTTTGGTATGTGGGGAGGCCAGGAAAGGTGTAGTCAGCCCTTTATGGTCTCTTCTTACTGGACGACTACTCACTTTTCGACAGCCCCATGTATGTGAACACAGTCCAATAGAAGCGGATCAGAAAGCGTGTGTCTTGTTGATGTGTGTTCCCGACAGGTCAAATCATCCCTCGTCTCGAAGTGTATATTCTTGACATTTACATGCGCATGCGCACGCGCACGTGCAACTCGATCGATACAAGATACCAGACATGAAGAGGGAATTGTAGAGTGAAGTGGGAGAAAGTAATTTTGATATTCTCAACTAAAGTAAAATTCATACAGTCGTAATGCATCCAAATGTGCTTTTCAAACTACACTTAGTACTGTCCATTGGACTTCAGCTTGGTGTAGCCAGGGTACTTGCTGAACTGATCATTGTTAATCTTGGTAAGCTCAGGGCATCCAAGCTTCTCAGTAGCATTACCAAAGGCAGAGCTGACTTGGTTGACGGCAGCAGCAAGGTTGGTAACGAGGCCAGAGAGAAGATCAGGAAGTTCCTGGACGGCAAGTTGTAGACCGTAGCACATGAGGTTGTTGCCTTGAGTCAAGGTTTGTGCGTTGAAGACACCCTCGGTCAAAAGCTCAGGGTCGACACCGACGAAGCTGTTGGGTGTGCCAGTGTTGCCACCAATACTGCCAAACTCGAGGTGCTGGAGGAGTTGAGCATCGGTATCGAGGGTCAGGAAGACGACATCGTAGGGGTCAAGCTGGTTGCGAGTGTACCAGTTGTCGGGAATGCGTTCCCAACCAGGAGTGTACTTGAAGTTTCCATCGGTACCAGTGATAGCGTAGAAGGACTTGAGGACCTCGCCGTTAAGCTTGCCCTCCGGGTACTCGGCAGACTTGTTACCCATGAAACGGTAGATGAAGCTCCACGCTGCAGGTTGAGCTACCACACCAGAGAAGGGGGCGTTGAAGAAGTAAGGGTTCTGCTCAATGTTCTCCTGGAAGCGAGCAGCTCTTCTGTCGGTCAGGAGCTGGAGATCGTAGTTGTCGTCGGCCTTGCCTGCGTCGTAAAGAGCCTGGAAGTTCTTCATCACCAAGAGATAGTCTTGACCATCGAGGTACAGATCACCTCTGGTGGGTGATGCGTCGCCTTCGTACTTGTTGTGGGAGCCACTGATGCCCTGGGGCTGTCCAAGGAGATTGATGGAGGGGACGTTTGGTGTGGGACCACCAATGCTCCAAGACACGAGGTTACCATCGATAGCAGCTCCATAGACGGCAAGAATGGTCGCCAAATCAACACCCATACCAAAGACTTTGGTAGTGGACTCGATAAATTGGTCGATGGTACCAACACCATTGTGAGGGAGGTAGTTGTGGTTGGCAAGAGCGTTCAGTCCTGGGCAAGGACCACGCTGGTCTCCACTACCGGGAGGGGTGAAAGCGTGTGCACCAGAGACATCGACCTTTTGAGAGGCGGCATCGAAGATACCAGTAATCCTCTTCTTCAAGCCAGTCGATTCTCTTTTNTGTGCTTCGAGCTCGGCAAGGATGTTGGGGTAGGCAGCAGTCAAGCCTGCGTAAGCAAGGGCAAGAGCTGATGTGATTTGTAGTGTCTTCATGATTGTGATGTATGGGACAAATGTCTTGAGTATGACATCCTTACAAAGGTGTTACCCAAACCTTTATATATCTGGTCGAGACGCAAGCACCGAGGCATCTTGCCAAAGCCAGAGACAGCGGTCATGACTTGCGGCCGAAACAAGGGGTACATGGTGTGGGAGACTGTGGTAACAAACCATGGAGTGTAACGGTCCCAGCCAGGCCTCTGATGCGGGAGCGGAGAAGGACGACGAAAAGGTGTTGATCACGGATGATCATGGACGATCACCTCGGCATGTTGGCGACTGACAGGAACGAAGGGTCTAATTGACAACTGCAAATGTATGATTGGCTAGAGAACAGGAAAATCTTAAGAACGCCCCAACTATAACGCGACTACCCATGCGCGGATGGGTTCCTAGGTTCAACAGACATCGCGGGGATGTCACGCACGCCTGCCGTATTGATTAAGCTTAGCGACGCCGAGGCTTGCACATCCGCCAGCCATGAACCATGGTGTGGGTCGCCTCCACCGCGTCAGCGACTCAGCGATGGAAACAAGAGTCTGCAGACTGACAGCGTGGCGGTGTCGCGCACCCAAGGTGGGCGACAAGGCCCAGGAGAGAGGTCCCGTCGGTAGGCTTGACTAAAAGCTTGACGAAGTTGTTCTCAGAGTGGAAGGCGGCGCAGCCACTGCCATCATACGGATATAAGTGCCTTCACCGGTGGTGGCCAGTAGTAAGGCCTTGCAGAGTGGCAAACCGACATTGTTCTGTAAAGTGAACTGAACTCCGAAGGGACATAAACGTGTGTGTCGATGCATGATGCTGAAGCAGTCGAGGGAAGAAGTTGTCGTTGAGAAAGACCCTTGGTGGCCCTCGACGTGCCTGCATGTTCGAGTGACTGCTCGGAGAAAGGGGGCCGAAGGATAAGAGATAAGCTTCCGGCCTCGGCCCGGCGCAAAATCTCAGGTCGCTCGCTTTCGCATTCAGCTTGGAAGCACACCAATATCAAGTCAAAGTCACTAGCAACATGTCGTTTCGCAAGCGCAACATTGGTGTCCAGAGATCCCCAATCGCACCGTCTTCGGCAGATGCCCCCGTAGAGCCAAATGTCGCACCAGCACCCACAGCTTCTGGCATCAGGCCATCGCCTTTGACTGGACAGCCCACGACGTCGACAGGAGCCTACTCACTGGACAGTCTATTAGGCGGTCATGCAGGACTGGCGCTAGGCTCATCGCTGCTTGTTGAAGAGAGTGGAACTACAGACTTTGCTGGTGCTCTCTTGCGATACTATGCTGCTGAGGGCATCATCCAAAGCCACACTGTCCATCTCGTGGGTGCTGGTGAACAATGGATCAAGGATCTGCCAGGCTTGGTAGGAGATGCCGAAGCTGCAGAAGCCCAAAAGCAAGCAAAGAGCGATGAGAAGAAGATGAAGATTGCTTGGAGATACGAGAGACTGGGCCAAGTAGACGCCGATCGAGGCAGTAGAGGTGAACAAGCATACATAGACACTGTACGACAAAGTTATCTGACTGCTTCGCAGNTCGTCCCCCAACGTGGCCCTGCCCCTGTCCAGACGTCTGAGCAGCAAGACGAACAACAATCGCTGGCCTTCTGTCACACCTTTGATCTTGCAAAGCGTCTCGCTGTACCAGCTGATGCCGACGTCAATCACATCGCCATCTCCCCTCAATCACCCTTGCTTGCCATCCTGCAGAACGTTGCTCAGCGACTGGGTTCTTCTAGGCCTCACACGATACATCGTCTAGTGATACCTTCTCTCCTATCGCCCGCGCTGTATCCACCCTCGGCCGGTGCTCCAGAGAATTTGCTTCAGTTCCTGCATTCTCTTCGTTCCCTGCTTCGACAATATCCCGGCCGCCTAACCGCCATGATCACACTTCCGCTAGAGCTGTACCATCGCTCGAGCGCCCTCGTCCGCTGGGCCGAGACTCTTTCAGACGGCGTGCTCGAGCTCACCCCTTTCCCACATCTCATGGACGCTGCAAACAGCTTGGCCGAGAGTGGTGGTGCAAGAGCAACTGACGAGCAACCTCAAGGTATGCTGAAACTGCACAAGCTGCCAGTGATGACTGAGCGTGGTGGAGGAGGTGCGGCCGCCGGTGTGGGCGATGATTTGGCATTCACCGTCAGCAGACGACGTTTCGTCATTAAGCCCTTCAGTCTGCCGCCAGCAGAAGGAGATATCGAGGCCCAGCAAGGCAATGCTGAAGGAGGTGCAATAGGCAAGGCCACAAAGATCGACATAGAGTTTTAGAGTGTACAATATGAGAAACGCATTCAATGCTCATCGTCCGAGTCGTTGAGTTCCCACTTGTCGTGCTGCATCATGTCCTCCATCTCAATAGCCTCTGATCCCGCGGCTCCAGGGTAGGGGATGTTACGGGCGTAGGTCCTGCCATAAGCACCGTGCCGAGGGTTGATGGTAGTTCCAGCTACTCGAGCTCGAATATTGTCGCCGAGGCAGCTGGAAAGAGCAAACCAGACNTATTTTATGTTAGAGAAGGTTGATCAGAGTTGCGGCATGAATAGCCTACCCAGAAGCGCGACGAGGGGTAGAAAGAAAACGAAAAACAACAAGACCAGAATATTCATGGCGATGGGGGAGATACTGCAACCTCAAAATCAGAAATTAGAGACCAACTGCTGGCAGTTGTTCAGCTGTATCAATCAACTCGACGAGGGCAGCCATTTCCGCCCTTGTCCGAACAAACCAATCAAACTGGTGTCTTTGCTGGTTGAAACGGCGTCATTCTCGCACGCTTTGGCTTTTGTTCTTCTTCCAGGGAAAGCATCATCATGGGTTGAATAAACACTCTCACCAACTACTCTCTTCTAAAGGTATGCTATCACTACAATGGCCAAGATATCATCTTTTAGACGCTCCCTGAGTCCATCATCCAACATCAATGCTACCTATGCACATGAGGATACCAAGTCCAAAACATGACTCCGCTTCCACCTCATACCACGTGTTCCATTGCCCTGTTCCCTTCCACTGACATTGTTTGCATAGACCTTGACGACAGTCTCGGTATTATATTGATATGGCCACCACCGTCTCCGAGCCGTTCCCCATCACCCTCACCAGTGGTCGATTCATGGTCTACGATGTTCAGACCATCGCACACGTTCAGCGAAACCACGGCATCGAAGGCGCGTCGCAGGCGCTCGACCAGTATAACCCCCTCGAACTCAGATCCGAAGACGTCGCCCTACTAGTCAATAAAGGCGTTGCCCACATCATCAGAGACGACAAGAGCAAGCCGCCAGGATCACCATCTCCTTCACCCTTGAATGCGCCAGCTTCACCAAATGGCCTTCCCAAGATCGCTACGGCTAGCGACAACACACAAGACAACTGGAACGACATCCCCGAAGACATGTTTGCTTCTCGCGGGAGGACGAACAAGACCAAGAAGGCTCGCTCCCGTCTCGGTGTATCGCCTATCCCTTCTACTGCGCCAGGGAGCCGTACTGCTAGTGTCGCTGGGCTTCATGCTGGTCCGCCTTCGCTAAGGCCTGCTGCTTCGCAACCCATGTTGCGCCCACCACCTCCGCCTTCGCGACAAACTTATTCTTGAGTTTAATGCCGCGACGAGCAATCATGAGACAATTTCACAAGAATTGCATGCTCGATCCTCAGCGGGACGCAACATCGGCTCAGACAGTAAAGAATTAGTCTTGCAGTCAAGAGTCCCGGCCATTGCTTCTTACGATACACGATCCTGCTTTCGATCCTCTAGATGCAACCGACAGATATGGTTGTTAGAGATGCGCTATCCTTGTGCTCGGATACAGAGTAGCCCGAGTCTTTGTGAACCTACGTTATTTTAATCTTAATATCAGTTCTCCCTTTATGGTGAGAGTATTTTTATTGCACTCTCCATGTTCTTCAAAGCTCTCTCTTGCCACTGAATACAATCACCTTCACAAAGCACAAGACCACCGTAAGGATAGGCGGGTCGGAGAAAGCTTGCACTGAGAATTTGAACCAATCTTGTTTCCGAGGTCAACAAGTGACGACGTAGCATATCAACATAACATCAGACAGATAGTAGGTTATGAAGCATCACTCTCGAAGCAAACGCACACATTCTATAGCATAGCCAGGGTGTCCTTGAGTAGAGCGGTCTCTAGCGTCTCCATCGGAAGCGCGGGTGTGGCTTCTTCCCGAACCCCAAATCCATGAATAGATGGACCATGTCGATCTTTCTCACCTTGCACACTTTCGCGCGTTTCGGTTGCACCCCAAACCCGAAGTCCGTTGCGGTACATCGGACTCTTTGACTTTGTTATAAGATGAGAGACCATCCGAAGACGATGATTTTGTGCCATTTACGAACAGGTAACGATTGAATAAACGATATGGCTGTTGAGATGGAGCAACGACCGCTCAGGGTTACCATTATTGGAGCTGGGATTGCTGGGTTGACTGCAGCGCTCGCTTTGAGGAAGCAGGGGCATGAAGTTACAGTGAGTTGACGAAATCACTCACGGGCATAACCATGATTGACTCAGATACAGGTGCTCGAGAGATCACGATTTGCAGTCGAGACTGGTGCTGCCATGCACATGGCACCGAATGCCACAGCGCTTCTGGAATGGATGGACGTTCGTCCCAGCGAAGTTGGCGGAACACTGCTGAAACAAGTACGAGTATGCGATGATAACAGGCAAATCACGGTACTGACAGTAANNCAGATGCGTCGATTCGATTCAAGCGGTAATTTACTTCACACAAAAGAGTTCGGCCCCGAAGACAGGAGCCACTGGCAAACTGTGAGTTGTGTTCTAAGAGTACAACCTCAAGATACTGACGCCAGAAGGNAATGGTATCTTGTGCACCGCGTTGATCTTCACAATAAGCTCAAGGCCGAAGCCACATCGCCATCAAGGGCTGGTGTTCCTGTTCAACTTCATCTGGCCTGCAAAGTCACGGACATTGATCTTTTCGGTGCCAGTGTAACCCTCGAAGATGGTCGGATCTTCAATGGTGATCTACTTCTTGGAGCAGATGGTCTTCACTCTTTTACGCGAAAGAAGATTGTTGGTGAGATCCAACCATACGCTGTTGGCAAGTCTTGCATGCGCTGGCTGGTGTCAAAGGAGACACTACTGGACGATCCCAGAACCGACCGCGTATCTATCGAGACACCAGGAGCTTTTGTCGAGTGGTCGGCTCCTGATCGTCGATTGGTAGCATACCCTTGCGGAGACGACAAGATTATGAACATGTGTGCTTTTGCTCCATCATCAGAATTCCAAGATCCCGAAAACATCAGTGTGGATGGTAAGACATGGCTCTGATGAGAGGTCAGAGCTTGTACTGACTTTCCACAGNAATACAACACATCTGGAAACAGAGACCTCATGCTTCGCGCATTCAAAAACTTCTGCCCCGCGGTCCAGGCAGCCATGGAGAACTCTGGAGATAGTCTCAAGATCTGGGACATGTACGACATGAAGACTCTACCCAAATGGTGCGAAGGTTTTTCTGCCATCATTGGCGATGCTGCTCATCCTTTCCAACCTTGTAAGACATCTCAATTCATAGTGCACGCAAATGTGCAAAGCTGACAATCTCGAGACATGGGACAGGGTGGTGCCATGGCTATCGAGGATGCAGTTTCGGTCGCTGTTCTTCTCCCACTAGGGACTTCCAAGCAACAGATTCCTGAACGTTTGCGACTGTACGAGAAGTGTCGCAAGGAGCGAAACGAAACTGTCTTGATGTACACTCGGATGAATGGCAGAGACGAAGGAGATGACTCTGTAAAGAGGATGACTGGTGAGCTTCGAACCACTGCACATTGTCAAGTTCATATACTGATGTTCGAANCAGCTAAGGATTTGGTGGACTGTATGACCTTATGTGTGATGCACAACGAGCGAAACTCGTCGATGGAAGCTTTGTCCAAAGCTATCGCAGTATGAACATAATGACAAACTACATCTCGTCCCCAAGACAATTTCTCTGAAGGGGTTATCTGGTTTGACTGCTGTTTGCTACTAAGATCTGTCCTAGTTCAACAATTTCTTTCCATCTCTTCGGCTTTCTTCTGACATGCGTTGTAGTTTTGAATGTCTCAGTCTCACAAAAGTGTCTGATCGAGACACCTGCCAACACCTTTCACAACACAGCCTCCGCAACCTAATCAGGTAGTCATGGCTAATCCATATCCCAATGAGTCCGCCAACACGGTATACAGTCACCTCCGCTCACTGAGCAACACGATCGGGGGTTTAGGAGATATAGTCGCTTCCCTGCACTTCTCAACTGTTCTTCCTGGACCGACAGACGCAAACATGCCTTCTTTCAGCCCACCAGGCTCGATACGTCGCCACTTCCTCAGGATCATCAGCTTTGGCCGATACAGAAGTCATAGCGCAGAAGACACAGAACCACTCATCAAAACCTACGGATCCAGCCGCAGACACAGTGCACCGGCCGACATGGACGCTCAGTCAACTAATCGACCCATATACACTGCACATCAAAGCCCGCAATCCTCTGGAAGCGCTCAAACGACTATCATCCATGAAGTTCCACCAGGCACAGTGCCCTTCTCCATCGATGCCTTCCGAGACCAACGTCGCGGTTACTACGACCCTGAGTTTGACACGCCCAGCCAAGAGTCAGAGCAAGAAGTTACAGGCGCGACTGTACATATTGAAGAGCCAACCTGGGATCCCACTCGCCTTTGCCGCAACAAGTCTATCATGCATTGTAACATTTGCAATCGCATCTGGGAGTACAATCAGATACATTGTCCCGGCTGTGCTGCCAGGACTTTGCACCATATTCCTGGATCGAGTGAGGACTCGTATACCGACAGCAAGGACAACGATCATGAACACCGCTCTCTTCGTCCTCGTAGACAGAGGGGAAATAATGGGGATGAGGTTGTGCCAATGGACAGCAATTGGGATGAACATGGTCTGGAGTCTGGGACCGCGGACGAATCTTGGAGAACAACCGACGCAGCCAACACATCTGCACAAGACTCCACCGATCTACCTGCAGAAAGCCATCCCACAGGCAAGGATCCAAAGAAGATTCGCTACTCGACCGCCCACTGCTGCTACGGTAAACCAGGAGTCACTTTGGTGTACCATTGCTGCTGTGGTAACCCAAGCTCCCACAAAGACTCAGATCCTACTCTATGCACTCAACCATGCACTCTTCGCGCATGGCCTGTCACTGCGGCTGTCGTTTTCGGTGGCCCTGCTCCCGACAAACCTGTGTGCAGATGTTCGAGATGGACAAGTCGCCATGTGTGTGGTCGCTTGTGGGGTGCTCAGTACGTGGAAATCATGGAGGATGAGCTTGAGCCATGTGGATGTGATGACGAAAGACGTGGTAGGCGTTCCAAGAAGAAGACTGTATGGTGGATGAGGTTTCTGAAGTGGTTTTGTTGCTGTTGATGGTGACGACAGGATTGGATTTTGGTTGCTGCTTTCTTGATTTGCTTCTGGTTTCATCTTCGTGGAGTTAGGATGGGTTTTCTTGTTAATCAACTAGTAACACTTTGTTGCGCTTTCATCAGGATGCTTGGATACGAAAATAATTGCCCATGGAAGAGTACCAAACAGATGGACTTGGTAGGCACATTATCGTGCATAGTTATGTATCTTTGCATAACTTTGCTTATCGATAAGCTCGGGAATTTTCCAAACGTGAAGCATCTCACATCATCGCTCTTGTCTTTTGCATAACAACATTCTACTCACAGTACGCACACCGCAATCATGACTAGCCGCAAGCGCAACGAATTCCTGGATCACGGTCTCAGCGATGAGGAGGAAGATGCAGGCTACAATTCAGAGGAGCAAGAAGAAAGCCGTGGCGCGCGATCAATCAAGCGCCGAAGAGTCGACCAAGACTCTGACGACGAGTCGCAAGATTTCGACGACGAAGACGAGGAAGCTCTGGACAAGACAAGCGCCATCACTACAACACCCGCACCTGCAGCCTCAAAAGGCCGCTTCGAGCTCTCCGACGAAGACGCCGACGACTTTATCCCCGAAGACGACGACGACGACGAAGACGACAACGAAAACCTCGAAGACGCAACGACAGACACACCAAGAGAAAAAACAGTAAAACCCCTAACCCAAAAACAACTCCTCAAAGCCCAAAAGGCGGCAAAGAAAACCGGCGTCATCTACATTTCCCGCATCCCGCCTTTTATGAAACCCGCAACACTCAAACACTACCTCTCACCCTACGGCGACATTGGCCGCGTCTTCTTGACCCCCGAAGACCCCATTGCCCAGAAACAGCGCGTGCGCAACGGCGGCAACAAGAAAAAATCTTTCACGGATGGCTGGATCGAGTTCCTGAACAAAAAAGACGCAAAGGCTGCCGCGGAAACGCTAAACGGCAACATCATCGGTGGANAAAAGGGAAATTTCTACCATGATGACATGTGGAATATGAAGTATCTGACTGGGTTCAAGTGGAGTCATTTGACCGAGCAGATTGCGAATGAAAATGCAGAAAGGGCGGCGAGATTGAGAGCAGAGGTTGCGAGGACGAGGAGGGAAAACAAAAGTTTCGTCGAGGATGTGGAGAGGAGTAAGATGTTGGAGGGTATGCGGGCGAAGAAGGCTGCTCAGGCGGATAGGGCTGGTGCTTCTTCTTCTTCCTCTGCTGCTGCATTTAAACCTGCTGCTGGTGTCAGAGAGCTGAAGAGAGACTTTAAGCAAAACGAAGTCAAGAGCAAGAGGATCAAGGACTCGACGAGGTCGGAGCAGACGGAAGATGTTCAGAGGGTGTTGAGCAAGATCTTCTAGTCGGGATCAAGACATTGAGATTACACTCAACCGTGTACGGACATTTCCTTGCCAAGCATTATACCTACTTACACCATAGCAACGAAACAACATCGCTTGCACATCCGGACCACGAGCGTTCACGAGACTCTTTAGACATATTCGACCACATGACAGAGTCCATTTATTTCTGTTTCTGAATCGCTAGCTAAGTATATGCATACACCATAGCCACTCCAGCCAAGAGCCGTCCTCTACTTCAAGCAAGCCCCTTCAATTGCACTAGTAGCATTCTTGACATAGTTACCCAACAAACTCCCTCCACAAACCAATCCCCTCACAAAAGCTTGCGCAACCAAATCTGCTCCCTTGGGCGCCGTATGCGTATGATCATTCGGGAAATAGCTATCCACCGTCTGCACAGACAAAGGCTTGTACGCAGCCAGAGTATATGCGCTATGATCCACAAAGTCAACTTTTGCATTTGTAGCAGCTGTCTTTGCAAGGGCGACGAAGCGAGAGGGTGCAGAAACAAAGACGCCGGATTCGTCGGGGTTGTTTGGGGTTTGGGAGGAGATGAGGACGTGGGCGCCCTTTGCGAGGTAAGATTTTGCTGCTTGTTCGAGGTAGTAGGGGAATGTGTGGACGGTTTCTGTGACACCACTNAGATGTGAAACAGCATAATTAAAATTCTGGTTTCTGTCTCTGCAGAAGGGGGGCTTGATGGAGGTATAGACTTACTTGTAGGTGTATTGGCAAGTCTCGGTGCCGCTGCCTGGACAGTCAGACCGTCCATTGTCGGGTCTGCTGGTGCCGTCGTTGTGGCCAAATTCAATGACTACGAAATCTCCTTTCTTGATGAGCTTTCCGATCTCGTCGAAACGGCCTTCACGGGTGAAGCTGCGAGCAGAACGGCCGGCAAAGGCCTTGTTGACGACGGGGATCTTCATGGAGTAGTGCAGATATTGGCCCCAGCCNTGCAAACATCAGTATTTATGCTCATGCAAGGTTCTTTAATATTGTGATTGATGGTGTGCAAGACAGATTCTCTTACCTTCTGTGCCTTTGCCACCGCCTCCTGGCGCTGTGGTGGAGTCTCCAGCCAGATAGACTGTCTGGCCAGCAACCTGACCTACAAAAGCAAGAGCCAAGGGAATGACTGCTTTCCACATGTCGAAGAAAAGTTGTTGTTTCTAGCGAAGAAGAAAGTTCTTTTGGATGTCAATCGAGGAAACTGTACAAGTCTTGAGAAGAATAGCATCACAAGCCCTACATTACATCTAATATATAAGAGACCTTTACCTGCTGTGTCACCATGTACTTCGGGCTTTTCGTATTAATGAATGCCGAGTGTTCTTCAGCCATGCTACCAAACTTTGCTAGATCGAGTTTGGGAACCCTCGCAGCCAAGGGCAGCCAAGCAAGATCCGTGTGTGTCCCATTGATGGAACTTTCTCTAGCTACAGCATCTGGGCCGGTGGGCTTGTCGATGCTGAGGGAAAGTTGCACGTTCGGGTAATATGAAACACTGCACCGAGTATGATCGACAAGGAGATGCAAGCGATGTCACCAAGGGGGAAGATCAAGTGCGGAGAATGCGGAGAAGATGAGATCTACTTATCATGTTGTGGATTATTTTTCCATCTCGTGGTCATGGGAAGTGATGTGAACGACAAGTCATCGCTTGAAGTGTATCCGAGGAGGGCAGTGAGTGTTCAAGGAAGCGACGTTCGAGGAGCCCTAGGGCTGAAGGAAGTTTAGCCTAGAACTGCCACAACATCTTCTTCCTCTTCGTCCTGTGCTACTCGTATGTCAAGCTGAATCTATTACATCGCCATCTCGAAGGTACAGAGTCCTTGTCACCGGTCTTATCTGATACATAGTCGCGAGTGTGGACTCGATCAAATTTTGTGAGTGAGAGCGCGTCTCTTTCCTAAGCGCATTCCACAACCAGCCTCGTCGTGCTTGATGGAATAAAAAAATCAAAATAAAATAGACTTCATGTTATATTCATGAATATGTGTAGACATCTAGTATTCGGCTCAATCTAGAATTTAGAACTCTACCTGCCTGGACCTCGACCTTGGTTAAAGGGTATGCTCGAATTTTACAGAGCAGGCATCTGTGCGCTAGGTGGACGCTGCCATGAAATCACATAATTCCCAAGTTTTCGAGCCAACATTTGCGACATCCATGGGACGCTGTGGTAGATGAGTTCTCCCGTGTAGATAGACTCATCCCTCACAGACCTTGGTTTAGGCATCTCAGGAAAAGGTGTTGGAGTTGCTGGAGACAAAGTCACGGCTTGACGACTTTCGACCCATTCTCTCAAGTGCTGGCGAAAGTCCTCAACATCCGAGTCTAGCTTGCGTCGCTGTGGCCAATATTCGAGCTTCATCACTGCGTCTGGATCTTGCTCCGAGGGTGGAACTTTTCGGTAGGAAGTGTCCAGCGTGATGATTTCGTACAGAGTAAAGATGACGCCTTTGACGTCGTTGAATTCCTCGACGTGCCAGGGTAGTCCCATGGCAGTCGCGTACTCAAAGTCGAACGTTCTGAGCTGACTGCCTTCGGGTGCTTGGTCCAGGCAGATGAGATTTCTGGGTGCTATGTCTTGGTTGACAGTTTGAAGTTCCAGATTGAGGTAGTCGACAAGTGAAGTCAGTTGATGCAACCAGTCCAGACGAAATATCTGATTATGATCTTTGTCAAGCGAGGGTGCAGGGAGATAAGGGACCGTGAAGCCCAAGATGTGCTGAGACATCATGTCATCCACGACAATGCGATCGAATGGGACAATGTTAGGATGTGTAGGCAAGTCATGAAGCATGACTATCTCTCTCCACCTGCGCTCTTTATATTGCACGATTGGCGTATTCTTGAACACCACTTCCCTTGTAGTGCCATCTTCGTCTTCATAACTCACAAGGTCCACCCCAGGCATGAGCCGATTGAGCTCAGTCAATTTGGCCATCGTAATCATACGACACTCCTGGAGACTCGGAGCATCAAGAAGACTTGGATAGAAAATTGCCATTTGACGATCGTCGTCAGGGTCTGAGGATGTTGAAATGAGGTTGCCTGAGGCATCCACCGTGAGGGTATGAACAGCAGGGTCGAGTTCATCCATATAGCGTTTCAGAACTTCGATTGCGTCGCACCCATCTCGTTCCTCGTCCGACATTCTTAGGAAACTCGACGGACCTCGAATTGAGTAATAGCGTCGCTGGTCAAAGTCCATAACATTGAACTCGTCATTTATGTGATTGGTTGCGCCTCCACCAGCCCAGAATCTGTATTTAGGGTCAATCATGAAGTTTGTGCCTCGAGAAAGTCCTTGTAAAGTGGCAGGTCAATGGTATGACAGTACGAAGGATTTCCAGGAGGAATAGGGGCCGTGGTAATGTGGTAAGCAGAAGAACAAAGAGCTGAGGTTCGATTTATCTAGTCATATGCACGCGGTATGCACACCGGCGGCTAATAAACGCTTAGTCAAAAGCTGTCCTGCCAATCAGAGTGGAAGTGCGCAGCATTGAAATCCAGCTGTGTTGGTGGGCTATGAAAGGCCACTGAATGCTCCAAGTTCTTTCTTCCCGTGACTTTCCACAAATCAGTAATTCGACAGCCCTTCTCATACTTAGCATGGCAACTGAAACGACTCCAACCATTTCCCCAAGCGAGATGAACGAAGATGTACAACGACATTTGATCAACACGCCCTAGAATCCCAACAACTGCACATGTGGTCAATACATATACCTCTCAGCCATATGCACACACACATACCAAATTATGCCCTTCAAGTGCGGCTCAAAAACAAGTCCTGCTGGTAAAAGCGGTTTCTGCAAGACGCCTGCACCGAGACATATCGTAAGCGGCGTACGAGTCTCTGAGCGCTGCAGTTTGTGTTAGCTTGATTGTGAGTTTGACCTGTGGTTCGATAGCTTGAGCATGACTGATTGATTTGCTCAGATTGTGGAGGTGAACTGAAGATCAGTGTTCGTTGCTGCTAGATTCGGGCAGCTGGGGAATTAAGAGGTTCGAGTACTTGTGGCTCTACGGTCTTTGCTGTTGTTCCGGTATTGACGCTTTCTGTTATCGGGCTGTGTGTTTCTGTCCTTCATTCAAAGAGTTATCCGGCTCCCAGGTCGATGCTCTATGCTTTTCGGAGACGCGTTGAGTATTTAACTGCAAGTCATCTATCGGTTCTAGGTCAAGAGGCATGTGCACATTGGCAAGGTCGAGAGAGAGTATGAGATAGGATGGCAAGCGACTTTTGTACACGGTGCTCTAAAGTCAAATGCGGCTGGAATACATGTACAATAACAAGAGACATGAGAGAATAAAGAGAAAAAGGTGGTGGCTGCGGTAGATAGGAAGAGGTGTAGGAGGTGAAAGATGGGCAAATGGTAAGAGAACAGGCTCCACACAATACAACAGAAGAGTTTCTCTATCGCTCGTGAAACATTCGCGATGTGGAAAGCGTGTTTTTGAAAGTCGTTTTGCGTTTTTTGTGTGTGTTTGCTCTCTCGTCTATGGTTTCCTTTTTTTTACCCAGCATTATAATGTCGAATGGTTGAGGTAATAAATCTCTAACCAATGATCAGGGAGTTCTCCTCGGGGAATTCGTACTCGGGAACCTCGAGGTTCAAGGGGGCGGGACCCTTGCGAATACGGCCGGAAATGTCGTAATGTGAACCGTGGCAGGGGCAGAACCAGCCGCCGAAGTCACCGGCCTCACCGATGGGCACACAACCCAAGTGAGTGCAGACACCNTGAGGATGATGTTAGTATGAGTTGTTGCACCAATTGAGACGGAGGGCGGACAGACCCAGCATGACGAGCCACTCGGGCTTCTTGACTCTGTCAGAGTCGGGCTGGGGGTCACGGAGAGCCTCCCACTTGGCGCCCTCGGCCTCCTTGATCTCGTCGGCGGTACGGTGTCTGACGAAGACGGGCTTTCCTCTCCACTTGATGATGACGTTCTTGCCCTCGGGGATGGCGGCGAGGTCAATCTCAACCTTGGCCTGGGCCAAGACATCTGCGGAAGCCGACATGTTGACGAGGAAGTCTNNGCAGCGCATGTTAGAGGCATGGCGGGTGTATTGTCAAGTCCTGTGCATACCCTGAACGGTGGCCTTTGCGCCGAGGGCGGTCACGGCACCAAAGGTTCCGACCATGAAGTACTGGAAGACCTTGTTCTGGGTCTCGCCACCAGTGTTGCGGTACTTCTTGAAGTCGGGGATGTGGGTGGTGTCGCGGTGGTTGCTGGTGCCGCGGAAAGGGCTGGAGTAGCTCTCAGCAGTGGTGGCGCTGGAACCGGCATTGCGGACCTGGAGGGCGGCGACAGAGGAGCGGACGGCGGCAGGGCGGGCGCATTGGCGAGCCAGCGAGGCTGCCGTCGAGACGGAGAGGAGAGACATTGTGGGATGTGAGGAGAGACGGGTGATGTTGCTGCACTGAAGGAGGCCAGACGTCGTCGTCGTCGGAACAAATCGTTGGACGCTGCAGCGACTTGCAACGAGGCCCGTGCTTGATGGTCAGCCACGTGACCGACCAATCACATCTCGCACAATCACTTTCCCTCGATCTTCTATATATTCGTCCATTTGCTCTGCTTCTCCCTCTCCTCTACAACAAACCTCTCATCTACATAAGATGGCCAAGGAATTGAATCTGTCTGACGCCGCCGTGTCTCAAAAACTTACACACAAAGTCCCTCTTCCCACTGACAATCTGCCTACAATGGCACAATCTGCCAAGCCAAAGAGCTCAACCTCTGAAGCCACCAAGACACCAGTCAAGAGACAAACCCTCAAAAGATGCACCGAAAGTGATGAGGAGAGCATGGATGATCTGATCAATGAATCTACCAAGCCCAAACCTCCTGCCAGTGAAACTATCAAACCCAAGGCTGCCACTACCAAAAAGCAAGTCACTGAAGAACCTATCAATATTGACGACGACGATGAGGAGGAGAGTGAAGAGGACGAAGAAAATCAGGAAGATGAAGACGATCAAGAAGACAGTGATGACGAGCAAACTAATACCAAGAAGCCCGTCAAGGTAACTTCTTCAGCCATCAAGAAACAATCCTCTAGCAAGAAGGCAACCCGCAAGAGGGCCCACGACAGTGATGATGACGACGATGGTGTGGATCTGACAAGCAAACCCAAGAAACTCAAAGGCCAGGCACTTGCTCAATACAATGAGAACGACGACTCTGAAGACGATATCATCGACGTAACCCTTAAGTCCACAAAATCCAAGGCCAAGGNCTACCCAGAAGCAACCTGTCAAAGCCACAATCCCCTCTCTTACTAAGAAGCAAATGTTCAACACTCCCAAGGAGGCCGAGTCCGACGACGAGGATGAAGAAGACTCCTCCGACGAAGCCCCCAACGTCACCCTTACAGAACGCAAAGGCGACCTCTTCGCCGCCCCAGCAAACACCCTCCTCATCCATGCCTGCAACTGCGTTGGCAGCTGGGGCGCCGGCATCGCCGCCGCCTTCAAAAAGAACTACCCAGACCACTTTGCCATCTACACTGCCCACTGCAAATCCAAGACGCCAAACTCCTTACTTAGCACCTGCCTTCTCATCCCTCCCCAATCCAGCGGCCCCAAACACTGGATCGGTTGTCTGTTTACCTCTCGCAAATACGGCAGAGGTAAGGACAGCAAAGACGACATCATGGACAGCACAGACAGCGCTCTGCAGGATATGCTGGAGCAATTGGAGGATCTTGAGAAGCAGCCATCGGGGATTTGGATGTGCAAGATCAACTCGGGCTCGTTCAGGGTGCCATGGGGTCAGACCAAGGCGCTGATCGAGTCGTTGACTTTCAAGNGGGGCCTGCATATCCAGATTGTGGACAAGAAGTGAGGAGAGCCAATGACAAGAGAGAGAGAGAACAAGAAGATACAAAGCTGTCAAACAGAGACAAGGATCCTGACACTGGGCATGACAGAAGAACAACGACCAAGGAGAAACGAAGACTCATTGAACAGGGGATTTGGAAGGTAATGAGAGAACTTGCTTACGACAGACATGACGACAACACAATTGCTCAGAGATGCACATCAATGATTAATAGTAGTTACGAAGCAAACTAGTCAACATGAATAATCTTTAATCAAATAACCTCCCGTCTCCATGAACTAAAGCATACAATGCGTACAACTGGCTATGCACAATAGTCTTTGACAAGCATGGCAGCACTCCTGAGAGACAAGAATGTCCTTGGCTCTCTATGGCTATACTGGAAACCACTGTGTCTCTCTACAGTCCAAGAGTGCCTCGATGTTGCAGTGGGAGCAGGCAAGGTTACAGACTTTTCTGCCTTGGTTGTTACAAGCTACGACGCGAGCACGCAGCGGAGAAAAACAGTTCTACTTTTCAAAATTGCAATATCGTGGGATTTTTTTTTCGTTTTCTTTCTGGAGTTGTGTATTCTCTAAACATCTGCTGCAGATCAATGACCACTGTACTCCCTGCCGAGCCTCCTGTCCCAAAAACGCCATGTTTGTCCGCCAGTTTTGGTTACTCCTACATCCCCTGTTTGTATGCTATATCCGCCAAACCAGAAAGAGTAAGAAGAATGAAATATGAAGCTGAGAGTGTATGTCTTTCCTAATAAATGTTCTTGGCCATGGCTCTTCGTTCCGACATGGACATATGGGGCCCAAGCGGCTCGTAGCGACTGCGTGGATTGCGCATCGAATGTACCAAGTTTAAGATGGGGCGGACGGAAAGGATAAGGATGAAGCAGGCGACGAGGACGGAAGCGACGATGAGAAGGATGATGGGCCAAGCGAAGCGTCTCTTGGAGAGTCAGTTGCCATCTTGCTCCCAGCCTTCGGGCTTGTCCATCTTGTTGAGCTCGTAGTAGCGGGCGGTANNCCTGTAGGTCATATGTCAGCTTTTGCTCTTGCAATGTCAGAGGGTCTTCGGGAGATACTCACATGAGTAGCCGTTCCAGTCAAAGTTGTCCTTGGGGTTGCAGTGGCACTTGTGGTCCATTCTGTATTGCTCGCCAGTGGGGCAGTGGGTGAAGGGAACGTGGTAGTAGGCAATGTCGTTAAAGAAGTGGATTTCCTCCTTCTTGAGCGTCAGACCGGCTGCGATGGAGTGGACGGGGGCGTCTCCCCAGCGCTCGTAGAAGAAACCACCGTCCTTGTCGAGGGCCTCGAAGTAGTCGATGTAAGCGGGGCTGCGGAGCCAGTCGAGGTTTCCGATTTCGAAGTTGGACCANCTAGACATGGATTAGTATTCTTGCTTCAGATGGCTGCTTGCGTGGTTACTCACGAAGTGGCAGTGGTTGTAGGTGTCACCACCGTCGTCGGAGAGGAAGCCCATCGAGTTGCCCTCGACAATGTGCTCGGGGTGGTTCTTCATCCACTTCTTGGTGCTCTCCCAGAGGGTAGGGATGGTCTCGACGTATTCGTACAGGGAGAGGGTGAAACTGTACTTCTTCTTGTTGTCGGCCATGAACTTGAAGGTGTCGTAGTCAATGTCGCAGAAGAGTTCAATGCTGGGCTCAACACGCCAGTACCATTCGTAATCGAGCATCAGAGGGTGGCGGAAGAAGAAGCCCGACTCGTAGCGACACATGTGTCTGTAACTGATCGAGTCTCCGTAGATGATCTTTCTGGCGGCCATGTCGGCGCGCACCTTCGCAGCCTTGTCCTGGTCAATCCACTCGGGGAAAGACCAGTGCTCCTTGGGGATCTCGCCATACTTTGTGTTTCCGGAAGTAAGGGCCGAGGTGACCGCCTTGAACTGGTCGTCGAAAGGCTGGTCGTTCAGGAAGACCCAGTCGTAGTTGAACTTCTTGTTGAAGCGGTCCTCGACCTGACGGATGGAACGAGCAATCTCCCAAACGTCCGAGTTGCGGGCAAGAGTAACAAAGGTGGCGTTCATGCGAGGACCGGAGTTTGTTGCGGGAGGGAGGCCGGCATGGGTGTTGGGAGTAGTACCCTGGTCAGGGTGAGATTCCTTGACATCGCCGTGAGCTTCTTGCGAGCCACGCCATCTTGAGCCCGAGTCCTTGAGCAGGTCTGTGGCACTCTGGGCATATTCGCGTCCGGGGACTGATGAAGAGCTGGAGATGAAGAAGAGGACGACGAGAGCGACGATGGCAAAGACGATGTATCGCAGATACCTGGCCGCCATTTTTGCGATGGTGTTGAGGTCAGGTCAGGACAGAACAGTTGGGATGCGACGGGAAGAGGGAGAGTTGTCGTAAAATGCCACGAGGGCCAGAATAGTAGCAAGTCGCACTATTTGTGGAGAAGGGTACGGGGACAAAAGCCAAAAGTAGTTGAAAGGAGTGACTTGGGATTCTGGGAGTAAGACAGTCTTAACGTCCCATATAATGAACGGCAAGAAGCAAGCCAAAGGGCGAGATAGAGGAAGAAGGAAGCGATCGCCGCAGTTCAGATGGGAGACGGGTGTTAATTTGTATTGTGCTTCTAGATGCTATCCATCTCTTGTGCAGGGGAGAAAAGGGGTCAGCGCAGCACCGCGCGTTCACTGGTTCTTAAGCGTTGCATTATTATCCACACACTACTTCTCCCTGCGTACACGCAGCAAGAGAATAACGGCTCAACAAAGAGGCGTCTTTCCAGCCAGGGCTCGTATTGATGCTGGGCGGGCTAGGCGTGAGTACCTGTTATAGCGTGCATTGGTGCAGCTGAAGTTATCGTGACTTCAAAGGAAACTGCTCGTGAACGCACGGTTTCCAAGCTGCTTCATGTTGAATGCAGGCCGATGCAAGTCTTGGCGGAGATTTGGTGCACGGGTATTCTCCGGAATGTCATCACCGGCGCTGCTCGAGTGAGAGTCAAGCTGGCCGCCCGCCGCATCATCATTGCTGCCGCCGCTGCTCGATACCGCCGCCGCATTCTTTCTCCTACGAGCGCATACCCCGCGCCTGCCTACCCTCACCCTAGACCGACCTGCGCAGTCTTCGGTCGACTGCTTCCTGATCCCTCCTTCCTCTCCGCTCGCTGCTCGCAATGTCCTTCTTTGGCTTCGACACCAACCTCCCTCGGGACAAGCAGGACAGAGACGCTGGTCGCGGCTTCTTCGCCGGTCAGCAGGACGCCTTTGCCTTTGCCAATCGCGAGAATGCTGCAGACCAGGGCGATGTGTGAGTCCAATCTCTCCAAATACCTGTTGTCCTCTTGACTGAACCGCCCTAGCNNCTCAACTTCGATGACACCTACGATGCCTTGGCCGACAAGCTCGACGAGGCCGGCGATGCCTTCAACGACGATACCTTTGGTGACGGTGGCCGTGTAGGCAAGGACTTTGACTTCTTCGGCACCACCAACAAGGTCGCCGGCACTCTTGAAGAAGAACAGGCTCTGCACTACGCTCGCCAGCCTCCTCCGGCTCAGCAGCGCTTCCAACACCAGCACCAGCAACAGCAACAGCAGCCCAAGCCCTCTCGCTCCGGCTACGAAAACTACTCCAAGCCCGAGTACATCCCCCAGCTCGAAGCCAATGCCAGCCTCTGGGGTCTGCCTTCCAAGAAGCCTACCCAACAACAACAACAACAAGAGCCTCAATTCAAGCCCTCGACTCCTTCTAGCAGAAAGATGATGAGCCTCGAGGAGGTCGAGGCTTCGATGCGCCAACAGTCACGACCTCTGTCTGGCGCCATGAACATGCCTCAGCACCACACTCCCGTCCAGGAGCCTTTCCAAGCCCCAGGAAGCAGCTTCCCTGGTGTCCAGCAGATGCAACAGCACACTCCGCGACAGCCCTCGAGAGAGCCTCAGATGGCTTCTCCCTTCCCCCAGCCTCAGCACATGCCTGTCCAGCCTCCTCCGGGCATGCAGAACCCTGGTTTGATCGCTCAGCAACTTCAACAGCAGATGCCTCCCACTGGCCCTCCCTCCGGTCCCCCGCCCGGCGAGTCAGGCCATGGCCACCGTGCCTCATACTCTGGTCCTCCCATCACCCAGGCCAACCAGATGATGCAGTTGTCCGACGAACAGCGCGCCCACTTCCTCGCAGAAGAGGCCAAACGTGCCAAGCGCAACCACAAGATTTTCTTGCTTTCCAAGGACAACGGTCTCATGACTCCTCAGGACAAGAACTTCATCACCCGCATTCAGTTGCAACAGCTCCTGACTGCCACTGGTGGTGTCGATGAGCAATCTTCGGACGCTCAGCTTGCCGAGGATTTCTACTACCAGGTATACGCTCAGATCCGCGGTGCTCCTAGACAACATCCTGGCCAGCCCCTGAACCAGTTTGCTCAGACATATCTCTTCCAGACTGGTGGTCGCTACGGAGCAGGTCGCAGACATCCTCGCGGTGGTGACAACCACATGCAGAGAATGGAGCAGCAGGTTCAGCGCGCTGTCGAGGCTGCCAAAGCCAGACCGAAGAACAGACAGCTGATTGTTGAGGGCAGTCTGGGTAAGATTGCTTTCAGCAACTCCAAGACCCCTCGTCCCTTGTTGAGCTTCAAGCGTCCCGATAGCGAGAGCAAAACTCACACTCAGAGAGTCGCCAAGCCCAGCGTTGCAGACCGCAAGTCCACCCTCCGCCACATCGAGAACGTCTACGAGACCTTGATGCAGATGGAGGACCATGAGCGTCACCTGCCTCCGCCGCCTAACGAAGAGAGCCACCCAGATGCTATTCAGCGCCACATTGAGTGGAGGCAGAGAGCTCATGAGCTCAACCAAAAGCTGTGGTTCAACCTACGAGTCATGGAACCCATTCAGCAAAATCCCTCGAGTCCTCATCCGTTCATCGCCATCTTGTCACACGCTAAGGGAAAGAAGGCAATCCCGCGTGTCTTCCGCCACATTGATGATCAACAGCGTCTGACCATCCTGACTATTCTCATCATCCACCTCGACATCCTTGACGTTATCCGCCTGGCCTACCCTCACCCTGACGAGCCTCAACTACCTCGTGCTGTTCGCGATGAGGTCGAGCTGTTCAGCCAAGCTGTCATTCCCACCTTGCTCGCCTACATTGGTGACGCTCCTCTCAACATCATCTCCGGCCTCGTCGGCCTCGTTCTCGACCGTGTCAACGTACAGGCCATTGTTCGCACCAAGATTGGTGTTGCCATGCTCACGATGCTGGTATCACGCGCCTTCCTTGTCAAGCAACAAGCGAGCGCTCAGGTCTCGGACGAGGATTGGTCACAGTGGACTCAGCTCTACAACCGTCTCTTTGATCTTGCCGAGCCTGTGCTCCCATACATCTTCACCACCGAGAATGTCAACACCAGCAACGACTTTGAGATTTGGCAGTTCTTGGCTACTATGGGTGTCAGTGCTAGTCCCGAACAACAACAGCGTCTGGTTCTTGGTGTCAAGGACAGAGTCATGGCTACTGTCGAGATTAGCAAGCAACTGCCTCAAGACATGGCTGCCAGAAAACTGGGCGAGGTCAACCTTTTCATGAGAGCCATTGGTTTGGACGTCGAGTTGCTGGGTTAAAAATGTGCACGAGAGTGCTGAGCGAGAGACACAAGAGGTCCAGACTGTACTTGGGGAAATATGGTCGCCTCGTCTGCGTGCTTCTCTTACATCAGGATTTTCATCACGAGAATTATATCACCGGGGTCGTGAAAGCATACAATGATTGAAAAAGGCCATCTAATGAGCACAGCCCAAGCGTTTATTGCGAGCATTTTTGCATGATCCATTCAAGAGATTAAGACTACAGATAACCAAAAGTAAAAAAAAATGTCAAACAAAGTTCATATTTGCGTTTGTGGTGCCTCCTATCCCACGTGGACTGGTCTCTTATAGTAAGCGTTCTTTTGCTGATGGCGGAGAAAGAAATAAAAAGGAAAAAGAAACAAGGGATTATATGTGCAGCTGGATTGGAGACAGGGTGACACCCCATACCAGTACTTTGAGGCGACAATGACTGGTTTCTCGCGACCTCTGTATGTTAACACTTATTTATGCTTATAGAGGTGATATATATGCTTGTTTTCTATAGTTTGTGGTATCTTTGATTGTCTCAGTCGAGTGGTTTGTTGTTGAACGGTGAAATGGCGGCTTTGAGAGGCTGAGAATTGGAAAATGGTTGTGAGACGCTTGAGATTCACAAAGGCACTTTTAAATAGTATGATTGGAAGAAAAAAGTGACATGACAGGACAATGATTGTATTGAAGCAGTTCTAGCCGCGATATTTCAAATTGTAGTTTGTGAGAATCATGATCTTGGTAGCTAAATATCAGTTGTGTTTGCGTCCGTAGATCAAGATTTGTTCGTTTTTGGGGATTCGAGGCCAGAACCTCATGTCAAAGGAGAATAAGAGCCATCTTGTGTGGCGGGGATATGTAGAAATACTCTCAAAAAGGTTTCGTGGCTTGCTTCTTGGATTCGTAAATGCCTTCTAGTTTCCTGACAGGTACTCGCCCACACCCTTGATGGCATCGTTAAACTTGTTCGCCTCGATGAGAATCAAATGTCCCTGCGGTCTAATACCCGCCTCCTGGAACGCTCTCTTTGCGTCACTAGCCCCCTCTTCACCCACCTTGTCATGGTCAAAGTTACCATGACCCACGCCAAATCTTTGCAGTGCTTCATCCTCAGGATGGAAGTAAAACGTCATGGCATCCGCCTTTTGCTGTTTTCCCTTTTTCGTGGGACGAGATTCTTGCGCGTCCAACTTTGACTCGACCTCGGTGTAGGTTTTTGAGAGAATGAGGTAGTGGGAGAAGTTGTAGGGTTCCTTTTCGTCGATTGCCCATTGGATTTCCTCTTGCAGCATTGTGTACATGGGTGTGACAATCTCGGAGGGCATGTTGATGAAGCGTTCGGTGAGGATGAGACCGAGCTCTGCTTTTGAGTCTGCGGCAAGGAGAGCAGGTAACGCGGATAACGAGGGCATGGACGAGGCTTTGCGGGAGAGATAGGCGGTCAAGTCCGCAATGACGGGATTTTGCTTGTGTTGGGCGAGGTTCAGAACTGTGAGGAAGGCGTAGGGGTCGCTTTCGTTGCCGTCGACTTTGACGGTGCTGCCGAGCATGGGTTGTGAGAGGATGAGGTCGGCGAGGGCGGAGAGGTTGAAGAGTTCATTGTCGACGTCGAGGAGTTGGCGCAACAGTGTCTTGAGGCCGTGGAAGTCGACGGCGGGTTGTGGATCGAACCATTCAAAGTCGACATCGATCATGTCTTCGTCCTGGTGGTGGTGGCTTGGTTAGTTGTCTGGTCGTGGATGTGGTCTTGGGGTTTCCATACATCGCTGCTCGACTCGTCGTCGNTCGCGCATCTTGTGGTCCTTGACCGGTGCATCTTCTGCTGTCGTCTTTCTCTTGGGCATTGTATGAGATTCTGCTGTGCTGAATCGTGATGTCGTGACAAAAAGTTGTAGATCAAGGTGCATCAACTTTTCGAGGCGCGCCAAGACCCCGCGACTTGCATGTGATGGTCAAGCTCTCCAGCCTCCAGGGCGCGTCCCAATGCGGCAACTACCCCGACCTCCCCATGTGCGATAGACAGTCACGGTGTAGTTGTAGAAAGGCACAGTCATTTTCTATAGCAGAGCGACACCCACGGAGAAAACGTTGTTTCTAGGCATAAGTGGCCAATATGATCGCATTCTATTCTAGATATCCTAATGGCGACCATGTAGAGACAGAAAGATCATAATAAGCAGACTCAATGACCAAAAACACATACAACACCAAGAGACCGCACATCGAACAGAAAGTGTAAGTAAACAACCAGGAATCGCAGCGGCGAGATTTGAAACCAGTAGAGGAGGTTCGATTGTGTGAGTTGATCATTTCCAGCACCTGTGATGACCAGACTAGATCCAATAGTCCAACATGGCGAAGGGGGAGTATCGTGAACCGCAAAGACAAGCTGCTGGTTGCAAGGCACTTATGCACAGCAGATACTCGTCGTGCCCGTTAAAGTCGCATCTGTCGGCAACGTGCCACTTGGACAACAGCTTTCAGGAAAGCCCTCGATGGTCATGACAGAATCGGCATCACCTCCATTCGCGGCACATGTCGACGGCGCCACCGCACCTGGGTTGTTGAGTGCTTGCTGACATCCACCATCACTCAATTTCGTTCCTACCGTGCCGCCGAAAGCAGTCATTGTAGGTGCGGCTGCTGTGGTCGTGGCAGCAGCAGTAGTATCACCCGGAGCAGTCAGGCAAGTACTGAAGATCTGAGTCGACGTGGCAAGGATACTGATGGTATTTGTCGCTGCTACGTCGGCAACGCTTCCAACACCGGCGAAGCCATTGAGCTGGGCGGTGAGATCGGCTTCGAATTGGACACTTGGGCAGCTCGAGTCGGTGCCAGCAGAGGCTGTGAGCGCGAGCTGAGGTGCTGCCAAAGCGAGGCCTGCACCTGCTCCCTTGCCGCCTGCACTAAGCTCGAGCCCGAGGATGATGTTGGGGCCAAACGAGGCAGAGGCCGAGATGTCGGCATTTATACTTGGACCTTCGGTACTAAAGGTTACAGAAAAACCAGAATTGCTATTGTCGTCTCCTGTGAGATCAAGAGTGGCGCTAGCACCATCTGGAATACTCAAAGTCACCGAGCCGAGGGAAAAGTCCACTGAAGCAGTGATGGAATCGATTTTTGCATCGAGATTGACCATCAACACGGGGCCAATGGTCACGCCCGCAGCAGAAAGTGGATTCTCGAGGAGTGGAACATTGAGGAAGGTGACTGACTTGTCAAACTCGGCAGTAAGCTCAGCACTCACGACGAGATCAAGTCCAATAGTTGCCGAGACTTGGTTAGCCGTGATCTTTGCGGTACCAGTAAAGCCAAGACTGCTGCTGGTCACTTTACTAATGTCGAAGCCGATATTGACGTCGATATCAAAGTTGCCAGTGGTTTTGCAGTTGCCGCACGTCAATGCCACATCGAGGCCGTCGCTAATGTTCTGGCTAAAAATATTTGTGCCACTGAAGTCTTTGGCAACAGGAATCATGGTATCGATACGCTTGGCCAGGCGCATTGTCGTGCCTGTCGCATTCCCTACACTGACACCGGTCGTCGATATCTGAATGTCGACATATGGTATAGCATCCCAGAGATCAACGGGCTCTGCATTGGCAACCATTGAGAGATTTCCACTGCTGGCATTGAAATATGACGCTTTGTAGGTTTGTCGTTTTCCATCAGAGCAGTTTGGCGACAAGACGACCATTGCAAGATAGCGCGTGTCGTTCTGATTGACCCAATCCCAGCTGGCGTTTGCCTTATTGAAAGAGTTTTCGTCGGACCACTGTACAGTGACAGAATTGTTGGAGCAGGACACGGACGTAATGTTCTGCATGACCTTTTCCATGTCGACAATGCGTCCGTCCCAAGGCTGCTGGCCATCTCGCTCGAAACTGCAGACGGCCTTAGCCGTGGGCATAACATCGCCGTTTACACCCCAGTACCATGTGTCGCTCATGCTAAGGTCGTATTGGTCAGAAGCTCTCTTCACGACTCTGGTACTGCGCTGAGCATGCGGATGGGAAAATGACGAAATGGGATCGAGGTAGGTCAGGGCTCTGTGTTGGCCGATCTCGCGATGACCGAGGGGAACGAGTGAGGCGACTGCATAGCCCACAAGCAAAGCACTGCAGAGCAAGTTTTGGAAGTACATCTTGCCAGAAAGTAGAACCCAGAAAAAAGTATTTGGTGGAGAAATTCAAGAAGGTCAAATGGGAAGCTGGCCCCGCCGTCGTGATTGTTGCTGGTCGATGAGAGAAGAATCGAATGCAGATTGCATCTGCCTTCTTATACCTCATTTCACTTCCCACTGTCAGCATCTCTCAATCTACAGCGATATAAAGGTTTCTAAGTTTGACGGCACTGCCAAACATAGCTATGTTGGTGAGAGTGCGAGGTCTTGCTGTTGTCGCGTCTTGGTAGAACCATCTCTGCAACCGGATTCAGCGATGCAGAGGTAGAAAAGGAGTCTGAGACCTTCCCCGGCTGCATTCGTCATGAATGTTCATTTGATCGGGTGTTAGAGGCACCAACGTGTTACTTCAATCTAGCGGTCGTGGTCGGATACTTTCAGTAGCACATGTTGGACATGCAGCCGGACAATGCTACAATCATATCGAGGATAGCATGCCCAGACTTTCCAAGCACGCTTCTATTCTGCGCGTCAATGCCTTGTGTTCAGCTTTTTGTTGCTTACATTGGAACATGTGTGTAAGGTGGTTGGAACTTGGCACCACGCTGACAATGGCCACGACACCCCTCGTAGCTGACGCTTGGCTTCCAGCTGCAAGCAGCGTGTGTGTATCCATCATGGCCTCGCAATCTAAGAAGACGCAAGCAACATTGTAAATGATGTTGCTTCTTATGTCTGAAGATGATGATGAGTGGTAGGTTAGCACGTGAAGAAGGGAAGTCTCGAGGCCCGGGCTTACGTAAGCTCCATCAATCCGAGCTCTTATGTCCTCGTGTGATCCCGAATAGTAATTGGGACAATGTGCATCTTTGACAAAGCATCTAAGTGAACTCCAGTTGTCGCAGATATAACCTTTGATTGCCTATGTATGTGACGATGTATGTACATACGTACTTATGTGTGTGCAGGTGGCATATCAGGCAGGGTGCCCAAGCCCAATATGCGCTGGAGTCTAATGCCTACGAGTCCATGGCGTGAGCATTGAGTGCAATCAGTAACCATGCTGAAAGCGATTCGGATTGGACATGCTCCCTTCGACGACATTGGTTCCGACTCAAGAAACCGCCACGGTTTGCACCGTAATGCTTGCTTGCTGTATGTGGTTCATCCAACCTGCGTTCGCAGACCATGCATCAACCACAATTTGGTCTCCGACCAACAGGCTCGACACCCACCGGGCTTCAGAGAGGTCCTCCGAGTCTGCTCGCCACGTCACTTGGAGTGTATGCCATTCATCATCCGCCATTGGATTGCGGCAAACTTCTCTACAGCCTCGTATCGTCGCGGCCCGGTCGGGAGTACGATCCTGGGCATTTGAGATAGATCGTGCTGTAAACCAAGTCCAAGGTCCATGATCCAAGTCACCAAGCTGACGTGCCGAACCTTGATCGTGAGCAGTGATCTGGAAGACGATTTTCCGAACAGGTTGCCGTACTCGGGATCTGGTGTGGACATGTTTACTGGTCATAATGTTCCTCGGAGCGTTCTCTTGAGACACCATGATGGTGGGGTTGAATTTCACTCTGGTGGTAGTGCTAAAGAATATACCAGCCTCATTCAAGATATTGGATATCAAGTCTGGGATCAGCTTTTGTCTAAGGAGGTATGCTATGTGATAAATCTCGTGTATCCGCTTGATGGAGGGTTCGGTAAACTTCTCGTCGTTCATGAATCGTCCATCGTTATTGATATTATCATGTTGCTTAGAGTGAAGTTGGCCACTATTGATGAGGTCTCTGTCGTTCGCATGGTTCTGATTGTCCACCGACGCTGCATCGATGTTGATAAGTCCAAGTGGGTTCGCAGACATGCTGAAGCCCAATTCGTACAGGACGGCTAGTACTTCAGTTATATTGAGGTGTGTCGAAAGTGTTTCGGATTGGAGGATATGATGCGGGAGGTCGAAGAATCGATGTCACGTGATTTTCTCTTCCACATTCGGCAAGTCTCCCGAAAGTGTCAGAAGGTCCGTCTTGTCAACACGGACGGTGGCAGAGGGACATGCTTGTAGAAACATTAGCCGACTGCCACCGCAAACTGGAGGTCAGACTGTTCCATTCTTGTAACCATAAGCGAATTGACTTGGCTGTTGAATCTGTTGCCTTATAAACATCGTTTGCCCATGTCTTGTTCCTCTCCACTCTACTTAGCTACAAATCACATCTATACCAACAGAATCACACAGCATGGACTCCCTGGCCAAGAAGACCCTGGATGTCTCACGCTCCTTGACATACACATACTATCACCATCCACCAGCCCAGCCAGAAAACCCCACTGTATTGTGTATCCATGGCTTCCCCGATGAGGCTGCTGAATGGGCAAACCTGGCAACAGTCCACCTCATCCCTGCTGGCTACGGTGTACTCGCCGTTGACTGTCTGGGATATGCTGGCACTTCANAGCCCCTAGGTCCTGCCATGTACGCTTTCGAACACATGACAAAGGACCTTACAGAGATTCTTGACAACGAAAAGTTGCAAAAGGTCGTCTCTCTGGGCCACGATTGGGGTTGTGCTCTCGCTCAAAGATTCTACAACTACTACCCTGATCGTGTTTTGGGACTCGTCATGGTCAATGTTGCCTACACCGCGCCTGGAGATCAGCCCTTCGACCTCGATGCAGCCAACAAGATGACCAAGAAGATCTTTGGTTATGCCACTCTTCCTTACTGGTACTTGTTTTCCAGCGAGGACGGCTACAAACTTCTCGACGAGCACCTTGAGAGTAGTTTTACTGTTCTCCACGGCCCACCGGAGAGCTGGCTAGACACAGTCTGCAAGTACGACGGTGTCAAGGACTTCTTGCTTGAAGACAAGAAGCAACAGACCGAACCTTATGCCACCGAAGAGATGAAGAATGCATACATCACTCGCTTCAAGCGTGATGGATTTGCTGCGCCAACATGCTGGTACAAGGCCATGGTCGGCGGCCACCAAGACTTTGAGGCTAAGAAAGTCAAGGCCATCACTGTTGACGTGCCCTCGCTATATGTTGGCTTCGACAATGACAAGGTGTGTCGTGCCGAGTCAATTGGCATGGCGGTGAAGAATGGTCTTTTGCCCAAGCTCACAAATGTTACGTTGGAAGGTGGTCACTGGGGTCTGCATGCCAATGCTGAGAAGTTTGGCAAGACTGTTGTAGATTGGTTGAAGAAGGAGATATGACTGCCACGAGAAAGTAGACCCAGACTGTAACATCTGCGTAGCACAGCTGTGAACACATATCAATGTTCATGCGCAAGAAAATGTTCTAGATTGGTTCATTGAGCCGAGGATGGTGATAAGGCCCAAATAACAAAAGCCAAGAGCATACCATACCCGATCGGGTAAAGCGTTTCAGGCCATCTTCGAGGTCGGACCCTGACCTTGAGTTTGTCCAGAGGAGAAAAATTATTGATCTCAATATCAGTCATCCCACTCACCACCAACCTTCTCTTGTCTTTTAGCGCCGCCTGTCGCATTCAGACACACACACTCGTCACAATGGCCGACTCAAACACCAATGTCNCCCCTCCGCCCCACACCATCTTCGACACCATCTTGGTGCTCGACTTCGGATCGCAATACACCCACCTGATCACCCGCCGTCTGCGCGAGCTCAGCATCTACTCTGAGATGCTTCCCTGCACTCAGAAGATCTCCGAGCTCTCATTCAAGCCCAAGGGTATCATTCTTTCTGGTGGTCCTTACTCTGTCTACTGGGATGACGCGCCCCACGTCGACCCCGCCGTCTTCGAGCTGGGTGTCCCAATTCTCGGTATTTGCTACGGTCTCCAGGAGATCGCATGGCACAGTGACCAGAAGAACGTCGTTGCCGGCGAGAAGCGCGAGTACGGCCACGCCATCCTGAACGTTCACAAGCACTCTGGCAAGACTGCTCACGTCGATGCTCTCTTCGCTGGTCTCGAGGACGACATGGACGTCTGGATGTCCCACGGGGACAAGCTCTCCCAGCGCCCTACAGGCTTCGTCACCGTCGCCGCCTCCGAGAACGCACCTTTCGCTGGTATCGCCCACGAGGACAAGGAGTGGTTCGGTATTCAATTCCACCCCGAGGTCACCCACACCAAGAAGGGCACGCCGCTCATCAAGAACTTTGCCGCCAACATTTGCGGTGCCAAGCAAGATTGGACCATGGACGCCTTCGTTGGCAAGGAAATCGACAGAATTAGAGCTCTCGTTGGCCCTAAGGGACAAGTCATTGGTGCCGTCAGTGGTGGTGTTGACTCCACTGTTGCCGCAAAGCTCATGCACGAGGCTATCGGTGACAGATTCCACGCCATCATGGTCGACAACGGTGTCTTGCGTCTCAACGAGGCTAAGCAGGTCAAGGAGACTCTTACTGCTGGACTCGGCATCAACCTTACCGTCATCGATGCTAGCGACCGCTTCCTCGACCTGCTCGCAGGTGTCAAGGATGACCCCGAGAAGAAGCGCAAGATTATTGGAAACACTTTCATCGAGATCTTTCAGGAGAAGGCAAAGGAGATTGCTGCCGCTGCTCACGGCTCGGCCAACGAGGGTGAGATTGAGTGGCTCCTCCAGGGCACTCTCTACCCAGACGTTATCGAGAGTATCTCATTCAAGGGCCCCAGCGCTACCATCAAGACTCACCACAACGTTGGTGGTCTCCTCGAGGGCATGCACTTGAAGCTCATTGAGCCTCTGAGAGAGCTCTTCAAGGACGAGGTTCGCGCTCTTGGTACCCAACTCGGCATTCCGGAGGATCTTGTCTGGAGACACCCCTTCCCTGGTCCGGGTCTTGCCATCCGTATCATTGGAGAGGTCACTCGTGACCAGGTCCGCATTGCCCAGCAGGCCGACTACATCTTCATCGATGAGATCAAGAAGGCTGGCTACTACAAGCAGATCAGTCAGGCATACGCTGCTCTCCTGCCTGTCAAGGCCGTCGGTGTCATGGGTGACAAGAGAGTCCACGCTCAAGTCATTGCTTTGAGAGCCGTCGAGACCACCGACTTCATGACTGCCGACGTTTTCGACTTCCCCACCAAGTTCTTGAGCAAGGTCAGCACTCGCATTGTCAACGAGGTCGATGGTGTGTGTCGCGTGCTGTACGAGGGTGAGTCACCATAACAACCAACAACATTCAGAAGTTTCTGGACATGAATTTGCTAACGGCCGAATANNGTGACCAGCAAGCCACCAGGCACGATCGAGATGGAGTAGGGCCGAACATGGAAGCAATCGGGGGGAAAGCGAAGCGCACGATACAACTAGAATTTCTGTACAATCGGGCGGGGGGATTGGGCTTGTTTGGCGTTTTTACTGATGATTTACTGGAACTGAAATGCATGCATGAAAAAAGCTGGCGGCGTTTAGATGGATATCCCCAAAGACACTCGAGTGTCTCGTCATGAGATGTAGCAAGGCATGGAAGAAAATGTCTCAATACACAAGCCTCCCATGACGGAGTGCTGCTCAACAAACAGACGGTCTTCCGAGTTTCGATCGCGTGTGTGTCAAGCAAGTGGATTTTGGAGCTGCCCAAAGCTCTCGCAACCCCACAGCTGCCATTCTTGGAGAAGATTCTGATGATGTCAAGCAGGAGCGACGTCATTGTCAGGCAGGAGCTCAGAAGACACATTTAACCTCTGCAAACACACTCTTCACGTTTCTTTTCCCTCCATCATCACATCTTCTACAACTTACAACTTCATCAATTCACCTCCAAACCCACCCCACAAACCCCCAACCACTTCAAATCAATCACAATGTCTGGAACTGGCAACGTCGGTAACTCTGGTGTCTACGAGGCTGGTGACCAGAGAACCTACAAGGACTCTGAGATCGCCGAGCAGAAGCAGGAGGCTCGCTTCCACGAGGGCAAGGAGCACTCTCACCAGGCCAACGACTCCAGTAAGAAGATCCACTCGCTGGCGTAGCTTGACACAGCCCACTGACAATCCAACAGAGNNGACGAGCGCACCATTGCCAACAAGCTTGCCCGTGAGGAGAAGCGCGAGAACGAGGACGAGGAGGAGTCTCTCCAGGCTCAGCAGATCAAGAAGGACGCCACTCTTCCCGTACGTTGACCCATGCAAGACAACATCTTCATCACACCACAACATACTCACACCATACAGGCCAAGTCGCACGGCAACGAGCCCAGCAAGGGCGCCAAGATCGACCAGGAGCTCGCTGAGGAGGACGCTGCCGCCCTCAAGAACAAGGGCTCGTTCGGTCCCCAGTAAATGCTTCCTCTCTTCTTTGAGCAGCATCTTTCAAGATACCAGCGATGATTCCCTTTCTTGTTTACAAAAACCATTTCGATCCAAAGCAACCTCATTTGACATGAGATGAATTGCAATGCTTAATGCATATACACGAATCGGCGTAGAAATACCTGATGGTCATGAATCAACGAAATAATACTTCAAAACACTTCCTCTTCTTTGCGCATTGACATTGTGAATTGCATGTGTTCACCTGAAGCTTATAATCGATAACAACACTTCACAAACGACAGCTCTTCGAAATATCCTCATTAACACATGGCAAGCAAGTTGCATGAATTTTTCAGAATACTTTTATGTCGATCACATCCATTTCGCGAGTTCTTGCTGTTGTGCCTGAAAGGCTCGCGAACGAAACGCTTGGCTCGATGGTGGGATGTTTGCCTTGTTTGTTTCGTGCCTTCCAACTCCATGTGACTACCCAATCACCTGGATTGATGCTGGACTAAGCAATCGCACAATTCCTCGATCATGATTTCAAACAATACCTGATGACTTTCTTCATACTTCGACCATCGAACTAGAGCCGTGTTCCGCATGCCTATAACTTCTAATTCAACAACGACTTGAGAACGCGAAACATGCGCGTAGGCATACACCGCCATGGGTCAAGGTTATTCAATCAATGTCTCTGCCGGCTCGGCTGGTATTGATGTACCTGAACTTGCTGATCTCGAGACTGAGAGAAGTTTGGGTGCTGTGCGGTTCATGAAAACAATTCGCGCAAGACACAAAGACGGACTCGTGATTGCCAAGGTCTTCATCAAGCCATATCCCAACTTGAAACTCGAAGACTACTCGCGGAAGTTGTTTGTTCAGAGGAGAGAACTCTCAGATGTCCCGAACATTTTGCCGTATCACCGAATTATCGAGACTGCAACAAATGGTTACCTCGTCCGCCAATATATTCACAGCTCTCTCTACGACAGGATTAGCACGAACCCGTCGCTCGAGGATATTGAGAGGAAATGGATCGCATACCAGCTTTTGTGTGCAGTCAGGGAGAGTCATGCGAAGAACGTCTGCCATGGAGACATCAAGACCGAGAACATGCTTGTGACAACCTGGAACTGGCTGTACCTGACCGACTTCTCCACTGCGTTCAAGCCTGGTCGACTACCGGAGAACAACCCAGCAACATTCTCCATATTTTTTGATACTACAGGCCGTCGCATATGTTACGTTGCACCCGAACGATTTGTAGACGACGAGGAACTCAAAGAACATGAGCCGAATCTGCAGGATGATCAATACGAAAGAAAGGCTAGAGAAACATGGCATGAAGTTACCTGGCCGATGGATATCTTCAGCGTTGGATGTGTCATTGCCGAGCTCTTCACTGAGAAGCCCACCTTTACACTCAGTCAGCTGTTCAAATATCGCAGAGGAGACTACGACCCGACACACACTACTCTAAACAACATCAAGGATGAGAACATCCGGGAGATGGTTGCTCACATGATACAACTCGATCCGGCGAAACGCTACAGCGCTGAGGACTATTTGCAGTTCTGGCGTGGCAAATGCTTCCCAGACTACTTCTACACATTCTTGCACCAATACATGCATCTCATCACAGACCCAACTTCTGGTAGAAAGCCAGTAGTGGTTGGAGCAAAGAATTCAGGAGGATCTGATGACCGTATCGAGCGTATCAATGCCGACTTTGACAAGATCTCATACTTTCTAGGATTTTCCGACGTGGAGAAGCTTGAAAAGTCCACTCGTGCGCCCATCACCTCAGGTCTGGATTTATTCCCGCTTCAGGTTGATTTACCAAACAACAGGCACGATGCGGCAGACCGTGCTGGAAGTGTTCAAGACAATGGCGCTCTCCTCTTTCTCAATGTTGTGATTTCAGCTCTGAGAACAACTGCTCGCGCCAGCTCTAAGATTAGAGGCTGTGAACTGCTTCTAGCTTTGGGAGAAAGGCTAACGGACGAAGCAAAGCTCGACCGAGTGCTGCCTTTTGCTATTGCTCTGCTAGAGGATGAGTCGGAGAATGTTCGCATGGCTGCACTGAGAACCATCACCCAGCTTTTGGCCATCGTCACTGTGCTGTCACCCATGAACGTCTTCATATTCCCCAACTACCTACTGCCTCGGCTCCAGAAGTTCGTTGCAAGTCCTATGTTCCGCAAGTCAGGACCACTGAGAGCAACGTATGCAACGTGTCTTGCAAGTCTAGCCACAACAGCCGCTAGATTCTTGGACATGATGCAAGCATTACGTGCTGATGGATCTCTGCCCTCGACAGATCCAGAAGCAGAAGACGACATTACGTCTTACGCTGCTTATCAGAACACCTACGACACCACACGCGAAGATCTTATCCAGCACTTTGAGGCGCAGACCAAGCTGTTCTTGCAAGACGATGATCCTTCCGTCAAGAGGGCCTTCCTAGGATCTGTCACCAGCCTTTGTGTGTTCTTTGGTGAAAACATTGCAAGCGATTTGATCCTCACTCATCTGAACACATACCTCAACGAGGAGGATTGGACGCTGAAATGTGCTTTCTTTGAGACAATTGTCGGTGTTGCTGCCTTCATTGGCGGGCCAAGTCTGGAAGATTTCATACTTCCGCTGATGGTCCAGGCGCTGACTGATCCAGAAGAGACGGTCACTGAGCAGGTGATAAGATCCTTGTCAAGTATGGCACATCTTGGACTGTTTCAGCGATGGACGACTGTCGAGCTAGTACTTATTGTGTCACGCTTCACCCTACATCCAAACGTATGGATTCGTGAAGCAGCTGTACAGTTCATCGAAGCATCGTCAACCCATGTTTCTGATGCAGATGTCTGGAGTATGATCATGCCACTGATAGAGCCTGTGTTGAAGATGCCGTCAGCCGGTCTTTCCGAGTTTGAACTTCTGGACGCTCTACAAAAACCGTTCCCTCGACCAGCGTATGAATTAGCAAAGACTTGGGCAGAAAAGGCCGATAAGAGCGTTTTCTGGAAACACGCACAACAAGGCAAGAACTTCTCTTTCGAGGCGGGTAGCAACAAAGCTCTGACCGACTTCTACCATGATGGTGATTCTCGTTTGTTGAGCAAGACAATGAAGAATGAAGATGATGAACAGTGGCTATTGAAGCTTCGAGTCGCTGGAATGCGCAGTGAAGACGAATCCAAGCTTCTCGCGCTAAGAGACTATGTCTGGCGAACGACCATGCGCTCTGAGAAAGAAGTCAGCAAGCAAAATGACTCTCAGCTCAACCAGATCGTCTCCCTGAGTGCTATACAAGTACCACTACAGAATGTCTTTTTCGAAGCGGAGACCGTCTCCTATCAATCATACCGCCCTCAGATCGATACCACACAGCCGAGTGTGAAAACATCGCTTGAGGAAGCTCTACGCGATGCTGCAACACCTGCAGATCAGGATGCTAAGAATCTGTTCAATCCAGCAAGAGGCAAACCCTATCCATCTATCGCGCAGCAAACACCCAATACAGCTGAGACGTCAGATAGTTCTCGAGCTCAAGCTATGCCCATGAACGGCAAGTCATCTAACCATCGGAAACAGATGGCCAGCATCGATGCTCCTACACATCTGTCGACATCTCCAGCGTCCACCATGTCTGTTAGAAGCGGACACAACCATGCGCTTCGTACAAAGTCAAGCGCTATGAACCTCATGAAGCGCACAGAACAGACAAAAGCATACGCAGAGACAGGCACGGACTCGACCACTGCTGTTGGCAAGCTCGACGTGCCTGCGAACCAAACCTCGATCGCATCACCACCTTCGGGTCAAGCTACTCCTACCCCTCGTCCAGCACGACCGAAGATTTCTGCAACACACTCCTACCATGGCGGCGATCCAACTGTCTTGAAATTACTAGACTCAGTCTACACTGGGGCAAATCCGGGCAGTGATCGCGAGTTTGGCCCCAAGGTCCCGACACGCCCTCGAGCTCGCATGGCTACCAAGAATGCCCCCAATCAGCAAGCACAAGGTTATTGGAAGCCTGAAGGACAGTTGACTGCTGTTCTGGAAGAACATGAAGCACAAGTCAACTGCATCGCTGTCTCTCCAGACCATGTGTTCTTCCTGACTGGATCGGACGATGGCTCAGTAAGAGTTTGGGACACCAGCCGCTTTGAACGTAACATGGCGTATAGGTCGCGCCAAGCCCACAGACATACTTCTGGAGCCCGAATCACCAGTGTTTGCTTCATAGAATCTACACACAGCTTCATCTCGACTGCTTCTGATGGCACTGTCGATATTGTCAGGGTGGATGTGGCTGAAGCAAATGGCTCCCTACGCTATGGAAAGCTCCAAGTGCTGCGAAGTTGGGTGATACCTACCAAGCCCGGGCAGAAGGAGTATGCCATTGGCGTTGAACACGGAAAGACGGACGGTAGATCAGTCTGTGTGATAGTCACTAACCTCTGCCGCATCTTGTTCATCGACATCTACTCAATGGAAGTGATGTATGAGCTCGTCAATCCAATACAACATGGCACACCCACCACGTTCTGCATCTCCAGACGATGGCAGTGGCTTCTGGTGGGCACTTCTCACGGTGTGCTCGACATCTGGGATCTTCGTTTCCGTCTCCGACTTCGTGCTTGGATTGTACCACGCCCTGCACCCATTACACGGCTTACACTCCATCCAAGCAGGAAGGACAGCAAGCGAGTTAAGATTTGCGTTGCTGGGTTGACATCTCCGAGTCACGTATCCGTATGGGACCTGGAAAAGCTTGTCTGTCTCGAAGTGTACCACGTTGATCAGACCAATGGTAGCAACGCATTGAAAGCAAGAGACTTTGAGCTCCTCAATGTCGACGAAGACAAGTCTGGTGCCATGCCATCCCGCATTCTTGGATCTCTTGCAACAGACCCGCACCTCAGCGCCCGCTCTTCTGATAATGGTAAGGACAGATCAGGTAGAGGATCGGGCGGTAGTGCAGGTGCTGTCAAGGCATTTATCATGTCAATGCACACCTCACCCGACAGCTCAGAACCCAGGCATCCCTTCCTCGTCACCACGGGACCAGACTGGAAGATCCGCTTCTGGGACACCGATCGCATTGCCTCCTCCATGATCGTCAACGACAAGGACGACAAACCTACTTACACAGCCTCCAAATTTGGCAACGACATATCTGCCTACACAGAGCACGGTCTCAGTGATAGCATCTCCGAGAAGGACAAAGGCTCGTCTAGCCCAGCTCCTAATCGTGCAGGCACCATCTCACCTGCGTCAAACGATGCAGATAGTGAGCGAGGTGGCATGTCAAAGAAGAAGAAAGAGAACAAGGTTGCCAGATATGAGGTCATTCGCAAGTCGGCGAATCAGTTACTCAAAGGGCACAAGGATACTGTTACGGCTGTTGCTTTGTTGGAATATCCTTTTGGTATGATCATCTCTGCCGATCGCTCTGGTGCAGTGTATATCTTTAGATAAGCAGAGGGACTCGAGATATCAGATAGCAATCCATGTTTTTGCTGCATCACATTGAGACCATCGACAAAACTCCCGACGTCAGTGAGAGGACGTTTTCTGGCCATTCAAAGGGATGATGGGATCTGGTGTGTCTAGCATGACCAACGAGAGCATTGTCAATCGCAAGCTTTCAGCGGAACAAGCAGATGTAGCAAACAGTATTGTGCAATTTTACAACCATTTGCCCCTCTACTTCTGCTACGAAAGAGCTTACACACACAATTCGCACTTCTTACCTTGATGATAAGTCGTTTTGTGGCCATCGACATGCACAATGTGGTCCAATCTGTGTAACATGTCCAAAGAAAGTACTTGACTTCAAGCCCTTCAAGAAGAAGCAGATGTAGCAGAAAGCACTGTGCGTTGTCACTGATGATAACGACTATAGAACAAACGCCTGAAAATGGTGACCAAGAAGAGACTAACTCAGGCTTGGTACAGTGACAGGGAAGTTGCATCTCGGGTCACTAACGAGAAGTGCTCCTTCCAAGGACTAACGTACGGTTGCATGTCAAGTTGATGTTGAGGAAGTAACACACGAAGGTAATGAAACAGACGCCGCTGACTTACGAAGCGAACCCTTGTTACTCAGAGCAAAGGGAAGTCGCGACCTGGGCTCATCACCGATAAACTGCTCCTTCCTGACACGGAAGTTTGTCAATTTCAAGGGTTATCTAGGGAAGCAACGCACAAAAATCATAATCGGTTGGCTTTGGTCACGAAACAAACAGCGTCCTCTCGCCATCGAAGTCGCGTCTTGGGCTAGATAGCAATGCATGCACCTTCCAAACATCGATCTCACAGTTCTTCAAGTTGAAGTGATAACGTGACGCACGATGACAAGGTAGCTGTCAGGTACTACGAAACAAAGGTCACCTGACAGCAGTAAACATTTGGGAAGCAAGGGATGATTCACAGGTCTGATCCCAATATATCAAACCCTAGCGATCACGTGAGATGCTCAGGAGTATCCAGTGCTGTGGAAGTGCAATGTAGATACTAGAGGGGCACCATGCAGATACAAAATCGTGTTGTAAAGATCTGGGGCATTGTCCTTGGCTCGTGGTGGCATTTTGGGTGCGTCCGTTCGTGTTGTCAGAACGAATAAGATAGGAGCGCGTCTATTTTGACTTGATCAGTGTCCGCTGCGTTTCTCACACCTTCAACGCATTGCCAACATAGACGTTGCTTCCTCCTCGCTCTAGTCAGACCACCTTGCCATCGCTGTATACTGTTACAGGCGTAAGTCGCTGCTGTCTAGGAACAGATAGTACTACTGACACAACACGAGAACAGCTCCACCACATCTCTCGACCCGTTATATAACCTAGAGTCCGCGCTCGCTCAAGCGACTGAATCACCAGCCTTGTAAGTTATCTATTGCATCTTCTGCACATGTTGCGCATTGCCATTACACTATCCAGTGGCATTCGATTTCGATTCCGATTTCAGCTTACACCGTCTGATTTATAGGGCCCATAGCAGCACCACCGCTCCTACAACCTCAACAATGGCTACTGAACTCGACTTCTGCCGCCACCTGCTTGACAAATTCAACGAATTCTGGCTGAAGAACAAGGCTCCGTACCTCGAGGTCTTCCGTGAGCCCGTCGATGAGGTTGAAGACGATGCCCCCGGCTACTACGAAAAGATCAAGGAACCTATGGATCTCGCCACCATGTCCACTAAGCTCAATAACGGACTCTATGACGATGCTCAAGCCTTTAAGGCAGACTTTGACAAGATGATCGAGAATTGTCATAAGTATAACAGCGGCAACCCCGACTTCGTTAAGAAGTACGCAGATCGCTTTGTTAAGGATTTCAACTGGGAATGGGCCGAGATGCGCAAGTGGATCACCACTAAGCGCCGTAATCNNTCGCTAGACAGGCTGCTGCTACTGCTGATGCTCCTGCTCCTGCTCCTGCTCCTGCTCCTAACGCTGTCCCTGCCGCTGCTCCTAGCGCCAGTACATCTGGTGCCGAAAGGTATGTTCCTAGATCTCCATATCAGACTCTCAGTGGACACACTTATGGGATCGAGTTCAACTGTGCATTTTGATACTAACAACATCATAGTCCCTCCTCGTCGGGGAGCATCGGCCAGCAATGCTGAGCCTGAGAGGTATGTCTTGGTCCCTTTCCTACCGCTTCCAATGGACATAATCCATCATAACAAATGACTGTACATCTTCATACTAATGTATCAACGTANNCACAGATCTTCGAGACCCTCTCCCAGCCTCACCCTCGGCGAGGTCCAGGATATGGCCACCCTTAGGCCCACTGCCTCCACCATGGCCTCCTCTTCCTCCATCGACAACGCAGTCGGCACGGTCATTGGTGCTCTGCACCTCATCATGGGCGAGCAGCTCAGGGTTGTCATCGCCGAGAAGGAGGCCGAGATGGCAGCCAGTACCCTGGCCGTCTGGGGTAACATCTGGGGACCTGAGCGCTACCAGAGGTCCATGGAGATGTGGAGAGTCAAGTGCGTCTCCAAGATCACCCCTGAGGGATGGCCAGGTTCTGTGGCTGCCATCAAGAACGAGGTTGTCCAGGCTTGGAAGGACACCTGCAAGGAGCAGCTGGCTCTTGTGGAGCAGGAGGAGGCTGCTGAGAAGGCCGAATTCTTGAGACAGTTGGAGCAATGAGAAGGGGTGTAGGGTCAAGAGTATCGCGTTCTGCAGTTACTTTTCTTTTGGTAGTCTCAAGCAAATAAAAGTGGTTACCAGCAGATGATGACACAATGGGTAGTACAAAATCTGATGTCAGAAACAAAGGGTATGAAGTTTGGCAAAAGATGTATACTAAGCAATCAAAAGCATGATTGCAACCTTTGTGCACATGCCTCCTTGCGAATGATCCCTTGTCTCAACAAAGCTATGGAATGATTCTTGAGCTTTCAAAATCCACAATAAAATCGTGAAATACGCGAAGGCCCTCTGAGAGCCACGAGATGTTTGTCTCTCTGGACAAGTTCTTGATTCAAAGGCAACTGTGCATTTTTGTAGCTACATATATGGCTCACCTCCTCACAAGGGAGTGTGTGACTATGTAGATCTGACCAACAATGATGAGCTCTGAATATACTATCAAAATACATAGTCTAATCAAAGCTTGAGAGGTTGTCCAGAGAGAGCCTGTTCGTTCTACACTCGCTTCACAAGGGGTACCTTCTGAGGCCTCGACAGTGCCGTTGATGCTTCTTCCGACGCTTTCGACGTGAGATTAGAGATGTAGTTGTCGACTTGCACGAGACATTGTACTTTCAGCTCACCTCAGACCGAGGGAAGATACCCCTGAATGTGCCTTTTGAGATGTATCCAAGGCCTCAACGCTGCTCTCGACGTTTCTCTCGACACTTTCGACGAGAGTCTGTCGGGAATCATGAGGAAATACGCACTAGGCTCGCTCCAAGCCGAGCGTTCTCACTCATTCACTTCACTTGAGCACCTGCTGTCTCATGGCTGATCCGCCTCTTCTTTTCTCCTTCGGCGTGGACACTCTTCCCACAGCCAGCACAACCATCACCAAACCTTGTAAGCAATCATCGTGTCTTTTCTTGTTCTCCACTCTAATTTCTACCACTCCATAAGCCTCCCAAATGCCTCCCAAGCAAATCAAGATCAAGCCCACACAGGTTCACGGCGACTCCACTTACGAGGACTCTACACCTGAGCCTGGAAAAAAGCCTCGCATCACCCTCAAGCGCGGCAAGATCAATCTCAACAAGAACGACGACGCCACTCCAAAGGGCGCGCGCGCTGTAGTGAAGAAGCCTTCTCAAGACCAGATCTACAAGGACCTTCTTTCACGCCCCGCCGACAAGGAACCCGCCACCAAGAGACAGCGCGTTTCTCCAGGATCTGATGCCTCATCAGCTACCATTGNNGCAAGAGGTAAACTACATCGAATCAAAAATCCTTTCATCTTCATGTTTACTGATTCAACTCGTAGCCACCAAGACTTCTTGAATGACTACACCAAGAATCTAGTCATTGGAGAGATCAAAAAGCAAGCCGATGCTCTGGACTTCTCTCATGACAGCGATCTTCTCGATCAAGCTCGTGTCTATGGCCAGTATTTGTTCACTGCTCCTGGTCAAAGCAAGATCACCAAAACTCTGTGGATGGAAAAGGCAATGCAGAGAGTTGATGTCATGTCAATGGCAGATATCAAGAATGATGGCATCAGCGCTGCAGTCAAGAGAGCTCTGCTGGAGACAATCAGTGAGGAGACTGGCAACCAGGCTGCAACCTTTGCTCGCAGTGCCAAAGCCATCATGAACATGATCAGAGAGGAGGACTGACACCGACGATGAACGGATGAGTGAGAGAGATCCCGGTTCTCTAGCAGATTACAGAAGATATCAAAGAAAGGGATCACCGAGTGGTATTAGATAGGCTTGAGAGAACGCATAGAAGTGGCTTACAGAATGAAATATCACGGGAAAACGAGATTTGATTCAATGTTTTTGTCTTCTCCTTGTGGAAATTGCCGGTCTACGAGGCAAAACGCATCAGGTCGGTAACGTTGAAGCCTCCTCTCTTTCTATCGATCTTGGAAATGTGACCTCTCGTGCGTGCCATCCGTTTTTTACTTCGAGATCGTGCTAACAAACTTACTGTCTGATCACTTCATTAGGTCGTCGACCCTGTCTCGAGTGAGGACATCTCCGCATGGGTTTCGTAACATTTTGCAGTTATAAGAAAGCAAGAACTTATCATCAAAAGATATGAAGTCCAGAGAGAGTGCCTAAGGGCTACGATCTCTCCGGGAAAGTACCTGTCTCTGATACCTTCTTGCATTTTTATAGTATACCAGCTTGGCAGCACTGCCATCGGGAGCAGATGAGATGTCTTCAATAACACAGGTACAGCATACATCAACTAGCGCTCTTTCAGCTCTCAGCAGTAGTATCTTGATATCAGTAAAAAGGCACAGCATGAACTCGTGAATGGAATATGTCCAGAGAGAGTCGAGGAAAGTACGTGCTTCAGTGGAACTTGTGTAGAACTTGCTTTACATGCTGCATTTTGATAGTATCATATCGAAGCAGTCATGTTGGAGGAGATATCAGGTACGTGCAAACATGATAAGTCTTTCATCTCCTAGCACAAGTTTCATCCTACCAGTAAAGATGCAGGGTGTATATCCATACCGGGGGTTGTCCAGAGAGAGTCATGCATGACAGGGCTCTCAGTGGAACATTCACAGAAACTAGTTCAGATTCTGCATTTCTATAGCAGTCTTTCTAGCATTCGTGCTCGGGGAGAAGGCAGATAGAGACACTAGAGTTGAAGTGGTAGTCATATAATCACGTGTTCCGCTTGAACGCGAAGTCAACCTTTGTCCTGCAGCTCATCCTTGTGGCAACACGATCCTTGTCATCAACTCTTGCAGCAACAAACATAGCATGCTTTGACCTGAACTCATCAAAGACCAAAGAGCTATCACCATGGCTCCTCAACAAAACACCACTAAGATGGAGCACGCAGACTTTTTGTTCTGTGAACATGTTCTTGAAGAGTTCAAGCGTTTCAAGCATCGCAAGTATGTCGCTACCTTCAAGGAGCCTGTTGACATCGTCGCGGTTCCTACCTATTTGAATGTTATCAGACAGCCAATGGATCTGTCGACTATTGCTTTCAAGTTTGGAAAGAACGTCTATGACTCTGCAACTTCCTTCAAAGCCGACTTTGAGCTCATGTTTGACAACTGCGATCGCTTCAACGCAGGTCATCCTCCAAGCGCCGTCTTCGAACACGGTCGTCAGTTTCGCGAAGAGTTCAATCAGGTCTGGTTGGATCAGCACAACTGGTTGAAGAGAGTCCACCCCGAAGTCTTCAAAGCTCAATCCGAAGAACAAGACGAGAACATGAATGAGCCTCCTGCTAAGAAGCGTCGCCAGAGCTCGCGCCTGGTTACTTCCGACGAGTCATCTCCCACTTTGCAGTCACCATACACGGCAGCTAGTGTAGTCAAACCCGCTTCTTCTGCGCCCAGCACTCCTGTATCGGGTCGTCCAAAGAGGGCAGCTTCCAAAGCTAGCACTACAAACGCTTCAACCTCACGCGCTGATTCTGTTTCGTCGTCTGTCAAGCAGACTATCACCACCAAGGTCGCTGTATCACAACCTGCCGAATCCCCGCTCACTGAGCCCACCGAGGCCGAAACCACCGCTCTCCAGACTACTGGACACAACAAAGCTCCAGCTCAAGACGCCTCGCCTGCTGTCCCAGATGCCTCTCACTCTTCCCCGAAGTCTCCGTAAGTATGTTTGAACCACTCACTCAACACTACTAACACAATCCCTCACAGCAAATCGCACTGGGAAGAGTTTCAAGAGCGCCTCAGAAACATGGTCACCAAAGAAGCAACCAGACTCCTCAACAACCCCAACATCAAGCACCAAGGTCCCGGTGAAGATCCCAACAAGCTCGCCAACACAATGTGGGAAGCTCTAGCTATTGACAACGATCACGGGCCCAAAGGAGTGGGAGGCAAAGCCAGTTTCAGTGCCTGGGTCGGGATCGCCGTTGAAGAACTCTCAAAAGTAGCCATCAGAGATGTTGGTAATCGGGTCAAGAGCGAGACCAAGAAGGCTCTTGTTGTTGTGATGGACGGTCACTACCAGTTTCTCAGAAACAAACTTGATGGTTTTCACGGGGAGTTGAGAGCTAGATTTGAGGATTGAGCGGGCCGATGACCTTGCGGCTGAAGGGTCAAACGCACTGATGAGGTTTGAGAGTCCAGACGAGGTTTACTTCTTGCTTGAAAAACATAGCTAGGTATATCAAGGCACAAGAAACGACGTCTATGAATAATAACGAATGGATGGAGAGTAAAGGGCGTGAGGTTTGTCTGATAGGAGAGTAGCAACTGTAGTTTAGCTTCCTCATCTAAACAGCCACATCTTACGCTAAAATTGCATGGTCTTGTCACATTGACTGAGAGCTTGCATGGCAATCATGAGATATGGAAAATATGCATTATTGTTGGGGTATCATGTCTTCTCCTTCTCTTCAAGATGCCACTCGCACGCATTTCTGAATGACGCAAGCATATTTGAGCGACCATGGCATAAGCATCTCGAGCCCATCACATCAAAAGCATGTAATGCAGAGCAGTCAAACACCTGTTTATCAGAGCAAAAGCCGAGACCGATCCATCATCAAGCAAAGGAGACAGATCGACCCTGCACACTCGAACTCTTTCTTGCTCGTCCCTTCTTCCTTGGAGTATTCTGAGACGAATCAATGCTCTTCCTCTTGCGTCCACGCTTCTGTCCACTGCCAGGTGTCGCGCTACCGCCTCTCTCACTTGGTGTCTCGTAGCCATCCTCATTCATCGTCATTGAAACATCCATGTCACCTTCTGCATCCTCCTTGTCGACTCTGAGTTCGCTGTCGACAGCTATGACCTCTGAGAATGAGGTGCAAAGACTGAGTTGGCTTTCAGGCGTCTCGAGAGCTCTCATGATTTCTTGGTTACGAGCAAGATACTTCTCAGTCAAGTTTGTTGAGTTGGGTATGCGTTGCAGTGCACGGACGGTTTCTTTGCTCGCTTTGGCCTTTGTGGCAGTCTGGTGCTTACTAACATTCCACAGTCGACGGAGGTATGTACGAGTTTCCCAAAGCAGAAGGAGAATCTGGACATACACAGTCAACTCACGTGAGCGAGCTGGATCGACCGGCTTGTTCTGAGAGGAAGTGACACCATTGGGAACCCCATTCTCGCTGTCAGCCATCGGAACATCCTGCTCAATGAGCATTCGAAGGATGTCAACATCAACCGAGTGAGCAACGGGAGTACCAGTATTGGCCATGACCTTCTCGATGCAATCGATCAGATGTTGGAGCTCATCGAACTTGGAATAGTCGAAGAACGCCAGATTCTCGCAGACAAATCGGGTAAATGCGACATGAGAAGGAAGAGTATCTGACATGTCGACCTTTGAAACGTCAAAGCCCACACCTGCTTTGCCACAGATCGTACTCAAGAACTTGATGCGAATTTTGGCTTTTCCAGTCTTGAGTACTTCCCAAAAGTGGTGCATTTTTGAGGTCGGTGGGGTTCCAGTGTATCCTTGGTTGCTCTTGGCCACGTTTTGCTGATATGTGAAAGCTTGGTGAATGGCGCCGATATGCTCTTTTTCGAACATTGCCTCATGCTTGCTGTACAGTCCCATGTGCTCCTGGAAAGCAAATGTGGCTATCTTGGAATCTGGACAGGTTTCGAGGGCGATGAAGCATGGACCAGTCTCTTTGGGGTGAACAAGTCCTTGGCGGCCGATACTAGCAACCACTTGGACTGCGTTGAATGCAAGAGCATCGGCTGAAGTAAGAGCAACGTCACGGATTCTACCCAGGAACTGTTGTGCAATAGAAGTGGCAGCGCCGTCGCGATCGGTAGCCATATAGGTGTTTCCTAGCCTCTCAGTGCCAGCCTCCACACCAGTGCCGACCTGAACCAAACTTGACTCGCCAGGCTTATCACCAGCACAATAAAAGTCTTTCAGGCCAACAATCAAGGTCATTGGAAGTTGTTGATCATCCGACTCAAGAGCCAGCTTGAATGCATTGCAAACATCAGCACGCATTAACTGACCAGGCCATGCTTGACACAACATGCAAACACTGTCGAGTGCTGCTTGACGAAGAACCATAGGCTGATTGGGGCTTGTGAAGGGACAAATCAGATCCATGGCCAGGAACGCCACATGTTCGCCTTTGTAGTCTGGAAACTTCTCCTTGAACGCGCTGAGGTGAGAATCAAGGTTGAAAGCTTTGCCAAAATGGCCAGCAATAGTGATGAGTCTTCTCGTCTTCTGTGCTACGGCTTGGTTGCTGTTCATATCAACAGGCAAGCCTCGCTTGATCTGATCATAAAGTGAGAGCGTGACTTTAACGAGCCTCTCGGTGTTGTGGAGTTCCCCATCAAGGGTCCAGAGACATGTTGCGACTTCCTTGAGCTCGGCTGATGGAAGTCTGGTAAAGCTGCCAAGTAGAGCTTGTTGTATGTTGACGAGAAATTCTCGATTCAGATTCTTCATGTGAGGTAGGGTGTGGCGAAGAATGACAATTGCTGAACGGTATACTAGCAGATTGTCGTCTGAGCTGAGATTCTTCACGTAAGGCTGAAGAGTCTGAAGTTGGTCAGCAGTAAATAGCTTAGCGTTGGCTGCAGAGAAGATAGTGAGTGTCTGCAATACGTGTTGCTGTGGAGGACTCTCGGGAAGCTCGTCTGGATCGATGATAGCGTCAAACATGAGCTTAACCATCTCTTTGCACACGACGAGATTAGCTTTTGCTGCCTTGGACTTGTCTGACAAGATCTGGTGCAAGAGCTCAGGCAGGACTGCTTCTGTAGTTTCAGTCTTGCGTTTAACGATATTGATCACCAGACTGGTTTGTTCTCGTAAACGAAGCTTCTTCTTGACGGCATCAGTGTCTGAGCCAGAGATGGTGTGGAATGGTGTCATCCAGATGTCCTCAAAGGTGTGGCGGGCGAGCTCCACAATGCTCTCATCATTATCAGTGACACGGTTGATCAGAGTATCTGCGATCAGCGCCTTCACATTCAAGGCGTCGTTGCGTAGGTACATGTCTTTCAACATTTTCATCGCACGTTTTCTGACATGAAGGTTGGCATCCTGGGCTCTCATGATGACGCGCTCATAGAGCATCGTATCCAGCTTTGGACGCAAAGAAAGGCATTTGGCGATGAGACCAAGGGCAGAGTCACGAACCTGAGTTGAATTGTCGGCAAGACATCTGATGATGCTGTTGATGAAGAACGTCCCCTGATCAAGAATTGTGGGGTCCATCTCAAGAAGTTGTTCAATACTCTTCAAACTCTTGCTTCTCAAGGAAGCCTGATCGCCAGCCATGGTACCAAGAAGTTTGCTAAAGATCTTGTTAAAAGCTCGGCAGAAGGGTAGATTCATGGTGATCAAGACAGCTGCAAATCTCCCGTCTTCGGTGGTAACTTGCTTGAAGTCGTATTCAGTCTCAAGCCATGCAGAGTCCTTGATCATGAAGGCCAAACGTTCTTCCAGCTTCGTCGACTTGATGTTGCTTTCGCTGAGCTGGAGAATCTGCTTTGCCCATTGGACTGTATGGTAGCCGCGGGCGGTCAGCAACTCTGTATCATCCGAGCCTCTAGCCTGGAGATATTCGAGTATAATTCGGTATGGGCCATCAAACGACAACAACTCGTCTTCTTCGGTTTGCTCAGCCGCGATATTCTCGTGAAGCTGTGACAGCTTGGTCGTGACTTCTGAGCGATCCACATTTGGGTGACGGGCTGCTGATTGGGCTTGGAGACGCAATTCTGTAATTCGAGTAGCCATGCCGCCCATCAGTTCAAGCGCCATCGCTTTCGAAGGAGCCGAGCCTTTGTGATTCTCTGAGAGCTCAAACATTTTGGCTAGAAGCACGCGAAGGAACATCTCGGCGGCAGGCCAGTCGGTGTTGCCCAAGACGTTCAAGAAGTCTTCTGTGAAAATGTCCAGGAGGTTTCGGTACGGCTGATCTCCTGATTTTGTCGAAGTCAAGGCACGCTGAACCATGTAATTGACAACATAGTGAGCATCTCTGTATGCAGCTTCGTACAGAGGGTTGGTGATCGATGCTAGATCTTCCGGTCCCTCGCTCGTACGCTTCTTTGCCTTGGGCTTTGGCTTGGGACGTCTCTTTTCTGTCTCACCGTCGAAGTCCGAGTCCTCATCGGCATCTTCATCAGACGACTCAGGATCTTCCTCGTCCTTCTCAGCATCGTGTTCTTCGTGAATAGGCTTTGTCTTGGCCTCCATACGCGTTGCACTAGTCTGAACTAAACGCATGAGCAAAGCAGATACCAACTGAATCGGCTTTGCATCAACCATCTTGAACTGGCGGGCGCTTTGTCGGCCAACAGGAAGTTTCTCGAGAGAAGTCAAGATCTCGTCGAAGATTGACTGTCTTTGCTCTGGATAACGAGCGAAGATTTTCGCAAGCACGTCCATGGCGGCTCTACGAGCGGTCTCGAATCTCTGGATACCGAGAGCAGAGTCTTTCTCAAATGTCGCATTCTCCACAAAGACCAAAGTTTTGCAGATGAATTCAGCAGAAACGATGACACGCTCATCGACATCAGTTTTGGCAATCAAGTCACCTACCAATTTGATGACTCGAATGCAGGCTGTCAAAACCTGGTTGAGGGGTTTGCTTTGTGAAGAGGCGAACTTGAATGCATCACCCATGTCTCCATTGCTTCTCATCTCCACGATGGGGATGATGCACGTCTCAACCATATGAGTAAGACTGTTCAAAAGAGTGGTGAGCGTTTCCTCAGAAAACAACTGTTTCTCTTCTCGACCAGCAGTCATGATGCGTAGCAATGTCTTGCAAGCAGTTAGACCCTGCCCGCCAATGCCGATGCGATGGAGCCAGTCATCGGCTTCATGTGGAGTATCATCGTTGATTCGGTAGTTGGCAGTACCTGCGGCAGTCACAGCGTGATCGCAAAAGCGCTGTATACGGGCTAGGTCTTCGATGTCGATGCTGGAAAGGCGAGCATTGGCGACGACCTTGTACAGAGTGGTGTCAAGCTGTGTTTGAATGGCTGCTTGCAGGACTGGCACGCCCTCAACTGCATCATCGGTGTTGAAGTAGTGAGCAGCGTTTGACGACACCATACCAGATGTGTCAGCCT